TTGTTCTAGTATATTTAGATTTCCATGCGATTTTCCTTGTTACTTTATTCATTTTTTTTTTATCTTCTTTCGTTCTTTGTTTTAATCATTTACATTTTGTTGTATCTACATTTTTCATCTACTAATAATTACTAAGCCATTCAACAAACATGAAACAACCTAATCATTTGGTTTCTATGATCTTATATGTAAATAGCGAGTGTAATAAACAATTTAAGAAAATAGTAAGTAGATGAGTTTTATTAAAAAGTGAGAAATAGTATAATTAATGAACGAGTGGAAAGCCTCGTTCTTGCTCGAAGGCACTCTATTACTCAACAGCCTTCTACTCTGCATACTCTTTAAAACTACGAAAAATATACTGAAATTCAGGCTTGGTATTATTGAAGCCATTAAGTTAGATTTAACTTCATACCTAGTCAGTCAAATTTTCAATAAAAATCAGTTATTATAATATACCATTTTGAAGGTTTTAAATGTTTGGATTACTTAAAGATAAAGAAATGGGTCGATAACATTAAGAAGTACCAGACCAAAATATTTTCCCTGTCAGCCTTTACCTATATCACAACACCAAACGTTTGCGAACTAGAAAAATGCACTGTTTAATTCAAAAACTAGGCAAGTAGGTACTATTAATTTAAATGTTTCAATATAGACATTTTCAACGGGTAGTTATAAAAACGCACTATTCAATATTATTGTTATGCAATTGAAATTTCGATTCTCCTATTCGAACAATATGCAACCTGAAAAAATACGAATCGTACAAATGCCAAATGAATAACGCCGTTTCACACCACACAGATTAGGTACCTATCCATTTGACAAACTTACCGAAAAACTTGTCAGCACCGTCATCATTTGTATTGGCCAACTCGTACAAGTTGGCGAACGTCTTGGGCGCGTCGTAATCGAACATATCGTCCATTTCTACGCGATCACGACAATCAAACTATAAGCAAAATTGAAAATTGCCAACGATAATAATAACCGGTTCAATTTAAATAATATTCTTTGGGCGCAGTAATCGAGTTGCGGGTGTCACGAACAAGTGGAGGAACGGCTGAAAAACCAAAAACGGTTTAACAATAGACAACTACAGGCGTAAGTACGTAAACGAGAACACATAAGACAAGTCGCTGGAATATTAAATAACAAATAACAATCGGTGCCCGTTGGACGGAATAGCCGTTTATCAATTCGTCAGTGGGTCGTTATTACGAACATTTCAAATTATCAATGTTCCGATTGGCCGACATCGCGCATTGCTACCAACAACGACACGCTTATAAAATAACGAATTTTTCTATCCGATAAACGACGGCGGCTCCGTTGTTAATATCCAACGATGAGATTAACATTTTCGAACATATCTACTTTCGCTCTCGAGTGATTTTTTTTTTTTTTCAAAATGTGTACTTTTCGTGTACATTAAGAATGTAAAAAAAAGTCGGACGAACTTTGTTTGGATGTTTTGGGGAATAAGTAAAAACTTCATAAAATTCGGGTTTTCCGTTTCACGTATTTTTTTGTTAAAAAAAAAATCGTGTGGGAGCTAAACTAGAATTACGCCCACTTAATTTTATTGTTATGTTCTCTTACAATTTTATTTTGGGCAATGGGAAAGAATCGGTATAATCACACTGATTAAAATAAAATCTAGAAATAATTTATATTATTATTTCATTTTACGAAAAATAAATATTCCAACTACCTATATTAGATTCCGAGTAGAGCGAAGAATGTTTTGAATTGAAGAAGAACCAATTGGTTTTACAAAAATGTTAATTTTTTTTTATGTGAACATTTTGTCTACCAGAAAGCTTACTCCGATGTATATCCTTTTCTGAAAGGAAATTTTCTTGGGGTGGTACTTTAGAGAGGTTATTTTTCTATTTTCTCATCAAATATGAAAAAACCGAGAAAATGTAGGAAATATATTAATAAAATATTTCGGCATTTTTTTACCTGTAAACAACTTTTCTAGCAGCAATTTTGTTCCGATTTACAAAGGTAGCACTTTTTCTAAAAGAAAATCTAAATGAGAAGGTATTTTAGAGAGGTCATTTTTTGATTTTTTCAAAAGTTTTCCCAGAAAATGTGAAAAACCGGGATAAAATATGGGAAAATCGTTATTTTTATGTTTACTAAACATACTTACACAAAATGTAATCTGATGGTACTTCATTTGAAACATTACACGAAATATTCAATAATTTAACCCTAGGTTTTTTTTTTATTTATTTTTTCAAGATAACAGTTTGTCGGTTAGTATAAGAAGACTCCAAATTATTCAAATCGTGCCTTAAAAAATGCCGCCTTTTTGTCCGGTTTAATTGAAAAAATATATTTAGATTCCCAACAGTTTTTATACACTTAAAAACGTATAAACGATATATAGATTTTATTTTGGATTTCTTTATAAGATACCTTGGTTATGAAATAAAAAAAAAAACCCCCACCGATCAAACTATTACTTCTAATACTCTGATTCAGGTCAGTATCGTTTACTCACCTAGGACAGTGTATACATATTCTACACGTAAGAATTTTCAATTTTTTATATTTTAAAAGCTTTTTTCTAACATAAAAATTGATACAATTTTACCTTAAAATCATCCAAAAAAGAAAAAATGAAATACTATTAATAAATGTCTGTTTGTATTTTCGTTATTGTTATTTTTATCATACCTATATTATTATGCTCATTTAGCTACAACAAACAAATTATTGAATTATTTACTTTTGGGAAAAAGAAGTTGATAGTATATACCTCCCCTCCAGAACACCAAACGTAATTACACTACTAGTTTAGGCCCCCTTTTAAGCGGTAACTGTAACCGCCACATCAAAATAGCCAGTACAAGCCTGAATACACTTATAAAAAATTATACTATAGCACACCACCCTCCCGTTTTACAGATATTCTGATGTCCAGTGTTCAGACATTGCACTTTTGAATTATTATTTTATTAATTAAAAATTATAATGGCCGTGACTCATTAGTCATTACTACACATTATAACCCTATTACGATTGTTTTTATATTTATCGAAATTTTATCTTTAACTATAAAAAATCCCTAAACTAAACTGTAAACAATAAAAACGATTTAAAATAAATCATATGAATACTTAAATGTATGACACTCATCTCATATGCTGTTACAGGTTAAGCGAATCTAGGTTCCCGAGCTTCCACTGGTAGAAAGCCCAGTTAGGTGATTCCGGTAGGTATACTTATGGTGTTATTTCGACAGAGTGGAGGAATTTGCTTAATAGTTAACAATACCATCCTCCCTATGGGAGGGGATCAGAGTAAGTACTCCCACAGTACCTCTACTTATAAGAGGAGTTGCATATAGTCGACAGTCGGTGTATAATTATATAAAATAATGTGAAGAACTTTTTAGACTTTATTGGATTGTCCCTACTCAGATCTGCGTGGGGACAGAGAAAACAGGTGAGAAGAGTTACCATGGTGTATATTTGCAGATGATATAGCTTTGATAGAAAAAAATCTGGAATAAGAGAGATGATGGAGAAATGGAGAGTAACATTGGAAGAAAAGGAACTAAAGATAATTTAAATTTATAATTTATAAACGCCCAAGGACCTTGAGTACAGATGTAGATATAAGATAAGTAACAAATTCGTAGAAACAAAATGCAAAATTAATATAAAGTAGTTCAAAGATAATAATAATAACAGAATGCAATAACAAATTATGAAAATAATTATAGTTGCACATAAACAGAAATATGAACATACAAATTATTGAATGAAATATAGTGGTTATAATGGTTATATAACATTGTTGTTTTCAGACAGGTTTTTAACTTAAATAGAGGATAAAAATTATTTTTTCAAATAATTAGAAGTAAAACAGAGTACGAGTTTTGAAGAAAAGATAGCTACTATAAGATAGCTTACTATAATAAATGGTTTTAGCAAAGATTGAGAGTTTTTAAGAGCTGGGATTTTTTTCATACAAAAGAACGGTGGCTTTGACGAGGATGTGAAACGTAAGATTAAATGTGGATTGATTAAGTGGAGGGGATTGTCAGGTATTTTATATGACAAGAGGATTCCAATAAGACCTTATGATAAGTTCTACAAAAGTGTGATGAGACCGGCTATGTTGTATAGGTTGGAAGGTTTTACAGTAGACAGAAAATTAGAGCAGCAGGTATGAGAATGCTTGGGTGGATGAGTGGAATGACGAAAAGAGAGTTAAAGTGATGAGTATAAAATACGTAGATTAGGTGTGGCTTTGTTAGTAAACAAATATAATATATTTTATAGTATGAGAGAAAATAGTCTGAGATGGTTTGAGCATGTCACGAGGAGAGAGGTGCATACATTTTTGCTTCAAAATTACCTAAAAATTGAAAATTTTAATTTTCTAAATGACTTATTTAGAAGAAGTAATTTTTTATTTTCTGCATTTCCAGGCTTTATAATAAAAATCATTTCCTATTAAAAACCAAAATGTGTTTCTTTAATTAATTTTTTGTAACTAAAAATTCTAAATCTGAACTTTCATATACACATGTTATGCTCAACACAAAATACGCAAAAAAATAGCATGGAGGGCCAGTTGACTGTTATCTCTATACCAGTGTGCCATATAGTTATGTAGGTGGGGAACAACAACCACCACAAATGGTAAAAATTAAACCGCGGCAGTATTTATATAAGTAATCAAGCATGACATAAGGACAAAATCAATTTCAATAAAAAAATATAAAACAAATCATTAATTATTGTCCAGAGTATAAAACCATATTGATTTTTTTTAACTTTTGGAATTTAACTTACATAATTCTGTAAATGTTTTTTTTTTCTAAAGTACTCTATTTAATTGCTAGCCCATACTTTGCTGTTAAAATACAAAATTATAAATTGAAAATCATCAAACTATAAATTGTTTACAATAAAGAAATAGTTTGAGGGAAAATAATAATTACTAATAAAATTAGTTTACACATTACAAACGTTTTATATATTAATACACAGTGTAAAACATGAATAATAAATAAATAAAACATATTATCTTTAATATTTTTCTATTAACATTTTATATTAAGCTCTTAAACTAAATACATTAATATAAAAGAGTAAAATTAATGAGTAGATATTTAAAATAAACAAACAATACTATTTGATTAATTTCTATATAACTTAAATATATTTTTAAAAAATTAAAGAAGTTATATGAATGCAATTCGATCTATTCCCATTCTTGTTTGATTCGTTCAAAGTCGGAATCTTCAATAAAAGGCTTATCTATAAGACTAAAAACAATAATTTGAAAGTTGAGGCATCGATAAACTATTGCTAACAAAAAAAATTATTTGGAGCGAAGTTTGGTTATACTTATACAATGAAACCTGTCTTAATGGACACCTGTATAAAATACACATTTTTCTTAAAGGATTATTTCTATTATGGACAAGGACAGTAATATTTACTCCAATACCTTAATAACGGACAACTAATTATCTTAGTTCAAAATCAAATATATTGCAAACATATAACATACATAGCATGCAACAGCATCGCTGGTTTATTTCGAATACCGATTATGATAGATAATAAGAATAAAGTTAACTGTAAAGACAGAAATTACCAGGAACACGTATACAATGTAGACTAATCAGTGCGTATTCTGTATCGCTTTACTATTATAGTGTTTTACATTTTTCTCTGTTCATTATAATTTTTTTCTTTGCAATGCCATCATCTGTGCATGTCTATTACAGACATCAGTCTATAACACACTTTTATGATCCTGTAACTTTTCATTATATACAGATTTCATTGTACATGTTTGGAATACTAAAATTCTTAAAAAAAAAAAACATTGAACTCAATTTTTTTTTTTTTACTAGAGTATGACTTATAATGGACCTACTGTTGAATTTTCAAGCATTTCTGTTGAATTTTATTCACAAAATACCTATCAAATACAAATTACGTAAAACATCTCACAAAATTAAAATATGTATAAGTGGCTCAAATATTTTGAAAATTTAACTACGTCTAGAAATGGCAAATATAAAGTCTCTAAGTTACAATAAAAAAAAATAAATTTGAAAATAATAAAAACATTATTTTTCAAAAACATCTTGGAAAACTAAAAATATGTCTTCCTTAAATTACTAACAAGATAAAATTTTCTATCAGAAAAAGATTCACCTGAGCAAGATTACTGATAGTAATTTCACAGTTTTAAAAAAATAAACATCATTGTAAAACTACATTCCTCGCTACGCTCCAAATCTATAAAACAGTGTTAGTTTTTATAATTTGAACAATTTTATTTTATTATTACTTCAAAATAAAATGTGTACATATTTAAGCAAACCCTCCACTATATATATATATATATATATATATATCTAATTGATACTTTACCCAATCATAATATCACTGCAGAAAATACATTCGGCTGCTAATAATTTATCTAAAGCTTTTTTCACTTTATCACGTTGAACAATCAATTCCGACGGCTGTGCAATTCCTTTGTTGTTTTGATACAAATCATTCAGTTGGTTCTAAAAATATTTAAATTTTAATTCCTGATTAACTGATATTATCATATAATAGTATATCACACTATACTTGTAAGTCTTTAATTGTGTTCATTGTGCTGGAATCGATATATGGTTGCATTTCTTTGACCAAACATTCTGCGTGAAAACAATGTGTACAAGGGAATGTATAAAAAGCTTTAGTTGCTAATTGTTCTTGACAGCTACTACAAATATTTGATGGTTGGATCAGCATGTAGCCACTTCTAAATGATAAAATTTCAGATCTTATTACTTCAGCTGAATTGGTAGCATCCTCCATTTCTTCCTTGAGATTGTTAATTTCCTTATTGTATTCCTGAAATCATATCAGTTGTAGTTTCCCCAAAAAAAAAAAAAAATCATCAATAATTCTCACAATCTTACTTCGAGAGACGAACAAACAGCATCTTTAAAATGATCAATTGTAACGAAATCAGGAAAAAATGGTAAAATATCTTCAATTTTTATAAACTTACATTCCTCCAAGAAATGCATTACTTGCTCAATATCATTATTTTGTTTGACTACATGTTGCGCTGAAATAAAAATTAATATGAATAAAAATAATGTCCCAAAAATATATTATTATTATAAATTTTTGCGGTATTGTTTAACTCACCAATTTTTAGCCAAAGTTTTTTTGATAATTCCATGTCATAATTAGGCAAAGAAGCAGTAGTTTTGGCCAAATCTACACTGATAGTAAGCGCCAGATCTACGGCAGTTTCCCATAGACCTAAAACGATAGACAACTGCACACAAGCTTTGGAAAGTTGGTATTCACGACACAGCCGCAGGGCAAATTTTGGATTATAACTCACAGCTGATATCTCAGAACCTTGTAGCTTTAAGTAATTCATTAATTTGTCTCTGTTGTGCTTGACATACAGAGATATCAGATAATTATGCACAGACTCTACATGACAGTTTAAACAGTGAATACTGTATTCCAAATATCTGATTATTTCTAGGGCCTACAAAATGTACAACACGACAATCCAGTGAAATTAAATAAACAAGAGTGCAAATTATACTTTTATATATACTCACGAGTCTTTCACTTGGATTCGGAATAATCAATGAATTAATGACCTTTAGAGGATCCAACTTCTGTCCTTGTTTGATTAAAATGGATACAGTTTGTGTAGGAGCTTTTTCAATGAGATCCGATGAAAAAATATAAAACAGCTCACTGAAAGGATGATTGTCCAATATGTTTAGTGCTGCAAGCATATAATACAAATTGTTTATTAGAACAACCATAGAAATTTTTTTTATTACTAGAAAAAAAAAATGAAAAGGTATTATACTAATTTTATTTACGGTGACTGACCTTCAGCGATATTTTCTTCATTTAAATAGTGCTGTATTACACGTTTAAAATCTTGATTTTCTAAAGCTAACCAAATCATAAAATATGCATCACCATGACTCGCCAGTATATCGTATATACTTTCCCAATTTTTCCGAATACAATCCTACAAAATATATGTTAATAGTAGTTTTTTAAAAAAAATATTAGTTTTTAGACATTTACTTGAATACTAGGTTGTACTAAAAAATGTTTAAACGATTCTTGCAGCGCTTTGTATTCAGGTGAACATTCTTGTTTGTAGTTTCTAAACTCAGTCAGTTCATTAGCATATAATTCGATTGACCACAATGTTATCATTATTCTTTTTGTACAATCTTCCAACGGTAAACTTTCCAATTTCTTAGGACAAACACAGAAAACAATCTTATAGATCCCCAAATACCAACAAAATAATTGCATTTATCGTACTTTCATTAAGAACAGTTTTAGTGGTTTTTTTTCGTTTAAATGTAAAAATTTTAATACTATTTCTTCAAATGAAACATTTAAATCAGCATATATTAGCGCGCTTTTTTCATATCTAAAAAAAAAAAATTTGTAAGCCATAAATATTTATTATAAAATCAAACAAGAAGAAAATATAAAGTGAAAAAATATTAAAATTATTACTGTTTTGTATTGAAAAAATTATCTGCTTGTCTAACTAATACTTGATTCATTCTATAAGGATTGTCAATACATATTTCCTTTGCTTCTTCAAACATTCCTTTATCCAAATAAACCTTAAAATTAACAATAGCTTGAAATTTAGTATAGTAGAAAATATTATATTCACTAACTACATACTTTCCAAACATTGCGATCTTCTTTAGTAATTTTATATCTAAAAACGGCACGTTCGGCATATAACCAAACTGTTCCGGTAATTAAATCTTTTGTAATATTCAAAAATCTACCATGACCCTAAAACAGACATATAATGATGTAATGGAGATAAAAAAATTGACAACAATGGCAAATCATTTACATCAGAAAAATAGTCTTCGTCCATCACTTGCGATGCGTAGAGATCAGCAGGAGTCACTAAGGAAACTGCTATAACCCTCTCTGTAAATAACAACAATACATGATAACGTGTAAAAGTCATTGATAATGGTACAGTAAAGTCATCATCTTCTCTTCCATATAGCTGGCTATATTTTATGAGTTTATGCGAATCAAATATTGTTTTCTCGTCTTTGTTTATGTTGATCTAATAAAATACATATATTTTAACTATGAAATAAAAAATTTTTAATACAGAAAAAATTAATAATTTACCTCTGCAAACAAGACTCCAACCTCTGTAAGAAAACCAAAATATTTTGGAACAGTAAAATCATTATTTGAAAAATAAAAATGTAATTTTGTGTTTTTAACCACTGTAGGCACTTCGTAAAAACGTTCTGTAAAGAAGTTAAAAATGAAAAATAAATTTATTTATTCAAAATTAGCTATATCATAAAAAATTAACGATTTTTAGAGATTTTGAGGAACATAATTTAGTAATAAAAAAAAAACTTAACCAGGAATGGTCAAATAATTGTTGAAGACTTGCTGAAACATCGGTCTTTCATCTTTGTTAAATACGACATCAACAAATTGGTATAATTTGGTAAGCGTAAGTGCCAAAATATAAAACAAATTTGATTTTCCGACTCTGTGATATTCAAGACCAATTATGGGAGTGGGCTGTCCTTTACTTATGTCGAATACCTGAGTAAATGTCATATTACAAAACAAAACAGAATTATATTATAAAAACTTAAGAGTAAACTTTAGATTTATAATTACTAATTAGTATTGACTATTGAGTACCTCTTTCCAATACTGAACTACGCTACCTTGGAAAAATCGATCAAATTCTGTACCCAATTCTGTTTCGATTATTTCCCCGGACGAATTACCAAGTAATATAGGTCCAGTCGTGTTAGTGGTAGTTTTTGTTTTATAATAGTTCCAGGCAACGCATGTTATTTCTGAACCTTGATATTTGCCTACCTACAATAATGAAACATAAATATAAAACGTTTGAATTAAATACCAATAATATGAATGCATTTTCACTTCACTTACTGGTTTAAGTTTAGATAATTGTTTAGTTGTATAAAATAGTTGGGAGCTATTCACATTGCCACACAAAATCAGTAAATGTTCTCCAAAAGGATCTAAGAACAATTGCTTTACTTTGAGAGAAGAAGTTTTAAGCAAATCAATTTCTAAAAGAAAATTACATCAAAACAATTGAGTCAACATAATAAATTATAATAAATTGGAATAATAACATTCTTACCTTCAAAACTGTCTTGTTTTAAGTTGATTCGTAACAGTACATTATTAACCATGACCAGTACAACATATTCATTGCTCACCAATAATTGAGTGATTTTTTCATTCGGAGAAAAGTTTACCTTTTTTTTGGTCAAAATCGAAACCCCTCTGTAGTCTTCATCACCATTGATATTTTCACCCAGCTAATTAAAAAAATTTAAAAAAACCGTGTGCATAAATTAATAAAAAATTATATTAAATATGTAATGTAAAAATATTACTAGTTGCTTGGATGTAGACGGCATTTTAAATGTGCTCTCAGCGGCTACTTCAAACTGATCCAGTATGGATGTCATTTTCAATATTACCGAGCACCAAAAACAATCAAAGTGTATTTTTATTCCAGAATTAAAATACCTTGTTCATCAGGGCGACACATAAATGAGATTATTATAATGTTAATGCATCTAATTTGTATGGAGTATGGAATGGACGTTTTCGGCTATTATATTATAGGTAACATTTCATATTAGAATTGGTGAATCGCAAATAGGCGTGTACCCATAATGTAACGGACAGTATACAGTATACACAGTACACTGAATAGCGAATACTGATTACTGATTAGTGAGTAGCTATATGCGGCTAGATTCTATTCATGATATGACTATATCATGGTTTCCATCATAAATAGGGGCAGCCGTCCGCAATGATAACACAAATAACCTTCAACCATAATATGATCGAAGCTCCGGTTTAAGTCGTGGTCGAAGTATATAACGATACGGATAAATGATAATAGCCTGAAGGTGTTGTTTCAATTCAGTATTTAAATCACGGTTATACAGCTATATAACAACGATTTCGGACAAAACAATATTATTTATAATAATCCGTGTATTCCTAAACTCAGTTGTTAACCAATACACTGGAGAAAAAGCACGGTTATAGAATATTATATGTTTAGCCGTGAGAGAAAGCTACGCTAATCTGGCCAAACGAACAAAAATTCAGATGAATTTGATAAAAACTACGCGCCAAATTCTAATATTCTGTTATCATTAATATTTAAAGGTTTTATTAATAGTTATTTCATTTTTTTCCCCATCAGTCGTCTTTCACGTGTTCTTCGAAGTTTTGCTTTGCTGTTTTTCGTTCTTACTCTCGGTCGTGGTTCCTTTTCATGAAAAATTTTTGCTTCGATTCAGTTATAAATACACGTAGAGACTTGAAACTTGGTAATAATACTTAAATTGAACTTACCTAGACGTGGTAAAATTTTCAAAATCATCGAACGACTTTTTTTTTAATAAGCGTTTTGAAACGAAAATCGCAAAAAAAAATTACGGCACTTCAAATTATGTATTACTGAACTGCGCTCGGAAATAAGCGATATATGCAATAAAATGAAAACAAATAATTTTAATAATATTTTAAAGGTACAAATCAATTTTTCAATTTTAAAAAGAATATCTTATTATCAATACATTTTAGATAATAAATAATAGTAACCAAATAATTTATATTTCGTAATATATCTATGTCTAATAACCCATTTAAAAAAAAATTTCTCTTATTAGAATACTTGCCAAGTATTCCTTGGTGTTGAGTTCATAAAATAGATACATAAACAATTTCTATACATACATAATTAATACTAAAATAATATTATATTGTAAACACATTATATTCGATAAATTCATACTAAATTTATTTTCCTCAATATAGAATAGTTAAAATGCCTATAGTTATCGAACTGACTAATATTTATTTCCATTTGCCTACAAAGTGAAATTTCACGATTTAAGCAACTTTTATCTCCAAATTGTTTTTTACAATTACCAATCGTATTTATATTATTCCTGTATCTTGTATAATAATTATGGTTAAAAGATGGTAAATATATTTTATGCTTAAAGCCTAATGGAAGAGTACATTTAGCTTATCAAAATCTAAGACATTTAACTCATTATAAATAAATTTAGTGCAAGTAAAAGTAGGAACTTTTTACATAAATTTAATAATTTTATTTAAAGTCGATTTTAATTTGTTCAAATAGATATCATAGGCACCCCCCCTCCAAAGTGATATCATTTTTATAGTAAGAATAATCTTTAATAAATTATTTCTATGTAAAACGACAAATGTGTATAATTTTTTTCTATATATTCCTTCATTTATTTTTTATATTCAGTTGAGTTTTACATTTTGACTGTGATATACCTAATGATGAATTTTTAATTCGAAACTGGTCGTTTAAAACACTCATCATAATACTCCAGGCAACACATTTATTCATATATTTATTTTATATTTGTATGTATACATTTTTTATTTATGTATTTATTTACTATTTTTAGGAACATATAAATACAATTTGTACATAATTTGAATGTAGTAAGTACCTATTTAATTTCTGGTAAATCTAAAATGACTTTTAATGTCATTATACAAACTTAGAACAATTATAAAGTTAGATAAACAGACTTTCTTAACTATTAGATGTTCTAACAATACAATTTTTTTTCAAACAAGTTTTCATTTTTTGCAAATGGTTTAGAAAAAATATTGGGTAATATATTCTTAAACAGAGCTTATACAATAAAGACCTTGGTGTTTATTTCAGTTCTGACTTATCGTTTAATTAAATCATGAACATATGCTTAGCAAATCTTATAAAATGTTAGGCTTCATAAATAAGAATTCTCAAAAATTTAAAAATCTCACTACAATAAAAACAATTTATTGCTTTCTTGTATGATCTGTTCTTGAATTTGTCTCAGTAGTTTGGAATTAATCCTTATCCTCTCATATTCATGACCTTGATAATATTCAATATATATTATTAAAAATAATTGCCCATACGAGCAACCTAACCATTTCTAAAGACTATTATCTCGAGTTAAAATTTAGTTAATATAGATTCTTTCCTACAAAGACCCAATTTTATGATATTATGTTAATGTACAATTTATTAAATTACAATATTGTATGTCCTGAGCTTTTAGCTCATATTCTTTCCCACGATTCGAGAAATCATGATTTTTTTTGTCATCCCATACTTTAAATCCAAATTAGGTAATGACTCCTTTTTTGTTAGAGCTTTGAACTAGCTAATTTAGTCTTATTTTTAGATTTAAGTCTATTTTGTTTTAAAAAAAAGCAATATAAATTTAATTAGTCTTAGGATATCAATTTTTTCTTTAATATTTTCTTATAACTTTTGTTTGTTTCTTGTTGGAGATTAATTTCTACCCATAAACTATATGTTTAAACTTATACTCTTAAATTATTTGTATACATAATATTTTTCTCTTCATTTTTACACAATTGATCATCATACCACACTCTATATTGTATAAGTGCTAGCTCTGTTGTATTCTAAATAAATAAATATAGCAAAAAAATGCTTAAATAAATTGAGTAGAACTCACTTATTTTTGGTTATTTGGTACAAAATGTAAAAGTCTGACACAAATAAAAAATTAATTTTTGTATTTACATTTATTTCAATAGGAAAATTGCACATTTGAACATCTCCATTAGCTATATACAGAACTGGTGTCATCATAGGAAGTATATAATATTTTGAAAAGGACTTATTATTTTGTATGTCCATGAAACGACTTATGTTTTCAATAATTAGGTAGTCTACTAGTCTAATAAATATTGTGTCAGGTGTTGATGGCTATGATTTTTTTCAGTAGTAATAACAATGACTGCTACTTGTTCATGGTCATACGGTGTATGTAGTACCCAAATATCTTATATTTTTAAATTTATTTTATACTTAGTGTCTAAAGTCCAAATCAACAAGGTTTTCATCAAAATCTATAATACCTTCAACTACATGGAACAGCAGGTATACAATAAATGACATAAAAAAAAAAACAAAATGAATAATTTTATTTTGAAATATACCTACCTAATTACAATTTGTATACATATAATAAATGGTTACTTGAGGTTGAGTCACATTTAATTTAGAAGACTGTACAATAAAGAGAAAAAAAGAATACATGAAGCTCAAATTAGCAGCCTTACTCCTAAAATTATTTATAAGGATAAAAATAAAATTATATCCTTACATCACAGTCAAATTAGTTTATTTCCATTTAAGTGTTTACAAAATATTAAATCTGCAACACTATACAACATATAATATATAATATAAAAAAAGACAACAATATAATAATTACTTACGGATGTGAAACTATTTAAATGGAAATAAACAGTTTGAAATAATAATAATAAAAACAATTTTCAACTAATATTAATTTTATTTCTTTTAATAATCTAATAAATGTATACTGGAAGAATATATAAAGCAATTTAAATTAAAAATTGTATTTATGTTGGAGGAGTGAGCCTGCTATACTTTTTCAATATTAATTGAACATAGCCTGACCCACAAGAATATCACAGACATAAAAGCCAACGTGGCTATCATTCAACTAGAAATATAATACATTTCTTTTATAACATTTTACTATACAAAAATAAAATATGAGTGCATATTTGACAGCTATTATTTTTTAAATTTAATAAATGGTTATATATAAAAAAAACCATGTCTATTGCCAATAGAAATTCCTTGGGTCAGACTTTAAAACAAATATAACTAAAAGAAAAAAAAAAACTAAAAACATATAGGTACTTATGTTTAATAAACAAAATTAGGTTCTGTATACCAAGGTTCATTAAAAATAAATAAAGATTTGTATTTAACAATTGTTAAGAATGGCACAAAGCAGCCAATAAATGATAATAAATTAACTTGCCAAAACAAATAAATATTACAATAGGGCATCATGATACATTGTACATCCATTTAATAAGGTTTAATACATTACTCATACTATATTCACATCTCGTCTTAACATAAGTAAGGGCTTTTAACAACAAATTATATAATAAGTTTTCACATTACATTATTGAAACAAAATTTATAAATCTATAATAGTAGGTTTTATAGAATAACTATTAAGACACACAGTCAGATATATAAACACATACCATTTTAAGACATTATTTTTTTCTTTAAAACAAATAAATTTACAGATATACATTTATAACTATTTGACAAAATGAAAATGGCAAAATAAAATAACTTACAAAAATACAAAATTAAATACATAACATTTATACTGTTATGTACAGAACTATAAAATAATAAAGTTAGTACATTATAAATTCAGTTTTAATTGGGCTGCCTGTTCCTGATTTTACTGAAATAATTAATCATATAACAATTTTTTTTTATGAAATTACATATCATCCAAATACAAAATTAATATTAAACCAGTTAGAACAAAATACTTAGAAAATTATTTTTAGTGCCAACATTAAATAAATGTTAATAAAAGAAATACAATTTATTTTTGAGAATAGCAATTTCAAAACAAATAACATTAGAAAAATAAAAATTAACAGATTAAAGAAATTTGATAACAATGACGAAAATGGTTTCTTTTTATTAAAATAGTAAAAAATAAAGAATGAAAAAACCAATCAATAGTTCTTGAAAGCATTAATTCTAACTGATATTTTAAATAAATTGATCAATTATTACCATTTTCACAATATTCTGTGTGCACCATCAAAATATGTTTTCAATTAATAATTGCATCACCAAATAATCAGTAAAAAAAAATATAAAATCCTGACCTCCATCTGTATTCATTTTTTCAATTAACAGTTAACCACAGAATATATTAGTAAAATGATAAGATCAAACTTGAACAATTTTTTTACATTAAAAATTAAATATATTATAAAATAAATATAACTTACAAAATATAAAAAGTATTATGTTTTATCGAATTCTCCGAACTGGTTTTAAAATCTTTCTCTGTGGTGGTGGTTTTTTCTGTTCAGTTGTTTCAGGTTTGGCCCTATTGATAAAAAGGTTTTAAATAGAAAATAAAAATAAAAATCTAAAACACTTACGTAAATTGGGTAGTTGCTCCACCAGTGAAATTAATTGAGGATAATGATGCGTTAGGATCTAACTTCATAGGGTGCTTTGTACTTGATTGACTGAATATAGTATTTGGTGTACTATTAATACTATTAATTTGATCTTCAGCCTACAATTAATAAATAAATAAAACACATAAACAAATAATTTAAAATAGTTTGATTTTTAATTTACCTGAACAGGTTTTATAATTCCTCCAATATTAGAGTCATTAAATACAGGTACATGAGGAGATTGTGTAAATGAAAAACCACTAAGGGCCGTAGAAGTAAACGAGCTAGTAGTTAGAGGGTTTTTATCATTTTCTTTAGACGTCATTGTAAAAAAATTGTTAGAAACTGGAGGGGCCATTAATCCAAATGAAAATTGAGGAGTAGAAACTGATGTACTTAATGATGTCGGAGTTGATGTAGAGGGCCCAGCACCAAATACTTTATTATTTAAGCCAAATACAGTACTAGCAGTAAAACTACTAGTAGTTAATGTTGGCGCAACAAATGGTTTATCATTAATGGTTGTTCCGAAAAATGTTTTTGGTCTTTTTTGGTCATCAAGTGAATTTTGATCTTGTTTTGCTAAAGAACCAAAACTGAATAACTGAGAGGTTTTAATCAATCCAGATTTTTGATTTTCTATTGATGTTTCATCAGAGTGTGAATGACCATTTACCAACTGAATTGTACTTCCGATAGTAGATGGAACAGTTTGAGTTACACTAGGAGAGTTAAATGAATTAGTTTCAATTTTGTCTTTATCACTTTTAGACAAATCTTCATTTTTAATTAAAGAATTACTAGAATTATTTTCAACAAAACTAAAAGTTGCTTGAGAAATTGGTTTATCAGTTTGATTATTATCACTGAATTTGAATTCACTAGTTTTGCTTTGTAACTCGACTGATTTTTCAGTCACTTCATTTGTATTATTAACTAAACTTTTTAATTCATTTGTGGATTGTGTAATAACATTACTATCAGTGGCAAGATCTTCTTGTACAGAATTGTCAGTACTAGTTTTATCTAAACTAAATTTGAATTGTGTTATTGGTATACTATTTGCGTTAAGTCCAAAGTTAAACTTACTATCAGGTTGATCTGGTTTATTTTCACTACCAAACTTAAATTGAGGTAAAGGTTGATGATCATTACTAATGATATTCGACACTTCAGTAGCCTTTTTTATCGGCGAACTTGTCAAACTTTTAATTCCAAAAATGTTTGTATCAACAAAATGATGATTAGCTTTATCATTAACCATACCAAATTTAAATTCTGCGGATGCTTCAGCAGAATTTTCAATTTCAGAAGTTTTGAATGTGGGCATAACAAATTTAAAATTATCAGGAGGCGATTGATTAGTATTATCACTACCAAATCCAAATTTATAACTTTCACTAGATTTTGCAAATGTGTTATTACTTAACCCAAATGAAAATTGAGGTTTAGGTTTATTTTCTGGAACAGATCCTGGTTTTGTCGTGCCACAAGAAATACATGAAGTACAATCGCTTTTATTTTTAACCCAACAAGCATCACATGTCCAAGAACTTTGTTCAACAACCTTTTTGGTAGTTCCAGGTTTTTGAGTTTGACATGCAACACAAACATCAATTTCATTTTTATTTGGAACCCAGCAAGTATCACAAGTCCATGTACTAGATTTAACTTTAAATGTATTTTGAGAATTATCAGGCAGTGAAGTTTGATGTTCAACACAATTAGTTTTATTTTTATCTTTATCATTGTCATCTGATAGTTCTTTTGTAATATTTGATTTTAGTACTTGAGGTAAATTGTCGCACACATTTAGTGGTTTTATAGATTCAAATTCAGAACTATTAGTCTGGATACATTTATTAGGGACGTTTTTCGATTCATTACTAAATATAGATGATATCTTATTATTCTTGGATATTTCACAGTTATTTGTGATCGATACTTTTTCAGTTTCACAAGAAGAAACACTAATTGATGGTTTTACAAATTTAGAAGGTGAACTAACTTTATCACTTAAATTAGCGTTATGTAAATTATTTAAAGACTTTTTTTCTTTTTTCAAACATGTTTTTTCAACCATTTGTAAACTAAATTGTTCTAATGTTAAAGGTTGATCAAATGTGAATTCGTTATCTTCAGCATTAGTAGAAGAAAGCTGTATATTTGGTAATACAGGCACTGTTAAAGCAATATTAGGCAAATCAATTTTAACAGGCATTTCTAGGTCCTCGGACTTCAAACCACGTGCTTTCTTTGAAATATTAGCTTTTAGTTTTCTCGATTGAAAACCAATTGACCTTAAAAATAAAATAAAAATGAATCATTAATATGTATTATAAAAATGACTGATACTGTTGATGGACGTGCTATTGTTTTAAGAGGAATATTGAAAAAGAAGAATACATAACAATTAATTTAAATCTGTACACAACAAAATATGATTCTAAACAAAGAATTATTAGACTAAATATCAAAACTGTTAGGTTTTTCCACATTTTTTTTTTAAGAAAAAAAAAAAAAATTAATTAAATACACTAACGTATCAATTAGATCAAAAATGCTATAAGGTTTGAATGAAGTTTTTGATTTATAGCATAAAAGTTGCTTACAGATCCAGATTACTGCTTGTATCTTTAAAATTGTTTCAAAAACTCTACTTTGTCTAATAACTACTAATAATTACTGTCTAATAATTAAATAAGATAGGTTTTGTGTTCTCAAAAAATTTCTTCTTTTTGAATTGAAACATTAAACTCTACCATTTCATTTTTAAAGCAGAAAGAATCACTTTCTAGGTCAAATTAAACCACAGTTATGAAGAGCTTTTAATCATTATTGTAACAAAAATGTATACACTATACAATCATACATATCAAATTTTAAACACAAAATTAGTGGTAACAATAATTATTTTAAGTATTGATTAATACCTTTAATAAGACAAATTGAGAAATTTAAATTTAACCGGAAGTTAATCGCCAGAATTTGGCCAGGTAAAAGTCTAGTTTATGGAGACTTTACTTAATTAATGTATACAAGAACCAACCGTGTGTTAAATTTGAAGTTCACTGACGGTTAGTATTAACACACATAACCGGCAGTTAAACTGAAACTTACCAACAGTTGATTCTTATATATGTTGGTTAAAGAAATTCTCCAGTATCCGGATTTCTGCTTGATTATCCTCTGGTTAAACTAAAATCTCTCTGGATTGTATTACCAATAGGTAGTATCAATACTTTTTAAGAATTATTGTTACTAGTAATAATTAAATCTTTATTACTAATTTTGGGTTTTATGAGCTTGAGTTTCAAGTATAGAGTATATATTATTTATTTTTTTATTAGAAATATGAAAAGAGCAATAAATGCAATTGGATTCAAAGTTATTATTCAGACTATGAAAATGAAATATCAGAATTAAATATTTGCAATTAGAAAACAGAAAATTTTTCAAGAACGCAAGAACTACCTTGAATTATTAGACTAGTTGGTTTTGCAGCCAACTAGATCAACATATAGTCTCTTCCGTTGTAGAAAAAATATTGCTACATCTCTTATTATTTGTTGACATGTTTTAGTTAAGACGTTATATAAATAACGAATGTCAATAATCAATATGAATATTATAATACCAGGTTTTGTTTTGTGAACAGACAAGAAAATATTAAATTATAACATTTACTAATTGTATAGTTTCCAAAAGTTAAATATTTTACTTACGAGTTATTATACGATTTGTCAATTTTTACAGTTGTTTTGTCATTTTTTTCTGGTGTTGTGTCAATTTTCACTGTGGTCTCTATTTTGAGAGGTACAGTTTTGTGATTTGCTTTATGCCTTAAAGGTGTTTTAGGTTGAATAATAAATTTATTTTCTTCAATTTCTTTATCCTGAAATAATTAAAATATGAATTAGTTTCTTTAGAATAAAAACAAATATATATTTTTCCAACCTTAGTCGAAATATGTCCTAAAAGAATAGATGAAGTTGTTCTAATTTCACTATTATTTGAAGGTGATATTGGAATAATTGTTTTTCTATGAATTGGAGGAGCATTACCAAGAAGTTTTGATAAATTTGAACGCGCAGATCGTCCACCATACATTACTTGAGAACAATTTAAAGGAGATTTCTGGGCAAATAATTTTTGACGGTCTGTTAACTGAAATATAATTAATCACATAAATTAAAAAAAATAATGCCAGTTCCTATTAATTCTAAATAAGAAACTAATTAATTAGTTTGAACAAATATTAATATTACAAAAAACGATTAAACTGCATCCATACTAATGTTATACAATATTCCGTCTATTAATGTAATATTAAATTATGTAACAAGTACACATTTAAAGAGGTATGAACATAATTGTAAAAAATTACATTTTTACAAATGGCATCAATAAAATAATATACATATGTGTGTTTGAGTATACAAAAAACTTCATTGTTTTATTTTTCATTTGTAATTAGAGTAAATTAAGTTTCTCATTTTGTTATACTAGTAAAGATACAGCTTAAACATTACGACAAAAACCAAGCTTCAATAGTTTGGTTGAGATTAATAATAAAAATAATCCTGTACTATACTTTCCAGCAATATTGACTAATTCTATAAATTTTATTTAAAGTGAATTACAAATAATTTATTGTGCTAATATAATAAATGAGTAATTTAAAATTAACTTACTTCTCCATAATTTACAAATGTATCCCATCTGAATGATGGTGAAGATGAATTTTTTGAAGTTGTTTCGCATAATTTTAATAAAGACTGTGAATCGTTCTCTCCTAAAATTAAGATTTATATTTAAAAGGGTGCTACATTCTCAATTTGTTTTCTTTGATGATCATAAAATATGGGAAATTTACTTTATATAGATCTTTTAAAATTAAAATATTATATTATTTGCTCTTTTTGGTGTAACTACACTAAAATAACCATTACACCAAAATAATCAGTTTAATTGAATACCAAAAATTAGGGAAATATTGTATACATAATAAAAAAAATACATAAAAATTCACCAAAGTTTTTTGAAAATAACATTTTCACAAGACAATAGTCTTAGATAATAATCTTCTATGAAAAAGAAGTATGACATTTGATAGATTTATAAAAAAAAAAAAACAACCAATTAAGAATCTTACTCGATTTAGCATGTTTCAATGAAGTTGATATTAAAGTTTCATTACTAGTGTTCACTGTGTCAGAATTTAAAGATCTTTTTAAACCTGAAAAAATAAATAAAATAGTGATAAGGTTTCAAACACTGCTTTATATATTTATTTGATAAATTAGTACCAGGATGAAAATTTAGGTAAGGTAAGGCATATCCCCTTACTATGTAAGTAATACCAACAGATATAGCAAGCCGTCCACTATCACTATAACTTCTTTAAAAATGGTTTCAAAAACGCGATAAAAACAAAACATTTTTAAATATGCTAATTTTCAAGGTTTATATACTTTAAAAATATGATACTTCAGTTTTCATAACACCAATGTATTAAGTGATAAAAACAATCCAACCCAATTTGGAAAATATTTAAATATTTATTTTATTTTTCAACAATATTAAAATCGAAAAAACAAAAAACAAAATGTTTTGAAGGTTTCTCCCAATTCATTTTAATCAAAGTTCATCAAACCTTTTTCTCACATTTCTAATTTAGGTTATTAAAAATACTTTTTTTTTAGAAATAAAAATTGGTAATCTCTAAAAATATCTTATAACTGGGTACATAGTTTTTAACACGTTTATTATATATATATATATTTAAATATTTGTGTGTAAACTAAACAAAATATGGTCTACACACAAAAGGTTTATCAATACTTACTATTTGTAGTAGCAGGTTGCTTGTTTATTGTACTCAAAGTAGGCGTTGATGAAGCAAAATTGACAGTTAACGTTTTTGGACTTTTGTTAATCTTCGATAAATCAATCGAATCTGATTTTCTTTTTAGGGAACCTTTATTTAAAATGAAGAAATTTAAATATATTAGAAAACCTTAAAATTGTTTATTAAACATTTTTTTTTTTTTAAAAATGCTTAACTTAATAATAATAAAATCTAATAGATAGTTGATCATATTGCATATAGTTCATAAGTATTATTTCAAAGGGTAAATCACTAATGAAAAACAGTATACAAATATTTAATAATCGCTGGGGAAAACATTATACTCTTGAATCTGGTGTACATAATAGGTTTGTTCCACTATGGAATTTGGGACTAGTCGTAGACTGATCTGCGATTGATTTACTGTGCATACGCTAACATGGATTGATCATAGATTCAGAGTTTTGTGGGAAGTGTTGGAACGAACGTGTTTTAGACCAACTCTCGATAGTCCATGATTGTAGAATACAGTAAGATAAAAAACCTAATGAGAATTAATCTTATATCTTGTAACAAAATATTTGTTGTTTTAAAATTTAATTGAAATGGTTACACATTCAAATGCAAATAATTGATAGCATAAACAAAAAACAATGAATAAATGATAACAGGATATCTAACTACTAGTTCCCATTCGAATTAGTGGATCGTTTTGACTGTCAGAAACCACTTCCAAAACTGGACTAATGTGTTGGAACAACATTTGACAGTTTGAGTTTGTGTTATTTGTGTTGAAACAACAAAATTCTACTACGCATGCACCCACCAGTTCTATGATAGTTTGAATGCATGTTGAAACAAACCTAATATTCATCAACCTCGGTATTATTTAATGAGAACATATTTTATCCCTTCAAAGTTATAATAAAACAAAATAGTTAAAAGTGTACATATACATTTAAAATATATTTTTCAAACAAACTTTAAAATGTAATAGGAGATGTAGAAGGTCTTTTATTTAAAATTGTGCAATAAATATAAATACTTTTTTTTTAGATAACAGTGGTTTTTAATTTAGCAAAACTAAAATACTTACCCCGACTACTGATATTATGAATAAAGGAGGAAGAATTTGTTTGTATTAAAAATTGTCCACTTTGTGTACTTGTACTTGGCGCACAATTAACAGCATTTATTTCAGGTAAAGAAGTAATCACATCTACTTAAACAAAGGTATTTTAGTTGAAAAAGCAAAACAGCCACAGGTGATTAATTTTTTACATACTCGAATTTCTATGGTTGTCTGGTGAAGTAATAGATGGACTTGTATCCCCACACGTCCGGTTATTTGTGGTAGAAAACGTATTGTTTGACGTACATAATTTTTTCACAGGAGGTTGATCGTCACTTTCGCAAGCGGACGTACCAACATCGGCTGATTGAGTTTCACCCAGTAACATGTTCATCCATGTCGTCCCAGGTATAAGTTGGGAAACACGTTTGGTGACCCTTCGCATAAATGACTGAAATAATAACAAAAAAGTTTTCACTGATAATCGTTGAATACACGTTATAAGACGCGTATCAATAAGTGCCGATGCTATAAGAATTTCACCAGTACGACCATGTGATTGCACGGCGTAAACGGGCGGGAAAAAGGTGGTAGAAATCAGTGAATGCAAAGGTATGCAAGATCGGATTAGGTCATTGCGAGTAGTCTACGAAGATACAAGATTCGATGAAAAAAATACATACATTGTGCAGTCAAACTTAAAATTTTGGTATTGATAATACCGTTTCGGCACCGTCCGCTAGATATCTACTTACGTTGGATTTGTCATACGGCTTCATAGTGGTAGTCAGCCGAATCCTATCGACACAATTAAAAGTACTTGATACACGAACTACGGCCGGACATGCAGTATCGACATTGTCATTACCAAAAACGGTACTTCATTCCGCGATATCTTCGATGTTATTTATTTTTTTATTGTTACCGAGTAACGCGCTCGCGAGACAAGCGTAGAGACATGACGGCCATGATGGATAAACTAGATCAGTCGTCGCGCGCGGCCAATCACAATAATCACATGATGACCAACGGAGCGCCCAACCAATGGTAGCACTGACGTTGGTTACTTGCCATTAGCGTGTTAGCGTAGTAGTGATTTTAGTCAACAGATGACACTACTTATGCACGTTTCCTCCTTGGACCTGTAGACTGTGGGGAGATGCACCTGTTACTGTTGCCGCCACCGGCCGCTGTGGTTTTGACGATGATAATGATGATGACCGGTTTTAACTGCCGGGTTACCGCCGTTACCAAATAACTTTCGTATTTTTCTCCAGTCGTAAGTGTCACGCCGTTCAGTTGAGTGTTGTGTTTCTTCTTCGCTTTTCCGTCGTAGTCTTATCGACGTTATTATTATTTCAATTATTTTGTATACCGAATGTGTCGCGAAATACAACGGCGGTCGATATCGTTTAATCCCAACTGTGAATATTTTTTTTGATTTTTTTTTACAAGAGTGTTTTCTTGCGGAGCCTTTGCTGCAAGATGCGGCGATTACTTCTTCTTGTCATCTTAACAACTACAGGTATACCCTAATAGTTACACCTACTTAAAAAATACCGGAGGCGAATTTTTTTGGATCGTTATTTTCTGTCTCTGAAACTTATTTAAACTATTTTTATTTTCATCGTAATAATATTAATTAATTAGTTTACAATAATTTTTACATCCCCGTATTATTCTTATTATTACCTATTTGCCTATTTATATGTTTGTTGGCGAAGCTTTGGCTAACCGATCAAAAACCCGAATCGCGTCTTAACAAACTGTTGAAGAAAATAGAAAATATATTATTTCCACCTCAATAAAACCCAACCTGCAGGTATATAATATTTAAATGTTGTGATGTGTACCTATGTGTATAATGCGTATTCCCTTTAGACTGTATGATATGCATGCAGGGTCGTGCCTGGGGTGGGGGTGCAAGGTGCGAGAGGTATCCACGTCCCGGGTGCTATTACTACAGGGGCGCCTTTTTTTTTTTGCTCATCATTCAATTTGTCTGGCATAGGGTGCCGATTTTGTTAGACACAGCACTGTGTGCTGCATGTTTATAAATTAATTAAATACTTTAAAAGCGTGCTTTCATTATAAATTGGCATAATTAAAAACAGTTTAAAGGGACACAAAATTACAGTAAATGTGTATAGGTTAATGTATATATTTTTTGCTCGGTAAATTTACACTCTTAACGGCTTCTTCTAAACCAAAAAAACTCAGGAATTACAGTTTTTTAATAGACGGTTTGAAGTGATAACAATTCGGCTGAATTTCAATATGAATTTGACCACGTTGTTATGGGAAGACGGTGATTTTCAGCTTTGTACACACCCGCAGATCCCTAAATAAACCCAGAGGGATGCAATTTTGTAATGTATGGTGTACATATCAAGAATGTACCTTTTAATGGTTTTAATTTGCAAACGCCTTCCCAACCATTTTTATGCTCAAATGCCATGTTTCACAGGACATAGCAGGTTTAAAATACTCTGACTACTGGCTCATAAAAGTAAGTAACTTGGTTCAAAAGTGTATATATACTCGTGTAAATAGAATTGTCGAGTAAGTACCTTAAAAAGGTATGAACTTTCGACTCCTGTTCCAACCGTTTGTTTGTATGTCAGGGAAAATCTCGAGAACTACTCGACAAAACTTGTTTTGTTTAATTTCCATACCAACAATAATATAATATTCGTATAAAGGCTGGTAAACAAAAAAAAAAAAAAAATGAAAATAATTTATACATGATTTGAAAGGCCGTAATTTTTACAATTTTCGTCATAATTTGATCTTGAAACTCGTTTACTCAATTATTAAGAAAACTACACGGAACACTGACAAACGGCTTTTTTACACCTACTAGCTCCAAAATTAAACGATAAAGTTCTCTTGTCATTTTTCGATTGGAGAATTATTTCTGGTAGGTAGCATAAAGCGTACAAATTAATAATAATGAAATTATAATGCCGTAAATTTGTCAGTTTTCATTTTACTTCTTTATCCGATTTTCCCTAATTACTATGAAAACTGCTTGGAACACAAAATAACTCACCAACGAGATTAAAAATATAACACTACTAAGTGTGGTTTTTTAATTGAAATAAGATTTTTGGTTGAAAACATCTTTGAAAACATAATTCGTTAAAAAAAAACAGTAAAACCAATAAATCCCACTTCGAATAAACCCCGAATCTATAAAACATAGAATATAAAAACGAAAAAGGCCTGCTGGGAGAAAATTTGACTTTAATGACGAAACTCTGCTGCATATATGTGTTTTAGATTCTGAGCGGAGCGAGGAATATATTGGTTTTACATTGAAGTTAATTTTTTTTTTTTCTGTAAACAACTTTTCTACCAGAAATTTTTCTCCGATTTTCAAGTGTAGTACCTTTTATAAAGGGAAATTGACTGAGGTGGTTCCTTTAAAGAAGTTATTTTTTGATTTTAACAGGAGTTTTCATAACAAATAGGAAAAAACGTATATCATTTTTAAATGGTGAATATTACGTCTTTTAAAAACGTATATAACCGAACCCCGCTCAAAATCATTTTTCGTTACCAATAAATTAACCGTTTGGATACATATTAACCTTTCCAACTTCTAACTTACAACAGTGGTCCACCCATTGTGTGAAGTATATTTGTTTTTTTTTTTAATTTATATGCCTATTAAATTCTTTAATTTTTATCAGTTTTTTTTTTTTTTATGTATCTAGGTGTATATTGCATATTTTTTCTGTAAAACACTCATTATCTCGGATAATAGATATATTTGGTTTTAATACATTATTGTATGGAGTAGTTATTATTTTTTTCAGAATGTTCTTTATGGAATTATTATATTATGATTATGTCACCCTTATATTTGATGCTGAAACCACTATCAACTTTTGATCTTAAAGTTTAAATTACAAGTAGTATGCATATTTCTAATTATAGGTCATAATTTTGTAACATTTAAAATTGTTTATCATTATTATAAACGCTAATGTAAATACTTCAAATATTTTTGGTGGGAGGGTCTACATCCCCTTCAATATTTATTATGTAGGTACTTTACCTATACTTTGTACTTACTCGATAAGAACTTTATTTGAGGGAAAGTCTCCATCTCAATTTGTGTAAATTATTTTTAAAAATTACATCTATTACTGTATTATATTAACTATATTTAAATTTTTAGATTTTAGGATTTATGAGATGTTTTATAATAATTTTCTTTAAACAATTTATTTATGACGGGTCGATTCCAAATTAAAAGTACTATTTCATAAATAATAACCATAAGGTAATAACAATAAAGAATGATGGAATACAATATTTTACAATTACTATAACAAGAATGAACACACAATAATAAAAAAACTTGCCTTAATTATAGAAGAAAAAAAAGTTAGGGTCATTGTTCTTTTTTCGCATTTGGCGATAGGAAAATTTTCGTTGAAATTATAGAAGGCGAACGAAAACTAAATAAGAAAGGCACAGACAAACAAATAATATGGCGAAAGTACATTTGAAATTGATAAGGGATAGAAGTTGAGGGTCAACTTTACCAGACTTAAATTTTTTCTGAATTTTCGAATTTCCACTTTCGCATTTTCACTAATACCTAATCTTAATTTTTAGATCTCAAATGTGATATCTTTTTTACGAAAAATTACGTATAAACATTATATGGGGTTGTATAATTTAATATTGTGAACACGTGTGGGAATCTTTCCTAGGTATCAAAAGAGGTATACAATACGTCAAAACAATTAATTATTAACTTTTAAAAAGAAGAATTCAATTTGAATAATTCTGCTATAATACAGATATTAGTTAACATATAAAACGTTGTATTTAGATTTTTTTGTTTAAAAAAGTATGCTATTATTATTAATAACAAAATTAGAACCATTACACTTCTGAGTAAATATAGTTAACACAGGAATTGATTAAATTTTGTTTTATAGTATTATGTTACGGGACGCGAAAGAAATTATTTTGTCTTTTGTGGCAAGGAAACCAATGTCATTCAAAGAAAGTACTTATGTACATTATTTTTTCACCTTTTAGTCCATACAAAAATATCAATAAAAAAAATTAAATATAAAAATTACCGAACGTTAATTTTGTTTATATTGTATACCTAATACATATATACCTATCTATTATTCTTAATTTATAAGAACGTAATAGAAAATTGGTTTATGCTTTCACATTTCCTTTTTAACATTTTTTTTTTGTCTTAAATATTGTTGGTACGTTCAACTTATTTATTAGTTTTTAATTAAACATTTAAATATAACAAACATAGATTATATTACACATTTTATAATTGGTAAAATCGATTGTTTTTTGAATATTTCGAGACTGAAGCTACATTTCAGCACTCTTTCACCCACATATCCCATCTCTTAACAGATTCTTAATTTTATTTTATTTAAATCAATATCGAAAGATTATTGTGCCTCACTGAGAAAATCTCGTTTTGAGGCCCAGGGTTATTTTAGTTTACAAATAATGCTCATTAATACAGGTACATATTGTGTAACAAAAGGATATTTGTACAGAATAAATTATTTATTTTATTTTACGAAAACAACCTCTTTTTGCGCGCTGATGTATGTACAAATATTTTAGAGGGGGTGGACTTAATATTGATATTAAATATACTTAGTATTTACCTATTTGGTTTTGGGGGATTGCCTGAGTTTTAGAGGGGCTAAATTCCTTTACCCTTACTATTTGCGTCTACAAGTCTGTACATTATAATTAAACTATATAATGGTATGAGTTTTATCCAGTGTTAATATAGCTTATACAGAGAGAAATTTGAGAGAAGGTATAAAATATATAATATATATATATATTTAATTACCTAATTTTTCGTTTATACATAAATATTAAACAATTATTAGTTGAAATATTGGATACCTATTAAAGTATAAATAAATTACATGAATTCAATAAATAAAACAATATTCCGCTATTTGATTTTTTGTTTTTTCAATAAACAGTTGTTTATAATATTTATATTACTGTAAATATTTTATTGTTTCTAGCGGAAAAAAAACAAACAACAAAATAAAAATTAGTTATACATCGCATTATCTAAATTACTCTTACTGTTTTAAAAATAATATTATTATATCTATGTATGGAATATAAATTATACATGGAAGTATGGAAGTCTATCGAATCGTGTTATATAATATTATATCGCATTCAGTGCAATACGTATAACGAAACGTATACGAATATTTAATTTTAAATATTTCTGCACAATATTATGAATTTCTTACTTTAATATGTTCATGTTTTTTTTTTTTTTTTTTTGTGCCTGTAAACCACTTTTCAATCAGCAATCTTACTCTACTTTTCAATTGTAGCATTTTTTCTGAAAACAAATTTTATCTTGTTTTTTAAAATTTCATATAGTTTTCTATTTGGGAAAAAGCGTTAAGTAAACGGAAAAATTTTACTCCATTTCCCTCGTGTTTTCAGTATTTAAGTTTTTTTTTTGTAATTTAGTTAAAATTAGTACTTTTTAATTTTAGTACGATTTTCAAAATATTCTTACCATTTTTATGCTATTTAAAGCCATGTGATATTTTCTAGTTATTTTTATTTGGTTTTTTTGATTAATATTGTTTTGGCCTCCAGAACGTATTTAGGGGTGTCCTTGGGTGCATTGGTCTGGAGTACCTATTTTAGGGGGTGTGATTATCTTTTAAATCATGATTAAATAGCAGTTATTATTATTTTTTGTTTAATATGTCTTAATATCTCATCTCACAATTTGCATTTATTTAATGAGTGTTACAAAATAATGCGCTTTATGAAAGGGCGTTAAAATTGTAAATACGTCTCTGTGTTTGACGTTTGACCCGATAAAAATGCTCGATAATTTACCACGAGATTCGTTATAAGTTTTACTTAATGGTAAAAAAAACAAAGTTGTGTGTTATGCAATGATTTTGTAAAAGTTTTAATTATTATTAAAATCGTAAAAATTGTGACTTTTTGAAATATTTTGAACGGAACTTTACTCAGAATCCTAGAATAATAAATAGCTACTAAAGTGTAACATATTTTATCTCGAAATCCATGCCTGAATTTCTGTGACAAGTTTTGTGCAAAATATCAAAAAATATAATATTATTAAAACTTGTATCTATAAATATATAGCTATCTATATACAGTAGAACTAGCTTATTAGGAACACAGATACTTGATACAATTGCGTTATCCAAACAAAATGTGTTTAAATAGAAAATACATTTTATTAACTAAAACTATGTTATAAGAATACAAATTACACTATTTGTAAAACTAAGTCTTATTACTACTTTTTTTTCAACTGTTTAACAAAATAATATTTCTTGAGATGCTCTGTGTACGAACTCGAATTTTCTGTGATTTACATCTTAAACTAAACTTACAGCATGTATGATTCAGAGTATGTACAAGGTGCATATATAACTCTATACTTAAATTGCTATTGTGTAATATACTAATACCATACATTTCTTCTTGTATACATAGTATATACATAGGTATCTTATTCTGTACTTTATTATAAAATATTATGTTGTTTATTAGAGTGATTATTTCGATTGTTGTGATTTTCAAAATTTTGCAATAATCCATCAATATTCAATAATATTTTATGTATTCTGTAAATAAACCAACTACCAATATAATGCAATGTAACGCGTCATTTATATCTGTTGAAAGAAAAGAAAAACCACCAATAATTATTATAATTAAAAGGAAAATGTAAAAACAATTGAGAGGAAATGTTTAAATATAATATAAGTACCTAGTTGATTATCATAATCACCATCATAGATTTGAATTCAGGTTAGACTAGGAAATTCAAAGAAATGTCAGCGCGATATAATTTCGAAAATTGGAGGATGATTACAACATAACCAAGAGCCACTCGGTCATTTGACACGGTTGTTTGTTTCGCTTATGATTACCCCAGATCGCTTTTCTTCCGTAAGTCTTAAGTATTTGCTCCATATAACACAATACGAGTACCTGTGTTTTATGTTACATAGTTAAGTACTTTTATTTATTTGTATTATTATTATAATATTAGTTTAAATTAACATTAATATATATAGGCGGTTAAATGCACAGGGATTCTTGTGCTTAAGTACAGTATACGTGTACTCGTATTTAATTTATTTACATGGGTAGGTATAGGGTATTAAATGTTTGTAGCGAAAATATAAAAAGTATAATTTTATGGTAGAAATATTTTCAAAATATGTTAATTTTATGATTCGTCAATTACTTTTAGGTTATTATTATTTACACGGCACTATATTATCCAATGTATGTAAATTTGTGTTATTGTTTGACAGCCGTTCATATATTACATTATTAGTATTATTATTTATTATTATTATTCTTTTTCTTATACTTTCGTAATATGTTAAAACTGCAGCTCACTTAATAGAATTCAAAAAAATTGTATTTTAAAAAAAGGATATAATTTTGTATTAAATGGCAGTAATGACAATTTTGAACTTTTAGTGCTAAAAAGTTCTACGTGTATAACTTACACATTGAATTATTGTTATTATTAGGTAACACTGTTATAGATATGTAACTGTATAACTAATGATTTAATTTTATTCTTATAAAATATCCATATATTCTTTCTCTACATTAAACAAGTTTCAGATTCGTTTCTGAAATCAAAATAATTGACAATCTCGTGAATGATATATTAATTAGTAATTACCTATCTATATAAGTCACGTGCTCGTCATAAATACCTAAATAATTTATATAATTTTAATTATTTTAACAAGTTTATTTTGTAATGAGGAATAACGATCCAAATTATTTATTTATTTAGTCAAGGTGAAGCCTTTATTCAGTTTTTTATTTTTATTTTTTTTATTTATTATATTGCAGGTTTTGTAGGATGTTTAGCAACTTCAACTGAAACGCTATGCAAGTTCCCTGGTGCACCGGCACATTCGACTGTATCGTTTTCCAACGATACTTTACCTACTGGTGCGATAGCTACGTATAATTGCGAAAGGGGATTCGAACTTCTGGGACCAGCTAGAAGAGTGTGTGAACCGACCGGAGAATGGCTGCCCGAAGGAATACCATTTTGTGGTAAGTTTTTTTTAATTTTTTCTTAATTTCATCATATTTGTAATAGGTATAGAAGCTATAATAGTAATATCATTTTAAATTATATTTAATGGTTTACTGACTATTATTCGTTGATCGTTTCTAATATATTTTAAATTAATTTTAAACCGATTAAGAATAATATAAGATCCGGCTAAATCATAAAAGACTTAAACGACATGCACGTAATATTTTTTAAATATTTATATTGTTATAGAAAGTTTTTGAGCTTATATACCTACTATTCAATGTTTACTTTCCTTATTATTTTTAAATTTTCATCTGGTACCTAACAATTGATTGCTATATAAAAGCGTTTTTCCTACAAATTATGTATTTTTAATGAACACATAATATCACTCTTTTGTTATTTTTTTTAAACTTTCCCTTGCGTTTATAAGCACTACCGAAACAATATGAAGATTTATTTTTATTTGTTATTCGTGGACTTTTTTTATAATAAGATAACTATCTAGTAAAAATTGTTGTATTATTAATTACCTACATCGTTTATTAGAAATTAGTAATAGTATGATACTTATTAAGCCAACGAAAATAGTTTAATTTAAATATAATGTTATCTACCTATAATAACATTGTATATCTTATAGAAAAATCTAGCAAGGAAAATATTGAAATAATGTGTGGTAATATATCAACACTCTTAAGTATTCTAAATGTACGATGACAAAAAAAAACAATTTTTTGAATAAAAATAGTAGGTACCGTTGGCCAAGATAATAATAATAATAATAAAAAAAAATACTACCGCATGGTTGTCGCGTCGGTTAGAATCATATACAAAGTGGTAAATTATGCTCGTGAATTTAATGCCCCGTGAAAAAGTATATATTTTCATGGGTAAAAAATGAAATTTATTTTATAACAATAGTACTTACCTATAAAACCGCTGTTTCTTCAACAGATTATAATAGCGTAAAGAATTGTAATATTTTGTTATCCACAAGGACAAAAAATACCGATTAAAAACAAAACAGATCTATCTATCTACATATAAGTATTAAGTACTATAATTTTTTTTTGAGATACATACGATTTTCAAATCAAATCAATGCTTAGTATTCATTATCAATATTTTGGGGGCTTAAGTTTCCCTGGCCAAAAAAATATTTGAGCTATTTGCGCTTTATATAAAGTATTTGTATGTTTATCGTTATGATTGTTAAATAAAAATTCAGTCAAGTAACTATTCTTTTCATAAAGATACATAACATCATTTATAAATTTGTTATTCGCTTTTGATGATAATTATTTCATTTATTTATTTATTGGGTTTATTTGTATAATATATATAATGTATTTATCGAAATATTACTTAGTAGTTACTTACTATAAAGGGAACTAATTTAAGAATATGTTAACAAATTATTTGCTTAATTTATTTTTGAATAATTGAACAAACACTGTAAAATTTTTCAAAATTCCTCTATTATATAATTGTGGCTATACTATCAATGACAACAAAATAATTATACAAATAGTCTCTATTATATGAATATTAATAAGTATTTAAGAATTAAGTACACATCATTATTTAAGTACTCGTAGAACCTAAGACGAAATGTATTTCTTTTTTTTGTTTACTGTGTGGGGTCCATGTATATTGTATACGTCTATTGGTAGGCTTAAAAAAATAAAATAAAATAAACACTGGTCATTTGTATTACATTTCATACCGACAAGTACTTATTATAATATTAATTTGCATTATTTAAATGTATTTAAAGCTACTTTTAGATAGTTAGGATGTTAATACTTCTGTTTACCTAGTCCGACTCGTTGTTTTTCGATTGCAGGGACGCTGAAAATTGAATTCCAAATGTGTGTACTTAAATAACATTCGATATTTATCACGAGACCATTTTATTATAAATAATATTATTTTATCTACAAAAGCATTCACTTCTTATTTATTATGTAGGTACTCCTCTAAGAAGTGAAAAGCCATTTTGTAATTGTGACCTGATTGTAACTTCCAAAGTGGGTGACGTATTCATTAGTGTGACCCGTAGATTTTAAGAGCTGATGACAGAAGCTACATTATAGTATTCAATCGTAGGGACAAAACAATACGCGCCTAGAATATATTATATATTAATAATAACAATGTAGTAATGATAACCTGATTTTTACGAATTCATTAAATTCGCCGTACGACGAATTAAAATAATCGAACAATTATATCGCGGAAAGAAAGACAAAAAAAAAAAAATCACAATATGTTTCATACAGTTTATGTCGATGTATATAGCCGTAACACATAATATGTATATATCATATTGTATCGCCGGTGTCCTATAGTCGTCCAAGTACTGTAGCTACCTATATAATAAGTACGTAAGAATCTTCAAGTTGAAATTGAAAATGAGACCATCAGCATGGGTGTGTGTGTATATTATATATTTACAGTGTTGATGTAGGTGCGCATATATTATCGTATTGGCGGCGCATAATATATAGGTATATAGTAATGTAAATAAATAAATAAATAAATCGTGTTCTCGATAAAACACAACGTCAATTTTTATATGTCACACGCGGAAATCCTTTTGTCACCCGTACTGAATTTAAACGCGCCGTATATATAACAATGTTATTATACCTATACGTCATTATTATTATTGTGGTGCGTTGCGTCTTATAATGTACAGTGTGTACACGTTAATACGCGGCCCATTTATTTATTTTTTTCGGACATACTTCTTTACGTCTTCCCATATTATTATAATAGTCATAATACCGCTATTACAACGGTAAACTACACCTTATTCTCGCTTGCGTCTCGTTTCATTCCGCCGCACGTTTAGATCCGACAATCGGCACCCATCGTAGCATGATAATTGCCAATCGGCACGAGTAATCGATGAGTTTGCCAAATCATGACCAATAGGTACCCACAATTATAATATGCTTACTATAAGCCATAGCTATATGTATGTATATAAATACGGTAACAGATAGGAATTCAATGGCCGTTTGTTTTTCGTCACACTTAAAAATTCCGTCAGTCCTTATATATATACGTACCTATGCGTTGGGACTTTATTTTGTCTACTATCGAACGGACATCAAATATTCATATACAATATAATTTTATCATGTACGGGTACAAATAGTCGGTCGTAGGTGCGCGGCGATTTAGTGATTATTAATTTTTTTTTTTTTTTTTTTTTTTTAATATTTATGTCATGGAAGTTTTCACTCGGTTATGTACGGAGAAAGTCTTAATCTCCTTGTAAAGTAAAATTTATACATCGTAGGCTCGTATATAAACATATGTACTAATATAATTTCAGTATATTATAGGTAATAATTTGTGTAACTATTATAAAAAAAAAAGTATTTTTTTTTAGTGTATATTTCAAGTATGATGCGTTTAAATAATACACGATCCCACAATAGCTGTTCCGTATAATCCTTAAGCTCTATAAACTGATCTCGAGAGAAGAAAAATACTAACCCGATAGTTACATTGGCCTATTCAAATTTATAGTCGCGACATAAGAGATTCTTATAATATACATTATTGTTATGATCTTTATTGTCAAAAGTTTACTTTAAATTTAGCTCGGTAAATTATGAAGACGTTGGTTTTATTAAAAATATAATACAGAAAAAATATGATTAAATTATAAAATACCTATATGGTATTTAGTATGCTTACGCGATGAACATTTTCGAGCTGAATGGGCTGGTAAATAATGTTGTTTTTAGAAGAGTCATCTGAGCGTTATAAATCCACAAGACTCGTACCATAATTGACCATTTAAATGGTACATGGATAATGAATTTACCTATGTCGGATAAGCGTGGTCTCGTAACCTCAATATGCTATTGTGTATAGTATGTAGTGTATAAACTATAAATACATTTAATAAATATTAGATATTATGTACATGCATGATGAATTTAAACGATTTTTCACTATTAATAAATAATAGACTACAGGGATTCTTCTGATCTTACAGAAAATATTTTTGTACAATTTTCTAATAATTCTGCATCGTAAGTACCTTTAGGTATATTGTTATATTATAATGCACAAATACCCAGCTAATACCTAGTTCATCCTCCCCCCCTAAATGAAGTCTTTATCAAGTAAAAATCAAGTACACATAATCAATTAAATTATACGAAGTTAAGCCCCTCCCCTAAATATTAGTACTGTTTGCGCCTATGTATATTGTGTATTACGCTTAAACGAAATTCTCTATGTTTTATAAAACAATTTAAATTATAGGTTCCAAAGATATATTGGGTGTCCTACAGTATTATCCGAATGCTCATAACTCTATCGACGTTTATTTTTTCTTTTAAGAACATTTTTTTCTAAACGAATGAAAAAAAATGAGCATTGACAGAGTTAAATGAGCATTCGGATAACACTGTACGTGATCCTGTATACATTGAACCGGTAGAGTAAATGACAATAATTATACGGTAAAACAATCACGAATATGGCATATGTTGAATAAGTACTGTTTTATGAAAATAGAATAATTTCAAATTAAATACCAAATTAGATACGTATCGTCTATACCTAAGCAGATACGAATGAGTCTAGAACAATATGTGACTAAAGCGAAATTCGTGTTTACTTACTCATTTAACGTAATCATATTATTTCAAATAGAATATATTGGAGATGGCATTTAATTTCATATAAATACAAAGCGAGGTTCAAAACAATATTTCATTCATTTAAATATGAAGTTTAAATTAGTATTGACAGTTTTTTTTTTGGTTTTATGTGGATTCAACTATGTCAGCCAAGCAGAAAAGTTTCATAATTTTAATCGAAGTTCATCATTAGTTGTACTTAGGGTCAAAAAAAAGTCAAGCGAAATGTAGTCAATTTTTTAATAAGCTTTTTGTGTTCATATTTTAATGAAAATGTTTTATTAGTTTTTTAATTTCTAAGTTAGCAAGAATAATACTCTACTCAAAATCATTTATTGTTACATACAAATTTAAATTAAATAACTATCCTACCTTCTGAACTTCCCACCTATAAGAGTGGCACACCCATGAGCCTTATCAATTATTTTTCAATTTTTATCTAGAATTACTTTATACACATATTAAGTATCCATTAAGGGTGTACATTCTTTTTTTTTCATATTTTAGTTATATATATCACATAATCATGTTATATATACGTGTACAATAAATAATAATAATATGATTAACCATCTTTTCTTATAAGTATATTTTACATAATTTTTAAATAATGCAGACAATAAAACAAAATAATAAAAAGATTATTGTGCAATATTCTTTTATGTGATACCGCATTTTAACGAGTAGTCATTATAGCATTATAAAGTTATCATATATAAAATAACATTTTATTCAGAATATTACATAAGTATACCCACATGCGCGTATGCAAAATATTATTATAGTAGAAGATTAAAAAAATCATATGCAATGCCATATTTTTGCATTAGGTCAAATTAACGGTGCTCGGGAGACGAGCCAATATTATATAAACAATACGTGATCCTCCTGTTTGTGGGTGAAAATGTAGGTCCTGTCCGCTTTTCGTCTTCTAATGATGTGCGACGTATCAAATATATCGTAAATTAAAAATGAGTTAAATATCCGCATTGAATTTATAATATTGTATATTAAATCCATTACAGAACCGTGATAGACAAGTACGTGTAAGAATCCACCTTTTGTGTACATGTATGTGAAATACCTATACCCGTGAATTCGTATTGGAATTAAATCGTATAATCATATTAATACCTATGTATGCTATACTATAATATAGCATCCTATGTGACTAAATTGGTAACGGTTACAAAAACAAAAATGTATAAAGGCCACAGACATCGGAAAGTTGTCAAGGGTTTTCGTCAAAATGTAAAATATAAAACACAATATATTTTATTATTTTCTACGTTAATTTGCCATTATAATGTATGATCCGTGTCTATTGTACTATACTACTGATACGGTTTGATTCGTAATTCCTGCAGGTTAGTATGGTTACTATAATTTGCTAACTAACCACTAGTTGTTATGAAAAGGCAATCCGAAAAAATTACTAAAAACTAAGTTTTAAAACAAAATTGAATGTTCTAGTGGGTTTTTCATTAACTTAATTTCTATACAATCAAAAATAATTATACAATTATAAAAAAATAGCATATCCCAAATAAATCATATTTATTTCAAATCTTAAATACACTTTAAACTATACGAATATACAAGTTTTGTAATGTGTAATATTTCATTTTAAAGTTGTGCTATATTAACATTTTTAAACAAAGATTGATACCACTGGTGGGTATATCACTGTTTTAGTTGGGAAGTTGGAAGGGCTATAGATTTATTCAATTTATGTCTACACAAAAATAAACAATTCTGAGCATAGTATTATTAGTTGCACTTTTCTCCTTGTTGTCGAGCCAACCCATAATTCAACAACGATTACACAAAACATAGTCAGTTTTTTTTATTTATTGAAAACACAAGGAAAATCGATGATGAACTCCTCAGCGCACCAACTAGATTTGTGATAGCGGTGGAGTGGTGGTGGTACGCATTTTCTGGCGGTAAATAACAAATACTAATAAAAAATGATTTTGAGTGAAGTTCAGTTATACGTATTTTAAAATACAGGCATTTTTACGATTTTTATAGAAATTCAATCGCTTATAAATAAAAATATTACGCTCGGCTTTTATTTTTGTGAACATTAAATATAACTTATAATGAATTTATTGTTAAATTTTAAAACATTTCTTTTTGGTCAAACAATTATATCCAAATAATATTAACCAAATAAAAAAACTACAGCAAAAACTTGCAAATACAAAATGCTTACACAAATCGCCAAATGGTTTTTAAAACTATCATGTCTAGATAAAGCTAAAAAAAAGTATTCTTTGAAAATATTAGATCTCTACAATCATTTTTAACTGAAATATGAAAAAAAAAAACATCCTAGGATAATGGGGTAGGGTGCAGACAACCTATTTGATATTAAAATTCCTTTAAAAAAAAAATACTACATTAAACTAAAATTTTCTTTTTTTGACCACAAAGACTCTTAATGAACCTCATGTTAAATTTTCAAGTATTAGTACAAAACTTGCAAAACAAAAATGTCTATAAATAGCTCAAAAATGACTTAAATTTTTTGAAAATTTGACCACGTAAAGGCAGAAAAGGCAAATATAAATTTTCTGTCCAAATTTTAAGTCCATAGAGTCTATACGAATATTTTAATAATTTTAATAATTTTAACTAAATTTCAACAAAAATATTAAAATTTTTATAAAAAGCATAAAAACGACAAAAATGTTTCAAACATTTTATGTCTATAAAGGGCAAATATAAGTTTCCTGTCCAAATTTCAAGTCTTTACGAATATTTTGAACTGAATTACAACAAATAACAAAATTGAAAAATAATAAAAGCATTATTTTCGTAAATTTCTCGTTTTTTACGTTTTATTCTGGTTTTTCCCAGATATGAAAACCACTTGAAAAATCAAAAAATTACCTCCTAAAAGTACCATGTAGACAACATTCCCTTTTAGAAATATTGCCGCGCGTTTATATCTGAGAGAAATTTTTAGTAGACTTTTTGTAAACAGTATATAAAAAAAAAACCAATATATTCTTCGCTACACTCAGAATTTAAAAAATTGAAATAATTGTTATAAAAATTACAATATTTTTACTATAAGAGTACACACGTAAATAATATTAAACTCCATTAAAATTAAATAAATAAAGATCAATCAAAATTATACTTTATTTTTGGTTTTTTTTATACAAGTAAGGCTACAATTAACTTATATATATATATATACGTTGTATTATTTTATTTGATAATTAAACGCCTTGACAGGCATATTACAATATGTAATAAATGCAATTATGGACGAAATCGGTTAATCTGAAATTTATTTTGTGAACTTTATATCAATTGCAATGGGAGATTAAAATACATTCAAATCACGACACAACCAATAGTACCTATTGTATGTAAAAATGTATTCGTGCATGATCTCTGACACATTATGTTTCCATTTATTATGAGATTTTTCACTGACCACAGTAGGTAGATCAAAGGGCAATTTCATGTCACGTTTTTCTTTGGAGATTTGACATGTTATTCTATTTTGCCTATACAAAGTAAAATCACCTAAAAACATTATAAAATACAATTTATCAGATTGGTTTTGCTTAAAAAAAAAAAAAAAAAAAAGAGTATTATTTATTTTATAGATGTTATAGTTTTTTCATAATAATATATTTGAAAAATTAACGATTATAAATTGTTGACTAGTTTTTTTCCATACCTAAATGTTTACATCACTTCGTTTACCGCAACGAAAAAAATCTTATATATGTACAATATACATAATATATACATGTATACACTCGTCGCCTAAAGAGATTAGATTAGAATAGATTTAGAATTAGAATTTTTAGAATTTAGAATTTAGAATAATCTTATTCATACCATTACTAGATTTTATATCCGTACCGTTTAAATTTTACTTCTCGTATAACGTACATCACTGCGGTGTCTGTAGTACAACGATTTATTGACAACATAACAACGTCTTATAAATTACAAACGTCCAGTCGACCGATGTTTGCTCCAAAAAAAAAAAAATAATAATTCTGATGAAATTATATATATATATTTTTCTCTCGTTTTATATAATATCCCAATTTAACAGTCCTATAAGTTCAATGACATATTTTTTTTTTTTATAATATTACATTTTATGTAGCGTCCCCACGAATGATTTTATCCTGGTATATTTTCCTTATAGTCTTAAGAATATTCTCAATAAAACGAACAGTTGAAACTATTATGCCTATCTTCAAATAATACGCTCTTTGAATGATTATTATAATTATTCGTTAAATAATACTTAAAGGAGGGAAAGTAGTTTACTTATTTAAAACTGGTTAGTTTTAATATCCTTCATATTTTTTTTCTTACACTCGATAGAAAAAATTTTTAATTTGACCATGAACACGTACCAATTAACAATGTAGAATGTGGAAAAATCGATTCCAATTCATATAATTAGTCAAAAGCATATTCACTTTTTTCGTCGTGATCACAGTTCACACTTACACAGGTATACAGTTTTTTTTTTTATACTATAAAAAAATATAACGTACTCACTTAAATTTATATATAAGAACGCGAATACGTGATCGTTCAATTTCCAATTATTTTGAAAAGAAAAAAAACCAGTATAGTCAGGTAGGTATCTTCGAAACGAACCTACGTATTATAGTCTTGTCATTCGGATATTGAAATAATAACTGCACAGCATAGTATTATTCTAGTCGGGTTTTTAAACTCTACATAGGTAGGTAATTTACTCAATAGGCTGGTTAATCGAAAATAAAACAAAAAATACGTTTCTATATAAAAAAATCAATTTATTTTAGATTCCTAGCAGAGAGAAAAAGCTATTATATAAATTATTATATATTATATAAAGATTTAATAGTATGTGTTTATTTTCGATTAATATTTTTTTAAAACAATATACATTTTTCAAAATATGTATATTTAATCTCGACTATTATCTTTCGTCCATTGATCGAAGCGATACAAATACCCCTTAAATTATAATAATTATAATATAATATAATAATATAATAATATATATATGTATATATATATATATAATAATATAATATGTACATTGTACCTATCTCACTTTTCTATTATTCTAGTGTAGAATAAACAAGTTAAATAAATTGGTGATTTTAAATTATAACGAGTCGCTTATAAAATAATATACTCATACAATTAAATTAGTAAATTAATTATTATTCATTCACAAATACTTAAATGTCCGTTATTTTGTTTATGAACTGATTATTAATTAGATAGATATCGTAAAATTGCACGTCAATCACCGTATTACTTTTCTATAGGTACCTACTACCTAAACAATAAAAAGTGGAACAGTAATTCCGGTGTTATAAACACTCGTCTCGCTTCGCTCACCTTTGTGTAGGATATAGAATACAATGACGAATATAGATAAAGACTATAAGATTCTAGTTAATATTATAGTTCATAGGTTAAAGATTTATTATAATGATTTTAGAGTTGCTATTACACATTTACTTGTATGTATCTTTTGGCTGTTTTTTCATTGTTTCGAAATTAATTTTGAAACTGGAATACTTTATAGATAATCTCTCTGAAATATCATTACAATGTTCAACTTCGAATAGAAGTATCTATCTCTCACTTTCTATACATATAGATACTCCTACATGACAAATTTAATAGATATTTACTGGTTTAAAAAGTGTTTTCCGGAAAAAAAAAAACCTGTCATTGTAAAATTAATGGCTCCCTGGCTATGCTCGTAAATCGTAATTCAATAATATAGAACAGAAAATACGCCTCGGTTTAAATTATACCCAGTGTTATATTATTATTTTTAACTTAGAAGCAATGTTCTATAATGTACTACAATTAAATTCGGAAAACGATTTGGACTTGATTAACCGAAAATTGTTGATATCTTGTTAAAATAGATTTATTGCAAGTATTTCAGTTTTTTTTTTCTGATATTTCTAATATTTATAGGAATATGTTTTTATAGTATTTCGAAAATAAATAAATGCTTGAACATTTTTAGATTAATATAGAATAATAATAGTTTTATGCGACTCAATGAGGGAAAAGCAAATTGTGTATTATACTTTAAGTATTACCCATCAGAATAGAGATGTATAATATTATGATATACCTTTTATTTTTCACATTGATAATATTCATAAACCATAGTTATCTTACCTCTAACTACAAATATCAAAAATAAACAGGTATACAAAAAAAAAAAAAAATACAAGTAAAAACACGAATAAAAATTTAAAATATTAAATATTATGGTTTCCTATACTTGATTTTTTTCGATCGATCAACATACAGTGCATTTAACCAATTATTATTACTCTGCGTACCGTATTTCTTTTTATATATGATTTATAACTTTTGTATCCCGATTCATTTTATCGGTCGCTTTTGAATTGAAATTATTTAATTTAAATATTCAATTGTAACGGAGCCCGGATATACTACAATTTTGAACAATTTTTAAATTAAAGTCATTACTATAATCTATAGAACTACAAGTTTTAGGTTTCTCGTAAAAATGTATTTGCGTTACGTAGGTATAGGTGCATTTCACAAGCGAGTGAGATCGGTGACACATGAAATCATGCGATACCCAACTTATTATGCCATAAAATCGACTACTATTGGTAATAAACTTTTCGGTTGAATTGTTTATTACGCGTCTGTATATTTTTTGCCTAGGCAATAGTTTTCTACCGAGATCCGGTTGGAGATCCTATATTGTATGTATCGCTGACCTGGCCCGTGTGTCATGGGAAAATAACACAATAATATTATAATATACGTTTTAAGTACAATACGTGTATTTCCAAACCATATAGAATTGCATGAAGCTTTTTAACTACCTATTTTTATTGTCATATCGCTGTAAAACCAATAGTTCTCCTCTCACCCGAGGCACTCAAAATGCAATAACTAAATTGTATAAAATGTGCATAAACCTATCTATTTAAAAAAAAAAAAAAAATTATGTTTAAATGTTGCATAATAGAAAATATAATAATATTATATTGAGTAATGATAGTAAAATCTCCATAGTATACTCTCAATAATATAATATATCATATAATAAAAGGTTAATTAAAAAGAACTTTTTTAAAATAATTACGTTTAATAATAAACACATTCTATCACATTATTATTCACCCTTTTTTTTATTATTATATTGTATAATGTATAATCTCTAAAATTGTTTCACGACTAGTTATTACTTATTTCACACGGATGATATATTTAATATATTTGTATGGTATGCGAGTCCAGTCACAAATTCAAAAATATTTATCGTAGCCGTTTGTATATTATTAGGTATTTATTATAACGCACCTATAAATTATTTTTTCCACGTTGATACTAAGAGGAACTCTGTGCGTAGGTATCGCGTTTTGCCGCGTATGTGTTTGTTGTTCCGTGGCCTCCAGTTAGGTGAAGGCCACGGTCGGCTCTCATTGGTTTGCAACCGGTTCCGCCGCAGCATCTAGGTCAAACATTCCGCGTCTGTGTTATTATAGCGCCTTGAGTCCGCGTCAAGACGTAGAAATTTCACTGGAACTACTGAAAATGTGTAGTAGCTTCGAACTAGGAGTTCTCTCTTTCTTTTTGGAACACATAAGGTAGGTAGATGGTTATACGGCTATACAGCATGTGTGTCGTCGATATTGTTAGTTTTGTGTATTTTGCGAGTGCGTGAATTAATTTCACGTCTGATTACTGCGGTGAATGATTTGGCGACAAGACAAGGGCCTTTCTTCTGTACCGTCTCGTCCGTATTATATTTTTTATAAGATAATAAGAATAAGAATTTCCGTACTACTTATATACTGTCAATGGAAATTGAAATCTGCCCTTTATTTTCAAAAAATATCAATAACTTTTGGTAAACGTATCGAGTAAATTGATTTATTTTTTTTTTTAGAAATAAATTTCTACAGTTTGTCTGATTAGTATATAAAATACTACGATTCTTAGTTTTGGATAGCTCATAACTATAGACTTAGACACCTATATGTTTTTCTAAGTATACACAGCCTAAAAAGAATTTATACTGATGAAAAATAAAATCTATTTAAAAGTAAAAAACCAAAAGATATCGATCACTATCGTTGTTTATTGTTTTTGTGTTGGCCTATGAACTTGGAAGTGTTTAGAGATGCACACCAGGACCTTGAGATGAAATTCTTAATCTATTGTTACCGACGTAAATCGTGACCATTTCATATTAGAGGCACGGTAATAACTGTTCAAATTATCTTATAATAAAATAAAGTCAAGGGTAAATATTTTAATATTTTACTTTCTTTTTTATTCATAAGTACCTATTAATATTGAAAATAAATAGTGAGCACTAAAGAACTAGATTATGCCTATTTAATTAAGTATATGCACGTGTTACCTAAATGTTAAATTTGTTTACTTTATTAAATATTATACAAATATTCTTTCTATAATTTAAGATAATTATTTTGGTTTAACAATATGTAGTTGTTTATTTTTAAGATTATTAGAAATTGATAATTAAATTTTAAAATGCAATAATATTCGCTTTCTTTCTATTATAAATATACTTTCACGTTATATATAATAATATAATAAATATCACGTTAAATTCAATGCATATAAAAGAGGTTTAGACAATATATATAGAGATAAAAAAGTTTAAGAAAATATGGTGCCTGATAATATTATATAAATAAGCTCAATAGGTACTTATATATTTTATTACATAAAATCGTATTTCCTGATTTTCTCTTAGTTTGAATACAATAACTAAAGGTTTTATTTTTCGAAAGAATAATTTGAATATTAAAAACTTAAATATATATTTCTAACTCTTCTCATATAATATATTAAACATTACTAACATTATAAATAGGTACCTACTTATTATTTTATTTAATTCCATGAGAGTACAAATACCTACATACAATATATTATATTAAATTATATTTCGTAAACTATTATGTATGTTAATATTTAGTATATGTATTAATCATGTTTTTTTTTTTAAATACGTAACTATGAATCACACTTTTTAATTATACACATATATATATATATATTTTGATTAATATCGATTTTAATTTAAATCAACATTTTTGTTTCTTATTACATAAGCTCACAATAATTATTATTTTCGAAAGTAAAGAAACGTGCAGGTGTGCATGATGCATCGTTGTTAAATTATATGTTTTCCACTACAAGCGTATAGATGGAAGATGCCTTCTTTTTTAATAGGGTTGGACCCTTCTGAACAACATTCAAAAACCTGTTGTTCCACTTAGTGAAAATCTACCCATGGTAAATTATAAAAAATAACTTCCCCAAACTATTCAGAAACACAATACTCGATGATTTTGTTTTCTAAAATATCCAAACCGCATTCCAAAGTGAACGTATACAAGACTACAGGATATATTATATAGTCATAAAGTCTCATATGTACGACGTACACAATTTACTTTAAGTATTATAACTCAAACGAATAGAATATTTATATCAATTTATGTTCATAATACTTATTATCGTATTATACTTAATTTACTTAATGAATAAACAGTTTTGTGGGTTTTAAAGTTTTAAGCGAAAAAATTAAAAGTAGGTAAAACAAAGAATTCAATATTACACATTTCAAACAATTTACGTACCTATAGTTTTCTTTTATCTATAAAAAAAAGGTTTTTTTCAACTTAAGGTCTGTTTGTTTCAAAATGTCTAGTTTTTTTTGTTGCTATATGTGAGATCGCATGTTTTTTATTTTTTAGTAATTCATATAATATATGCTTTGTCAGGCGAAACAATAGATAGTGTACCTACCTAGTGTAAGTGAAATTTTTACCGGGAGGGTCATAACATTATCTCGCAGCAGGTAATCTGTGTTCCAAACATCATGTTCAAAAAAACAAAAACTTCCATATATTATATGAAAGTAACAGTTAAAGTAGTAAACCCATTTTCATTGTTACGCTCAGTAGCCTGCATGTTAATATAATATTGTTAAATAGATAGGAACCTATAACTAGAAAAAAAAACAATAATCGGTAATTTCAATTACGGATCATTTTTAATTTTTAAAAGTCAAAAAAATAATAAAATCTAAAAATTCGACATTTCATACTTGTAGAATTCTCGACAAATTTATATTATAGTATAATAATAAATATGTACAATAATAAAGAAAATCAAAATGAGTTCGTCTTGCTATATAGCTGCAACTATTATGGGGGTAAAGACGAGTTGCATGACCTAAGAACCAATCTTCGGGGTTTAAGAAGGGGTCATTAACAATAGTAGTGTAATTTTCGCTTTTTGCTCGTCCGCCGTCGCCGAGACGTCGAGACCACTCATTTGGAACTGCACAAACCACAGACACTGTACAAAAATGATAGTTTATTTCTTTGAGGATTGAATAAAGCACGTTGTCGGTTATTTTCGTTTGCCTCGAGAAATACCTTAGTAAAAAAAAAAAAATGATTGTACGGATGTACGTAAGTATATAAACTACAACCGGTTCTACCTCACTAGAAACGTGCTCTAGGTTTTCCTACGTTTCGTATTTTCGACCAATGACGATTGACGATCATCATATTTCGTGTTTCAATACGTTTCCCACAAAATCATAATTGTTGGTGTTCATAATAATTCGAAATCAAGAGGGAAAAAAAACGATAACTATATGTGAGAATATTGTTTTCATACAATCGGGGTTTCCATATAGTTTAATAACCAAAATGAATGTTATGACGACATCCATATCATATTTTTTATGCGATAGAATCACAAAAATAGTAATTTAACGAGTTTTAATATACTTTATAATATACTTATTTTAACATCGATTTTACTATAATGGAGTAGACATAAATAAAATAAACTAGTACTCGTGATAGGATTAAAGTAATTATATTATTGTTCCGTATTGGACGTAATTTGATGTGAAATGTGATGAAAAATCCTTACTCACATGAGTAAGAATTTTTCATGGAATATGTGTATAGAATTTGACGAATTTTTAATGATTCGTTTATACTTTATAGGCATATGAGCACTTTATATATTTTCTACCGGGGTAGCTGGTATAGGTAGGTAGTAAGTAAACACCTAAATATCTACTTGTGTATCCGCATATACGTGCGGATGATTAATCGGAATTTCGTGTTTTAAGCGTTGGTGGTAACGAATCGCATCGCCGAGGAAAATGATGATATTATTATTATTTTGTTATGCCCGTTGACAAAACGAATAATTATAAGTAGGATTTAATACTATATTATGTTGTTGCCGACCGTTTTGAAGAAGTTGAATCACGCGGACCATGACCACTCCCTCCGCTTTCACTGACTGCGTTCCATCCGGCCGGAAGACCTACATATGGAAAAGTTTCCAGGCTATAACGCCATGTATACGACGCATATATTATTATTATCATATTATATGAATGTATATAGACATATTATACACATAATGACGAAGTGTCCATACAGAAAATTTCCAAAGTGGATTTTGAGTCATGGCTATATTATACACTTATATATATATATATATATATATAGATAGATATACTGTTGCTATCTTTTGTACTGCTGCGACACAATATTATATACATTATAGGTACAAAATATTATAATGTGCCTAAAATAACGAGCTTGAATGATCCGGTGAATTATTATTGTAATACATTATCAGGTACCTATAGTATTATAATAATATTATTATTTATAGATACCGTGTATAATAAGAAAATATTTAAGGCAAAATTTCAACGCGGCAATCGCATATACCCAATTTATAGTGTACCTAGGTATTATGTTATGTGTTAGTACGCGCGTAATAATTGTTCGACCGAAGCGAAACAAATTAATTCTCTCCGGAGGATCATAACAATAATATTATTATTATGCGCGACTTCTCCCGGAAAACTTTAATCGGCGTATTCGTGATAAACGGTCGATACAGTGAACTGATCCATGGACATAGTTTTCGGTCTAAAAACTAAATAATTTAATATAATATTGTTGATAACTGTCATGTAGGTAGTTATACAATCATATATTATAGTTATACGATTATTTGTGTAAGTAAACTTGAAGTTTAACTTGATCTACATAACGCACTCTCTCTCTCTACATATATATATGTACTCTAATAATATTCACTTTTGAATGGAGAATTATAAATTGTATAGAAACGTAATTTCTATCGTGAACAAATTCTATAATACTATACGAACAATAACTGGATTGAATTTTTCCGAATGTCGCGGTATTTCAAGATTTTTGGACATAAAGGATATCCATTGGTTCTAGTCTCTTTTTCAAACAAATTCGGTTGAAGTCTTAAACATAGTGCTAAAATTACGCGCCTTCGTAGCAATAACACCGTTGTCAACGATTTGTTTTTTTTATTTTAATATATCCGTGTAATCAATGAAACAGATAGATGAAGATCCTTTTGTTGTTTTTTATGCCGGCAAATTATTATTTCGGCGGTTTTAGTAAATTCGATTTATCCATCTATCTGTTTATCAGTTAGGTATTTATTATATTATTTTTTAACAAAATTTAGAAATTAAGAAATGTACCTATACGTTTTTATTCTAAGTCAGTAAATTTACGTGTATATTTGACCAACTCATAAAACTGTACCTTAGAAAGACTCGGTCTCCAGATACTATGAATTACACAATAAAGTATCCGCAATTAAAAAAATCCTAATTAAGAATATTGCTACAGATACACTATTTCTTTTATTATCTTTCTTTATCGTTAAACGCAGTATTTTTATTATTATTATTATATACTGTTATTATATTATGATAGAAGTAAAATGTAAAAACAAAAAAGTTTTACGCTGATCCATGTCCCCTGACCCACAAACCTGATCGTTCGATACGACCGTCATATCCTATAGTTTTACGTAGCAAATTCGTTTTACTTTTCACGCCACAACTATGTGTATATATATATTTATATAATGCAACTATTTAGAGCTTCAGTGATTGTTTATAAAACACTGAATGATTTATTATAATATATTATATATCACGTTATTTTTTCATTGTGTTAAATTATTAAATAATAATTGTCCTATAATCAATAAATATAATGAAGTTATATAAATATATTACAAAAAGATGTTCAACAATTTGTTTAAATGTTTGTTCAAAAATATACGTAGAATATTGATTTCTTCAAATGATCTAGTATCTACTCGTTTTAGTATACTTTCATTTTATTTTATACAATTATATATATATTTATATTATTTATGTGTATGTATAATACATTTATACATAGTTTATACCTTATAATTACACCAGTTTTACGAGATTTCTCTACAGGTATTAAATCTTCGTTTACATATTATATTATATCTTATGTCGTGTCATATATATTATATATTTTTTTTGTTTATAGTGTTAAATGTGGCTGCGGGAAAAGCACCTATGCAAATCAGTTCAGAACCCGGTGGCCTGCCTCAAAAAGCAATTGACGGCAGCACCAGCTCGTTTTTCAGCCCCGAAACATGCACACTCACTAAACCTGAACGTACTCCGTGGTGGTATGTTAACCTGTTGGAACCATATATGGTGCAATTGGTGAGATTAGATTTCGGCAAAGCTTGTTGTGGTGAGTGTTTAAATAATTAAAATCATTTCGAATTTATTCACGTATAAAATAACAATAAATAGATGTATTAAATCAAATTCTACTAAATATTTTAATTATTTATAAAATTAAAATTCACACAACAAAATAAATGGCAATAGTACATGTACTTATTTAATCTTTAAACGTTATTTTATTAGTGGTTAAGGAATGAAAATACAAATTTAATTTGTCTCTACATTTGTGTCCATCTGACAAAATACCCGATTGAAACAAAATTTGTTTAAAAAAAATGAATATTGACAGAGTCATTAGCATTCGGATAATACTGTAGAGTGTAGGACACTCACTTTCAAAATTGTTTATTTATATATAAAACCAAAATTCATCATAATTTGTATTTTTAATTTGGTGTATACAAATTTTTTAAGCACATATCTACTGTTAAACTAAGAAATGTAATTAACTATTTTATTTCAATTTAAAATAAAATCAATACAAATCAATTGACTCATAAGAAATTTAATAAAATTCTATACTTCGTACAAACAACTAATGGTGCGTTAGGCGTATAAAGACAATTATAAATAGTAAAATAATATAATATATTATGAGTGTTTTCACTTCAGAAAGAAGTTTGTTACTCTTTATATAAACACTATATTACTTTCGCGTTGTTTGTATTCATAGAGGTATTTTTGGTAAATAAGTTAAAGAAATTAAACCAATTTAAAGTATCATTCAATATTCTATTAGCACGTGCGAAAAACGTGCACAGGAAACCGGTCAAAGAAAGTGGTACCTACTATATACTGATTTTACTACTTGTATTGTCGTTACTGTGTAATAAAACAATACAAATATTTGATTTTTGAGAAGTGACTTTTCACACAGTCTGGAAATTTCCCAAGTCATAAAGCTTGTCATAATGACACTATATATTACTCTTGATTGTTTACAATTGAACAATATAAATATGAAGTGTTGTTTGTCACACGCGTGTAATATTGATTACAGGTAAAAACAAACCTGCAACGATCGTCGTTCGAGTGGGAAATAATAGGCCCGACCTAGGGACGAATCCTATTTGTAACCGATTCACTGGATTTATCGATGAAGGGAAACCGTTATTCCTTCCATGTAATCCACCAATGCCTGGAGCATTTGTCAGTGTTCACGTGGAAACTACTAGTGGATCCACCCAATTATCAATATGTGAAGCTTTCGTTTACACCGATCAAGTACCTATATTTTTTTAATAAAATAATAAAGTAAAAACAAAATTATTAAAATTATTGATGTTTATATTTTTTCATAATATTTAAATGTGTTTACAAAAATAACAATTCAATAAATTATACACTTACATAATCATTATGTAGAGAGCCATTTTTATAGTTATGTTAAAATAATTTTCAGGCGTTGCCGATTGAAAGGTGTCCACAGTTTAGAGATCAACCGCCAGGAAGTACTGCTACATATAATGGAAAATGTTATATATTTTATAATCGGCAACCAATGAACTTGAGAGATGCGTTAAGTTTTTGTAGATCAAGAGGTGGGACGTTGGTTGACGAAAGTAACCCTGCATTACAAGGATTCGTTAGTTGGGAATTGTGGAGAAGACATAGGTAAAAAAATGGAAAACATACATGTATACCATATACTAATTTATTGACTTGACGTTTAGTTTTAAACTAAATTTTAATGAAAATACAATTATTATAAACTAATAGAATAATGTTAGAATGAATAACCTTTTTCAGGAGTGATTCGCAGAGCCAATATTGGATGGGTGCTGTAAGGGATACTCACGACAGAAATAACTGGGTGTGGTTAAATGGCGATGATCTGACTGTATCATTCTGGAGTGTACCAGCAAGTGGACCTGACGCGACAGCTATAAATGGCGGCGATTGCGCTCGATTCGATGGTGCTAAGGGTTGGTTATGGTCGGATACTAACTGCAATGCCCCGCTAAATTTCATCTGTCAACACCGTTCGTATTAATTTATTTCAGTTTTTAATCTTGAACTATTTTGATCTAAGCGTCTTAAACCATATTTATTTTTGTTTGTAGAGCCCACTGCTTGCGGTAAACCAGAGCAGCCACCAAATTCAACGATGCTTGCTGAAAACTTTAATGTGGGTACTGTGGTCAAGTATTCTTGCGACGAGGGTCATCTTTTAATAGGTCCAGGAACTCGTACGTGTCTTGGAACAGGATTTTATAACGAATTTCCACCAGTGTGTAAACGTAAGTTCAGCAATTATTTATAGCGTAGGTACAATTAAGATTTTTGCTTTGTACCTTTATCTGTAAACATTTTGGTATTTTAGGAATTCAATGCGGATTTCCTGCAGAAATTTCCAATGGCATCTATAAACTAATCAATGGAACCGTAAATTATTTAAGTCAAGTACAATATAGTTGTGTTGAAGGGTATAAAATGAACGGTCGGGATCGATTAATTTGCGATTTAGACGAAAGATGGGACGGACCACCTCCTAAGTGTACAAGTAATACATATATCCTCTTAAACTTATAACTATACCATTTAATATTTACATGATAAATATTATAAACAAACATTTATATATTAAGTTCAAAAATGCGAGGATCCTCCAACAATTCCAAATGCCGAATACCAAATGTCAAACAACGAGAGTGTTGTTGGAACAATAGTCGAATACTCTTGCGTATCAAAACGATTCCGTTTAGTTGGACCAAAACAATTGGTATGTTTATCAAGTGGTCAGTACGACAGTAAACCGCCTTATTGTAAAGGTTAGTATTACCTACTATAAACAATATTATAATGAATAATAGTGCTACAATGTGAACCGATTTAATATTATGATGTTATGTTGTTACATGGTATTCAGAAGAAATCAAAACATCAGTTGTACCGGTATTGGTGACTAGACCCGTGTCTACCAGTACGACTACCGTTCCTAGTAGCCGTGCGCCGCCTCCGCCACCGTCGTCTTCTAGTCGTGAAAAACCGCGCCCGTTCACCACCAAACCCACTATAGTGACGAAACCTACCCACGAACAAGTACGTTAATATTTTGTTTAACATCGATGTTACAATGCGTGAGAGTAAAAAGTAGGTAAGTAAATAGGTATTATACCTATGTATACACTTTTTGGGTTACAAATAAAAAATAGCTTAACAATGGTTTATCTGCGAGATTATTAGTTTAAATCCAAAAATTCGGTGGTGTTTTATCAACCGGAAACTAAGCGAACGTTACTTTCACTTCATATATTTATTATAGGACGATAGCGGCCAGACGTCGTCCAATGTGGTAATTGCCTCGGCGCATCCGCACGACAACGAGATTCCGGACAGCGTTCACGTCCGAACAAACCCAAACGCGGCCAACATACCGTCTCAGGTGGAAAGCGAACACAGGCTCGGCCCTAAACTAAACTTGGGTAATTTACTAATCATTTTCAAATAGTAATTACTACTGTGAATAAACCTATGCAGTTTTAGTGTTTATAAACTAGCACGTCAAATTATTGAATTATCATTGTTTAACAGGGGCAATAATCGCGTTGGGAGTGTTCGGAGCGTTCGTGTTCCTAGCGGCAGTTGTAACCACAATCGTTATATTAGTGAAAAGGTAATGCTACTTTAACTCAATAATAATAATTACTAACATACGCTGCTGTATTTAATATATTATAATATTTATACACATATAGTACCTATAGGATTATCTATAATAATATATATAGGTAATAGGTAATATGTATTATGATTAAAAAAATGTGTGCGCGATTTAAAATCCTCTTGTGTGTCTCTATGCGACTAACAATAATATAAATCGCTTGTCGGCTGCTATATGTGGGCTGTTTTGTTTTTGTTCGCAGCAATAGGAACCACAAACTACCGTCCGGTTCGCATAACATGCCGTCCCGATGGTATACACTTCTGGCAATGCCGTTCCCCGACCAGCAAGTCGGACGGCGTCAGTTCTCTAGGGCGTATAGAAACCGAGCCGGCTATTTCTCTAATCCGTTATGACAAAATAACCGCGCACTGCAATAAATACATAATATTTTACGCGTGTACCTACTATATCAAAATACAAAAAAAAAAACCATATACCCAAAAACCTATAAAAGTCTAAGGTACGACTGATATATGTATCATCATCACCACTGTCATTTTTTTTTTCTATTCGCACTGCCGGTGTTCTCGTCCGATTACAGCGCACAGTTTTTTTATGTACCTATTTATTTGTTTTTCTTTCTTTTCTTTTTTTTATCGCACGCTACGCTTCTTTTTTTCACACGCTTAAACATAATATAATAATATGTAGGTTCCTATATTGTAATCGGTTAACGAGCAGCCCGGAATATTCTTCGGCGTCATGCGTTTTCCCGCGGAAATCAAACGGTTTATTTACCTTGATTTTTTATTTTTTTCAGGAATCGCAGTGCTAAACACTACCGCCACCGTGCATCCCCGGACACGAATACGGTAGCTTCGTTGGACTCGTCTGGGTCCGAAAGCCGGGGAGGTCTTAACCGGTACTATAGACAAGCCTGGGAGAACTTACACCAGTCGGCAGCGTCTCCGAAACACTCTCGACAACACCACCACCACCATCACCACCATGCCGGGGGTGGCAGACGCAAGGATACAATAGATTCGTCAGCCCGGGTAGAGAGCATGCGTGACGGGGCCGAACTGGTAGTCAATGACGTGTACCATCCCCGAACGCAAGACAAGAAGAGACATCATCATCATCATCATCATCAAAACAGATCAGTCAACAGATATTGAGTAGCGGTTGGGGGGGGGTCGTAAATGAGGATTTCGATGTTGCTTTAGGTACCTACCTATCTATAGCTACTATTAGCTAATGTAGTAGTGTTTCAGATTAAATTCATAAGTTGCATACCTACCTAGATCTGTAATAGTAGCGTCGGGACCTTTAAATAATATAGAAGAGAACAATTTATTCATGATCCATTAAACCCACTCCAGCCAATTGATTTACATTATAATATACAGATCTAAGGTGTTTTCACAAAAGTCAGTAAGTGACCAATTTATAGAGCCCACATTCATCTACCACCTGACCAAAATCCAGAAGCAAGAACTGCTTCCAACAAACATTGTTTAATACGCCATTGGTCTGTATAACATTAATTTACTCATACTTTCCCTTTGTATACGCCTAGATGATTATTTACCTACCTTCTCAACAGTGTTCTGAGAACAGATACCACATTTGTAATATCTTCCTATTGTAGATTAAAAATCACCCTGTAGCACATTTATGGCAATTTGTTTTCACTTCCATCAGCTAAATAAATACCAAAGATTTTAACTTTTTATTTAAAACATGGGGCACTGAATATAATAAAACATATTTATTTGATAATCCCAAGAAAATTAATATTTCAATATAACAACATTTAAATATAATAAACGTTATTCAAAATACCTTAAACTTTTCGGGCGAATTGCTTTGATATTTGGTTGAACAAAATATATTTGTGTAAAACATTAAAAATATCTTCTGCAGTCTAAACTATTTTCTTATTAACTAGTTAATGACTAATAACTTAGTTAATAAGTCTATGTTCTGCATTATAAATTAACAGTGATTTTACAATGTTCATTGAAAATTATTAATACTTAATTTCCAATTATTGTTAGTTCAAACTCATATCAAAGTATTGGTGATTGCTTTGTAAATAAAATATTTTAATCCTAAATTAAGTAATTACTGATATTATTACCTGATTTAAATAATTGACTAAACATAACTCAAATAATGCAGTGACATGACATTTAAGTATTTAACATATAACGTCACAAATATATTGTACACATAGTTCCTATAATTAATTCACATGAACAGTTATTATTTAAAGTTGCATGTACATTACAATCATTATCTATATGATATTATTTCCAACATATAAAAAAATAAAATGATAATTTACATTATATCTTAGAAACTTTAAATAAAAAGTATATTTTTTTAAATCTTATCATAAAAGATATAAAATAATTATACAATTAATATTCTACATATTATAAAAATAATTATGACAAGTTACAGTAGTTTTTGTGGGGAGTTTTGCTAAAGTTTTATTGTTTGGTTTTTTATTTTTAGAATTCACTATGCGAATCATTTTTGGTTTTTGAATACCTAACATTCAAATAATTTTTAAAAATGAGTTGAATTTTGTCTACCTTTACTATAATTATAAGGCAATATATTATAATTGATTCACATCTCTACAAATTGCTAAATTGTAGGAATACAATTTATCAACGACTGAAAAAAGGCCGCTTAAAGTCAACCAAAAAATTGGAATCCTCATTTTGGTCTTTTTAAAAGATAAGATCCCCTAAATTATATTGTCAGCATTGGACATAATATGTATTATTTTTAATGTTACCTTTTCTGACGTTGCAATTTAAGTCAATAATATTTAAGCTTAATTATTATTATTATTATACATAATATATTTATGAATTATTTATTTATTTTTATATAAAAGTATTACAATTTACAACAAACTTGTTCAAGTTATAGATAATATTCATTGTATACATGTTTCTTTTTTTTTTATTTGATTGTCAAAATCATAAAAAAAAAAAAAAAGGTAAAAAAAATCTAAACTACATATATAAACTTTTACTGTCAAAGTTTATCGCGATTATATATTATACAAAACATAATTTTTTCATCTTGTTTTTTTAGATTAATTAATTAATTAAATTATTGAATTTTGTAAATATAATAAATATAGCCAAGGTATAATATACTTTGATCAATAAATTACATGTGTATACATTCCACGCAAAATATAGTGTAGTATACAATATTATTCAATAATATGTTTAATGGTTATGAACATTATACATGTTACACACAAATAATAATATATTATACATATTTAAATTTGATATAATTTGAAGACACAATCATTTTATTTTGAAATATTGGTTTAAATATTTTGCTGTTATTTTATTACTGTTGTTTTAGGAACCTAATTAAAATGTTATGATATAATTAAATAATACTACTACAAACTACTTTTAATTATATTTTAGAGATTCGTATGTATCAATACTTTGCCCTTATAAACAATGCAATTTTTAGATTCTGAACGGAGCAAGTAAAGTATTAGTTTTACAATGGTGTTTATTTTTTTTTGTTGAACAACTTTTCTACCAGAAATGTTGGTCTAATTTGCAACTGTAGCACCTTTTCTGAAAGGAAATTTGGCTGAGATGGTATCCCCTACTCTTAAAGGAGTCATTTTTTGATTTTCCCATGAGTTTTCATAATAAATAGGAAAAACCTAGGAAATGTATCATTTTTCGTTTTTTGTTAACAATGTGTAATCATTGTATACAGATATATATTAAATTTCCCCTCCTACTTTCTTAACTTCTCACCTAAAACAGTGACCCATAAATCATACAAAGTATGTCTGTTTGGTTTTTAAATTTTATTTATCACTATAACTTTATATTAACTAAACACATCTGTATGTACAAATTATACAATCAAAATATGAATGGAGAAAAATTTACTACATTGATGAAAAATCATAAATCAAATACAATCATTCACAAATCAAAGTTATACCGAACAGTTTACTGTAGATCAGGCATTTCAAACACGTGGCCTGTGGCTAATTTTTTTGTGGATCGCGGCTACCAATATTAATGAAAAAATAAATGATAAAAAGACGGACTAGGATAATGGGGAGGGGTGCAACCACTGTTATAGGTAATTTAATGTATATCTGTAAGCAACAATAAAAACGATTCTGAGGCGGAGTACAGTTCATACTGATGCTTTGTCAACAATTTATAGGTATGTAATATTATGGTAAAATAATAGAATAGGCATAATATGTTTTCTTTAATAATACCTATATTTATTTAATGTACCAGTTTTCCCAGTTGTTCATATTTGCTGAAAAAAAATCTTGAGAAAATCAAAAAATAACCTCCTCAAAGTACCTCCCACAACCGATTTCTTTTCAGAAAAGGTGCTACACTTAAACATCGGAGCAGGATCTCTGGTGGAAAAGTTGTTCTGAAGTAAATAAAGATAATTGTGGTGTTACCCATACTTGGACTGAAGAGTATTGCGATTAATTATTTACCAAACCAAATTAAATAAAAAATATAAAGGATATATATTTGTAATGTAACAATTTGTTTTTTTAATAATAATTATTTTATGTACTTATTATACTTACCTAATATTATTTCATTTTTAACAACAGAGTCAAGGACAAAAAAAACTATTGCATTAAACAGAATTTATACATTGCAAATAGAATTATAGGTATTATTTTTATTTTGTATTGGAGCTTTATCATCAATTTTTATAAAATAAGTCTATTTTATTATTATTGATATAATTTAATATTTCAAATAATCTTACAATTTTTACATAATGTACCTAATAAAAATAATTTTGTTTAAAGTTAATAATTGTTAATCAAGCTACTTAAAGCAGATATATGAGTAATCTACATAATATTTTAAAATCATTTTAACATTGGAACAACATAAAGACGTGCCTATATTTACTGATATATCTGTGTATAAGTTATCACTAATTATCTAATATATCTACACTTTTAATAATTGATTTCAAAAAAAGAAAAAACAAAGTATTATATCTATAATTATTAACAAGAAAATATGTTGAGTACAACATTGATTCTTTGTTATTAAAGTAATAGGAACCTATAATATAAATAAAACTTAAAGCCAAATAATTATATAATTCAACAAAACCAATTATATTATGTTAAAAAAAGTTGTACAGTTTAAAAGTGAATATTAATACAAAATAAAAAAAATAAATTTAATTTGACAAATATTATGTTCATTGAAATAAAATAAAAACTACATTGTAAATACAAACATATTACACTTATGACATTCCCATTTGTTTAAGCTCTTTTTTAAGAGCTGACTTTTTTTTTTTATGTAGAGACAATGCAGTTTTTTTGTTTTGTTCAATAGTTGTATGCACACTGCGTAACATCACACTTTTCAAAATTTCTAAGAAATCGTCAACAACTAGTTCTGATTCCTTTTTACCTATTTCAATGTACTTACATTTAGGATTAAGTACTAGGGCACGTTTTTTATGTTCATCCCAAGGATCATCAGTTGGTTCCCAACCATTCAATTCAATGAAACACGAAAAGCATTTAACAAGATCGGGATGATCAGTATTTGGGCAATAGAAACCTGCTTCGGCTATTTTCTCAGCACTGGGATTCACCAACGGCCATTTTTCCATTGTCTTTAATCGGTTGCTCCTCCATATTTGTCCAAACGTAACCAAATTTGTTTGATCCGTGGTTTGACTTAAGATATAATTTTGCAAATTAATCATAATGAGTAAGTGATAACTAATTAAACTTAATTATACTTAATTAAACGTTGAATTATAGTAAAATATCTATAAAGTACATGCAAGAAATTCGCCAGCACAAACCGGTATTGGTAGGTATTTGGTTTCCGCGTAAAATGTAAACCGGTGTGGTTTTAAGAAATTCGCCATACCGCCAGAATTGTATAATATTTGATATACAATATACATAATTATGTCTAATCTTCTGATAAAATTTAATCGAATTATTGATGATTTTATAAATATTAAAATTATACATATTAATATTATGTAAATAAAGATTACAGATTAATAACATATCGTCGGTCGCGACACGCGTGCCTCTGGAATTTATAGATCGATAACCACCGTGTGTTCGAGTTTAAATTTTGTGGCGTATATTCTATTGTGAATTTAATAGTTAAAGTGGTAGTAATAAACGCAACATTTCCGATAAACATCGTTAATTTCAAGAAAATTGGGGATTAAAATATTTTTGCAATGAAATCAATACCTAATAAAATAATTTGCTTAATATGTAAAAGTGTTGTTAGTGTTCCAAAGTTGTACAATATTAAACGACATTACGAACAACATAAGTCAAAATATGACCAGTATATTGTGATAAGAAAAACTGAAAGAGTTTAAATCAGGGTTAAACACCAATAGCTAATTGTTCACTAAAATACCAAAAGAAAGCTGCAGTGAAAGTTACCTAGTTACGTATTTGTACGTGGTTGTCAGAGTTTATTACCAAACATTTGAAATGGTTCTAACTGAAGATGATTTTATGAGAACGTCTTTGATTAAAACTACTGAAGTTATAAACTATTATAAATTATTATTGTGAGGTGTTAGGTATGTACAAAAGATATTAATATGGTACATGTAATACGACCTGTAAAACAAATGGTCAATTTTATAAGATCCCGTGGTTTGAACCAAGAACAATTTTTGATTTTTTTAAACGATTTAAAAAACGAATATTCAGGTTTACCATATTCTATGGTTAATGGTGATCATTCTCTACTGTATTGGAAAGATTCTGGAAATTAAAAGATGCCAAACAAAAAACGAATATTTCTAGAGTCGAAAGAACAAGACGTCAGCCCTACAAGAGACGCTTTTGTTGTATTTTAAATTAGTTCATGTATAAGTTATTCGTTTTTTGATTTTCTCTAGTTTCATTAATAACTAGCATACCCGTCTCGGCTCCGCCCAAGCGTGAGTGTGAGCATTCACAGGTAGGAGTAGGTTGCAAATAAATCTAGAATACGCAGAAATTATTCGAACATTTTTTTATTAATATAGTGTATCTTAAGCAAAAAAAAAGTTCACTTTATTAAAAAAAATGAAATTTACAAAATTTCTGTATACACAATATTTTTTGTTTTATCCGTCGTAAGTAAAATGAATTGATTCACAGGATTTTCGGTTCTGAAGAATGGTATGGCTGACCATGCGAAAAACAATCTTTGCACAGATCAACTCCCACACATGTAAATATCTGCCCTTGCGACTTATTGATGGTGACTGCGAAAGAAACTCTAACTGGAAATTGCACTGTTTTGAACTCAATCGTCAAGTCTGAATGAATCAAAGGAATTCTTGGAATAAGAGCATACTCCCCGGCTGCTGGACCCGTAAGAATTGTAGCTTCGATCACATTATTACGTTGTTGTTCAAGACGCGTTGATCGTTAAACCGATGACTCACGGGTTATCCTGTCTCCTATCTGTACACACTCTTACAATAATCGAAGTTCAGTTTGAACAGAATCCCCTAGCGCATGAACGGTTGAATTACGCCGAGCCATTTTCGATAATCGATCCTGTCGATGTAGAATGCCTGATTGTAAGTATAATATTAATATAGATTATTAGTAATAAAAGACAAGTAAACAGAAATTTGTTTTATTATATATTACAAAATTTATTTCAAGTCACAGTATTTTTAACAATTTACAATACTGGTAAATTATCTTAATTGTTTACAAAGTATTTAATTTCAATTAAAACATTTCACAACATAATTACAACTATAAATACAAAATTGTAATTTACATTTTAGATACAAATAAATAAAAATAAAATTTACTATAAAGAAAAATATATAATACATTATAAAAAAAAATTAGTTATAAATTATAAAAAATTAATATATTTTTTAATGTTTTAGTTCAAATAAAAGTTATTTTAGATTAGAAATTATTTGCTTTTGAGCAATTTTACATATAATATTAAAATCAATTTTTATATTAATGCGCCAAAATGGGGATCGTCCCCAAACATATGCTGGGAAATTAGGACTTTCAATACCATGAAATATTCTAGCTATAGAACGAGCAGTGAACTTACAATCAATGTAACTATTTAATAATCGGTTGACATCAGAAGCAATTTGAATTTCATCTGTTTGTTTTAAAACTACTTCTTCCTAAAATTTGAACAAAATACAAGAAAGCAAAATAATATTACAAACCCTTTTAAACAACACATAATATTAAAAATTAAACAACATACTTGTTTTTCAAAAAGCAATGATAAATTTTCAATTGTAAAATATTCTCTAACAGATTTCTTTAAATGTTGACACAAGTCTAAATTAACTTCATCACAACACTCGGTATATGTAGGTGTTGAAGCACTAGACAATACAATAAAGACAATAAGATAAAAAAATATTAAAACAACAGTTAAGTATCTTCTATACCTCATAAATGTTTTGAAACAATTTTGTAACTCAGAAAGTGATTTAATTTCTTGTTGATGTGATAAACTATATAAATTGCAAAGGGTTGAATCTAATAGTTCTGCATCCATATTGCCTGGTGCTAATACTCTAAAGCCAAGGCAAGAAAATTCCACAAGTACACCACTTTTATGAAATTTTCCATTGCCTAAAAATAAATAAATAAAACCATTTATATAGAATTAAAAATTATTTAAACCACGATACTTATTATTTAAACTGAAAATTGCATGTACTGAATATTGTAAAATAATAATTTAAACAAATTACCTTTATACCTAAGACTTAACAATTTAATATTAATAATGATAGGTACTAATAATTTATTAGAATAAAAGAAAAATTACAATGAAAATAATAAAAACTTATATAAACAATATTTATTGTTGTTGAAGTTAGACTTCTGAGGTCTCATTGTTTTGAGTAAAATATTGTACAATTTTATATTTTTGTCAAATTGGTAAATTTATAAATTAAAAATGACTTTTTTTTTGTTTAATATCAATTATATCAACATTCAAAGAATTGAAACTTATCATCAATGTCTTTCAATATTGGTTTAAAACCTATAATGGAGAATGCTCTGCTAATATGTTTCATTAAATTTGAAAAACACTCAATCTATTAAGAATATTAGTCTGGTACAGTACACCATGGTTGGTTGACCTCAAGAGCTAGACTTCAAACATTTTTTTATTAACAATGTATCTACAAATTAATAGATTCTGATAATATGTAAGCATTAGAACATTATTTCACTATACCGAGTGTCCTACACAAATATACCCATTGCAATATCTCCTGAGATAATAAAGATAATCAAGTTTTGTTTTATTTTTTGTACTATTTGCAGAAATAAGGACTAAAAATATTTATATTTCAATTGAATTTGTATATTTTGGTTAAAAAAAAAAATAAAAAGATTTTTTGATAAATTTAAAGATAGCCATTTAATAAAGTTTAGCCTTTTGACAATTTTGACATTTCAACTTTTCATTTTCATGAAATTTGTGACTTAAAAATTTTCTAAAGCTCAGAGAAAAATACCTATAATTATGTAGCTGGCTATAATCTTAGTCGCTAATTGATTATTAATGTTATGGCTAATTGACTTAACTTTTTTTCTCTGAACTTTAAAAAATTATTTTATTCAAATTATTACCATCACAGCTATAGATTAGAGTATTAAATGATGTCCTGTCATGGAGTCCAAACAAAGACACAATTATTGTTCTTATTTACAAGTGTGTTGAAAACTTAGGGGTGCCTAGCCCTATCTAGTGTATATTAAATTTTCAGTATAGTACACGACAATAGTCTAAGCTACATGTAGCCACCAATATTATGTAATACACCTATACAGTATATTCAGTACGAAAACGCATTCCAGTGGATGGAGTTTCATTATGAGGACAGAAACATGTGAGATAATAAACAAAGTGTTTAAATAGCTATCCTCGTAGTGCAAATTAGCTCTCTCCCACACTAGGCTTTATACCAGCCTATCTATCTTGATCTGCTTAGACTGACCACACCTCCCAGTCCTCAGGTGAATGTTCAGTCTAGATGTATAAGTCTATGGATAAACCATTGTGCAATCTATAGCTGTGGTTACTACCAACCCATCTATAATGACAGGATACACCATAACCTGCTGAAAATTGTTGCCAAATCATCCTATACCTTTGCTTATTTGTATATTATAAAATTATTATTTGTTTTATGTACCTTTTACTCAAATATATTTTTATTTCATTTTTATAAGTACAAAAATTAAAAATCTTACTATTTGACCATTCCAAATTTTTCAATTCTTTTTTAATAATGCCACTGTCCCATCCTATGGCAGCAGCCACTTGGAAAATTGAAAAATCTAATTGATCTGATTTACTGATAGATTTTCCTGAGTTTTCTTTCAATGCATAAGCAACAGCAAGTGGTGGACACTAAATTTATACATATTTTTCCAATTTTTATAATATTATAAAAAAATTATAATTTGGTGAATTTAATTAAATATTAATGGTACTTACAGTTTTTGATAATTGTTTTAAAAATAATGGTCCTTTATAAGATGTTATTTTACAATGAGTATAAGATAATGGCAAATTTTTCACTAATTTCTTAGTATTTAGCTCAAGATAGCATAAAAGTGTTTGAATATTTTCTTGTTTCATATCAAGACTAGTCACAGTATCTTCTATTTCAAAAGCTACTTCATGTTTACTGCATTCATTGTTCTTACAATTACACTCAACAAAAACTCTTTCAAGTAATTTACGAATAGAAGCACGATCAACTGAATTAGAGTATATATGACGACTTAATTCAGCAATATCATTTCCCTAAATTGACAAAATAATTAATAAAATATAAACATACATATTTAATAATCCTACCTCAGATTCCAAAAACATATGGCAATGTGCAATATTCCCATCACGTCCTGCACGACCAATTTCTTGTACATAACTCTCTAAACTTTTTGCCATATTATAATGTATAATACCTTGTATATTTGACTTGTTTATTCCCATACCAAAAGCAACAGTAGCCACAACAATTTTAAGTTGACCTATAAAATAACAATAATAAGATAGGTTAATATTAATACTTATTTTCAATACTACATAATTTGTATAATATATTACCGTTCATAAAATACTTTTGAGTACGTTTTCTTTTTGCTGCAGTTAATCCAGCATGATATGGTTCAGAAATGTTTGATAACTGTCCTCTTTTACCATTGATATGTTTCGACTAATTAATATTTCAGATAAATAATTAATAATTCAAGAAATAAAATATATTTATAAATTATACATTATGCTCCTTAAATTACCTGAAAAGCAGTTCTTATTAAAGAAGCAATACGTTCACATTCTTCTCGTCTAATACAATACACAATTATTGAACTACAATTTTTAAAACGATTTCCATTCAATAAATTTATTAACGCCTCATCACGATTTTTGTCTCTTGACACACTCAACATAAGATTATCAGGTAAAGGTGTATCTTTAATAATTGTATTAGGATCATCCGCTAACATCAATTCACTAGCAATACTTGAAACAGTCGAAACAGTTGCAGTTGCTGTTAAACCCAGAAATGTTTTTACACCAAATTTGTCTCTCAAAACCTGAATTAAAAATAATATATAGATTCCAAAAATATAAATTGTTGTATATATATTACTTGACAAATCATTAGATATGATGGCCTAAAATTGTGTGACCACTGAGAAACACAATGTGCTTCATCTAGACATGCAAATGCAATGGGTGGAAGTTTTGATAACCATTCAGTATTAAATCCAGAGACAACAGCTTCAGGTGACAGTAGAAGTATTGATAACTCTCCGTTAACCAGTTTTTCAACAATAATATCTCGTTCTTTTGGAGTTTGATTGTTATGTAAACATGCTATATTAACTGCACTTATTCCATCAACCTTAAATTAAATTAAATTAAGTACATTTTCTTAATTAATTTAAAATACATTTAATTCAAATTTACTTGATCTTCCATCAATGATATGAGAGGGGAAACAACTAATGTAATACATTTTGATTTTTTACTATATAGATACGCTGGTAACTGATAACACAATGATTTTCCAGACCCTGTTGATAATGTGACTAAAGTTGAAAGTCCAGAGAGAATTCTCATAATTGCTTTTTCTTGACCTGGACGGAAACTTGTATGACCAAATATATTTAAGGTTTCATATACTTCATCTGGTGTGTCTAATATTATTTCAAATATTATAAATATAAAACATTTTAAATTTAAATACTAAATAGTAATGAGTAAATACCAATAATGGAATCATCTATAAGATCATATACCGGAGGTACGTTTTCATGTTTATTTTCTAATATTACTGGATATTCAACAGAACAATCCTAAAATAATAAAGTTATATACCTATACAACTATATAAAATAATTAATAATTAATTAAATAATTCAAATCACCAATATTTGATTTTTTGATTCCCTAGCCCATTTCTTACTGTGAGCCATTTCTTTTTTTTCAAGAGCTAATTTTTCAGCTTCTTCAAGTGTAAGAAATGGACTTTTATCTTCCTCAATTTCTTCCAAAGGAATTAATTCATTACCTATAAAAAAATTATATTTTTAAATATAAAATATAATTTTAAAACAGCCCCAGCACACACTTTTGAGACAATTTTTAGAAGAATGTCCAATATCACCACATTTAAAGCATTTAAATAAAGATGTTCGATCAGTAGCTGTAAAATCTTCACCTAATTCTTTCTTTTTATTTTTCCATTGTTTTTTCTTATACGTAGTTGTTTTAACTGATTTTTTTCCACGACTATAAATTTTTCTTTTCATGTCTAACCTTACAAAGTTTTCATTAGCTTTTCCACTAGAAACCTTTGATTCTAATAATGTTTTTTTACGACTATCTTTAATTGATATCTGAACTCTGTCAAGATTGTGGATTTTTAAAACTTTTACCTGATATTCTTCTAAATTATCATCAGAATTAAACCTTTTTTTTGAACTCCTTAAAGTCTCCTGAACCACATTATTGTCACCATCACCATTAACTTCTTGAGCTTTAATCCTTTGAGATGAATATAGGGGAATATCTTTTGTTTCATTATCACTTTCATAAACAATATCTGTATCACTTTCAATCTCTTCAAATTGTTTTACAACAGGTTGAACATAGTCAAAATTAGTAATTTTAGAGTTATTTTCATTACATCTTTCTAACCAACCTTCATCTAGTTTTCTATTTACTGTAAACATTTTAGGATTGGTCTCAAAGCTAGTTGATGATTTTTTAAAAATACTTAATGGTTGTGATATGAAACTAGTTGTGTTAGAAACTTTAACTGTATTATTTATTGATACATCAGATTCCACCACAAAAGTAGATAAGTTAGAATCATCATGAAATGCACTATCTTCTTGAGTATTTGAATCGTTAGATGTAAGGCTAGATATACAATCAGATACATTTTGTGAACAATCTAATTCACTAGCTTTTTTCTTTGAAAAACTTTTTCTAGGATTTCTTTTTTTAAAATCAGAACCATCAAATAATTTTTTTGAAAATCGTACAGATATACTATTTTCAGCAGGTTTAACAACATTTTCTTTTGCAGGCTTTAACTTGTTATTCAAATGTTTACCCCAAACTGATGGTTTATTTATATCTGCAGATAAATTATCATTTTTATTTTCAGTTGGTTTATTTTCTTGTACCTGGTCATCAATATTATTAAGAAATAATTTCTCATTAATTGTTGAATCGTCTGTACCATCTAAACTATCAATCAAGGTTTTTTCAAGTAAAGAAGTCTTTATTTTCCAGTACATTTTATATGCATGTCGCACTTTAGGTTCGGCTTTTTTTATATCCTCCTAAAATAAAAATATAAAACGCTTTTAATTTTAAAGAAGTCTTTTATATTATCAAGGTATACTATTATTTTATATAAGTTCCTAGTTTAAATTACCTTTTTAGGATTGCAACTGTTTGTCTTGATAAACTCGTTTTCCCATTTCTTCACAATATATTTACACTTCAAATAAGGATCATTGATTTCCATTTTTAAATCGATAAGTTACTGAATATCTGGATAATTAAAAGTTTAGTTCTTATTTTTTACTAGTTTTACGTCAATGTCCAATGATACCTATTACCTACTGGCTGTTACGACTTTGTTTTGTTATCAACTGCTATTAGTTCGTTACTTTTATCAGTGTTTTTATTTTTAAAAGGTTATTTATTATCTATGAAGTTATGATAACTACGGTTACAGATAATTAAATTTTAATGCTCAAACCATAAATATTATTAATATATTTGATATGTTTATTAGTAATTTGTTATAACTCCTGTTATTATCCAACCATGGTTATTGGTTATAGACCGTTTCTTATCAATATATTTGAATAATCTACCGTGAGATAGGGCACTAGGAATAAATTGTTCGTTGCTACTTGCTACTTGCTACTTACTACTCAGCAACTAAAGTACTGAGTAACGTTCTTTCATTTATGTTCAACAATCAACAGTTTTCACTCGTCAGTCTACGATAGTCCATTGCATAGGAGTACTATTAAAAGTAAATGTATGTATTTTATTAAAACTCCAGACTCAATTTATCATTCAAATTTTGTAATCCTGATGGAAATAGACCCAGTAGAAGTTTTACATCATCTTAATGCTTTGGGATATGAAAATGTCGAGCCGCATTTGCTTCAAAAATTTATTAAAGGTATAACTTTACTGTTTACATTAATTGAATTATAAAATAATATAACTGATTTAGCAAGGTATGTATCCATGAGGAAGGGTCAATGTAGTCTTGACCCCCCCCCCACCGAAATTGAATATATGTTCATAGATTATAGAAAAGTATTTATATAATAAAATAAAGTATTTTCTTGTTTATATGTTTGTATTCATCACGATTTCTGAATTTTTTGATATAGATAATTTTATTAGTGAAATATAACAATGTCTAGGTTTACGGAATTCAGAATCTTGTGATAGTTTTAATTTTAATAGTTAAGTATTACTATTTTAGTGGTTTTCTTCATTATTTTTGAAAGATGATGTGGGTGGACATGTCAGGATTTTAACTGAACTCTTTCTCACTGATATATGTCGTACATATACAAATTCATTGAAATTGTAATTTAAATAAATAAAGTTTGTGTTGTTCGTGTCAACTTAGTGAAAATCATATAAATTTCGTTGTGCCCCATAAAATGGCTCATTGAAAATAAATCTTAGGTAACATGAATAACAATAAAGTAGATGGTAATTAAAAACTTGTTATTCAGTTCACTATACAGTTCTAAAACAATATTGTTTTATTGTTTATTAAAGTTGTACTACTTATCAAAATGTATGTTAAAAAAAGAAAGAATACTAACTTTTTTTTGATGAAAATTTGAAAAAGCTGTTATATTTGTTGTGACATGAAAAATGAGAATCTAGAAACAAAAAGCCAAGGAAAAAAAATTAACTTGAATGATTAAAAAAAGTGTTACATATTATGGTGTAATTTAGGGACCTGCATATAACCTAAAACATACACTTCACCTAGGCAAGACACAGAAACTTTAAATATTTTACTCTTTTAATTTAAAAATGTTTATAGGTTTTTGAAATAATGACTAGGTATTTTTATTTTACATTTAAAAAATAAAAAATAATGTTATTTTTGTTCAATTTATAACAGTTTTTGACATTTTACTTAGGGAATTTTCCTGAGAACCTTTCTAAATTTAAGATAAAAACTAAATAGAAAAGAAAGTGATGCTGTAACTTGCTTCTCTAATTTAACATTATAACCTCAATCTAGGAGTTTCATCAGTGGGCATATTCTTTATCAAATATTTTTGGCCTTCTTTTTTAACACTTAAGTTTATTATACAACAAAATATTTATAGATTATTATGAAGACTGGAAATAATTGTATAGATAAACTTACTCTATTATCAGTTCATTGTGAAACATCTATCCAAACTGACAAAGTATTTAATATAATTAAATACAAAAAAAAAAAACAGACAAATCACATTATAAACATGTGGTCATAGTACATTTTAATTTAATGTTTTTTTTAAGTTGATTTGTCTTAAAATTGTATACACATTTATTTAGTTATTTCTTCTGGTATTCAATTCTAAGGTTGATTTTGCAGTTTTCCATATTCTCTTCACTCTTATCTACTACTGACTAGCCTCATTAGTTCTCTGTAGTTTGTTAGTCCTATATCAGAAATCATTTTTTTTGATATCTAATATTCTTGGTCATCCTCTGCCTCGTTTATCATTTATCCTCCCTTCTATTATAATATGTGGATGCTTATTTATGTGTTAAAACATATTTAATCTTAAAATGATGGAATACTTAAATCATACTATACTCTATTCACAGTAAATTGACTTTCTTCAACGCATGTATATTGAGCCATCTTAGTCTGTGATTGATCAATAGTGTTCGGCGATCGTCGTTGCTTGTCCTAGTAGACAGTAGGTTGCTATCGTGACTGTGTATTTAGAGGAGGTTTTTGTCGAGCGAGAGGGTCAACTTATGGTAATATATAAGTATAAAATCTTTCTAATTTCATATTTTTCTCCAACATCACATCTCAAAACTTTCAGGAAATATTTTTTTGTTCAGATTTGTTCAAATCTTAAGCATCATAATAATATAGTTCCACATTATAGACATATACTTTAATTAGACAATTTTTCACTCCTACACTCAAGTTATTATTATATCTTGTTGAGGCTTTCAATTTTTCAAATATATTATTATTATAGTCAGTATTTCAAAAAAACTTAGGTAGTTGTTTTTACTTTTGAAATTAAGTAAGTAAATTTTTCTAATCAAAATATAAGTTTATAAAAAAATTAAGTTTTGTACAAAATTTTAATTTAATATTTTTTATTTATAATTTATTATTGATTGTATTTTGAATTACAGATTTGAAGAAACTTATTAAATATGAAAAACAAAAATCAAAAGGAAATGTTAAAATTGATTCAATGTCTAATGATAAAAGTCCATTAAAAGAAACAATAATTTTGACAAACAATCATTGCACAAATAAATGTTGTATAAAAAAAATAAATAATGTGTATGAAAGGTTATCACGTCCAATTTCAAAAACAAAACTATGTTCTAAAGCTGTATCAACCGTTGGTGTTCAAACTGATAATCATGACAAGCAAAAAAGTAAGATTTTAATTAATTTAGTATACAAATATAATCTTACACCAATAAAACACATTGTTAAAGATAATTTTGTTAGACATTCATCTGAAATTAAAAGTAAAAAAAGTAATATGTATAAAGGTGGTCAAACTATGGTTCCCAAGTTGCATGTGTTTCACATCATAGTTTTATGTAGCTAGTGTCTTATTTCTGAAAGCAAACATTTACTTACTAATATTATGAAATATTTAATTTATTATAAATAATATTTTGGCCTAAGATGTATAAATTTACTATTTTTAAATATCTTAATTATCTGTTTTTACATTTTGTTTTAGAAGGATCACTATCAGTTGAAATGATTATATTTTTTCCTAACAGAATGTCAGCTTTTTGTTGTGTTTCATCAACAGCAGTCTGAATATTAATACCTTGAATAATTTACTTTATAACAATTAGATCTAATAATTCTTTTTTTACATCTCTTTTCTTTGTAATATTCTTGAAGTTTGGTTAAAAATACATTGAATGTCATAATTTGTTTAAGATGTTCATTTCTTAAATTTGTATTTGATAGTTCGAACAAAATCTCTTTGTTAACTAACAAGTCTGTTTTAATTTCAGTTTTCTATCCTCTGGATATCAAAATATAATATAAAAGTCAAATAATTGTTCATTGTTAAAGTTCTAATTTATTTTTTCAGATGATAATAAATATTCACAAATTTTAAAAAAAAAACAAATGGACCCGGTATCGTTACACCAATATTATCAAACAGAGTGGGAGCATCACAAAATACCCGGTGAAAAAAATCACGATAAATTACGATGGCAAATTAGACAGAAGATGATACATAAGTAAATTTACATTTTAATTTTTTTTATCATAATGTGTAATGACATTTTTTTATGTATTAAAATATAATAAATTTTAATTTACAATAATAATAAAAATAAATTTGTGTATTTAAATATTTTGTTTGTCATGGATAAAAACCATATAGACAAATTCGTAAGTGTGTAACAGGTGCTTTAAATCTTAAAAATACATTTTTTGTGTGCTAACTCTCTAGAAATAGTGCATCAAAAAAGGTTGTTAAACCGAGAATTGAACCTTAGCTATTTATTTATTTCCAAAAAAGTTAATACTTGTGTTCCCAAATTAATCAATGTGCTTGTTGCTGCTGGATTTCATTGTGCTTAATTACACCTGTTGAAAAATTCACTGATGCCGCTCAGACATAATGCAATATCACTTAGGTATAATTTGTATATTACCAAGTACTGAAAATAACAATGATATAATAAACTATTATAACTTTACATTATTGATATAGTCTATCTCGTTTTTGACATAGACCTTATACGAAATATGGAAAAAAGTTTAAAAAACAATATTTGGTTAGAAAAAAGTCCTAGACAAGGAAGTCCCATAAAAATATTGTTAAATTTGTAATGTACCTACATTTAAAAAATTATAATATACACTAGGTCAGTGCTTCCGCAACTTTCTGGACTCGCGGCTTCCTTTTTGAACTATAAACTGTTATAACTTATAAATGGTAAATCTGATATTAGTATTATGCATATTAAAATTTCTAGAAAAATATTCTCTATTCAAATCTGTGTTCAATATGGGAGGAGGGGATTACTATTAAAATCAAATGTATGCACTTATTTAAGGTATATAGAGTAGAAGTAAAAAATTAAAAATGGTTTTAAAATAAAACTTAAACGATTCCATAATGATTAGAAAAAATATAAATCAAATTCACTTAAAATCCTCAGAGATAATTATTAGTTCATGATAAAAAAAATCACTCTGTATACAAGATATATATTTGCAAATTCCAAACCGCTTTGTTAACTATAGTTAAACATGGCTAATGATAAGAAATTATTGTTAGACACAAAAAAGCAGAAGATGCTAGATTACAATTGGTTCAAAAATATCTTGAAATATTAAATGAAAGGCCAGAGGTTATGTTTTTGTATTATATCAACGAAGAGTTACAGGTAAAACTTTCTATTAACCGCTATCTTACCAGCACCACCAACAATCTACAACCAACCACAACCCTAATAAAGAATCAAATCCGTGAAGAAAAAGCTTTCCCGCTGACATGGTTAGCTATAACCAGTCCTTTCTAATTATATCGACCGATCTGGACTCTCACATCGATACCACAGTAAATAAATTGAATAAAATTATTCACCAGGTTAAATGTTCTGCTGATATCGTTACCTACAACAAGCCCCACTTTAAATACCCTCTTCGATCTGTAACTTCTTCAGGATACTAAAGAAAATAAACTGGCGACATCTTTCCCTGCCTTTAAAACTATTCCCATTGCTACCATAGATAAAAATAATGTTAAAACTCCACAACATGTAACCGTCAATGCTAAAATTATTACTACGAACTCCCACCCAATACCTCCGTCAAGAACAAGAACATCCGTCCTAGTACTACCAAAAAATATCCCCAATCTAAAATCCTATTACCCAAATCCTCTCCAAGTCAATCGTACTACAAATCCGCTCTAAATACTCGTGGGAAAGTGCCCCTATAACGTGAACGATTTTATGATACGGGCACATTCATCGAGCGATACTATTGCCGAACAGAGGCATGGCTTTTACTTAAATTTTAACTATTACATGTTATACGATATGACTTCTTTGTTCTTTAACTAGGAGTATTTTATATTTACAAACACGGAGACAGTTTTGTACGTCAACGCTTTTCGTGACTAATGTTCTCACATCGTATGACGGGCCCGGCGTAGACGATCCCAACGCGTGCGACCGGGCGGCATTAAAGCGCCCGTGCTTCCGGCGAATCGGCCACGACTGGGATGTGGATTGGACGCACGGAGCGGGTGTAATGGGTAGTCATCATACACTATATGAGATTTAGTCGCACTCATTTTCTACACATTTTTACCCGCATAGCCCCTTGTTGATGCGGCTATCACTGGCGGTAAATGGAAAATTTGGGACTGTAAACATTGGTCTTATATGTAGAAGTATATTTCTCATCGGCTGAAATACGCCGAAGGGAACTTGATAACTAATGGTGTTTTTAAATGGTTGGCGAGAAGCAGCAATTTTGGCGGGATTGGGTACGCGGTTTAAGATTCTAGCAGATGGGTTTTTGGTTACGATTACGGGATGCATATTACCGGTAGCGTTATTCAGAGAGGAAGATTCGATTTCAGAAGGTGGTATGTGTTTTACAATTCTGAGCGGCAGATTTTCGGTAGCGATATTTGGTTGCGTGTTATCGGTTACGGTATCGGAAAGGGGTTAGTGGTAAGTGGTGATAGTAGGCGCATAGCGTACTTGTTTCTTCGCTCTTAAACGGGCGGTCGGTGTGCGATCGGCGCCGTTGTCAGCACGACCGTCACCTGTAGCGGAAGTGTCGTAGCCAATGTCGGCCGGTCGGTGACTAGTCCGGCGGAAATATGTGGAGTTAAAGACGATACAATAATGTAATTTAGCGATCGGTCTGGACGGTACTCCGACGAAAACGTGCGTTGACCGCTTGCCGGTCACGGTGATCAAGTGATCCGCCACAGGATATCGAAATAATCGAGTTAACGTTTAATTCGGGCGCGGACATGGGTCACAACAAAACCTTTTTCACCTCCAGTCGGGTCCTGGCCATGACGGCCGTCCCGTCTTCGTAAACCGTACACTGGTATTCGACAGGTCCGCGTACTTCGGTGCCGTACGCATTACGGCATAATAATTTTCCGCGAAAATGAAACCGACGTGAGCCGCGTTCATTGTGATCGTCAACGGGTCAGTCATTGTAACGGTTCCGGAACTCTTACTAGCAGTGTTGTGTTTTGACGGAAATATTAACGAGTGCGTACACAAATTAACTATTTTCTGTTTCGCAATCGTATTTGTTATTCACCGGATTGTATATTTCGGTAGGCAAATACTATAATACGATTATAATAAAAACGCGGTTGTCGTTAGTTAGTAACGAAAATAATATTGGCCATCTATTTTTGTTTGTTTCAGCTACGTCACACCGCGGTTTCGATCGTCATTCGCAGTGGTGTGCCCGGGAATTTTCAGCTAGAGGGGGCGTGGCAAGAATACAGAATTGCAAAATCGTCTTATCTGCGAGACTCGATTACGGGAGTTATTGGTAATTTAAAAACCGGATCCTTGAAAAAATAAACTATTCCTTATTTATACATCAAGTTTTAACAAGTAATTTGGCTAAAAATCTGAAATATATGTGTTTCAATATTAAATTACTACTTATATATTTTTTTTCATTTCCATGCCAACGGGTGGAAATATAACCCCTAATCTCCCGCATCCCTGAGTACGCCACTAATTATTTTTAATATAGAACATTTTTTTTTTTTTTGAAAACAATTTGCAGTGGACAAACTGTAACTCAGATTATCGAACTTTATTATGATAAAACTTATGAAAATAAATTTAATAATGAAACTATGATTGATTTTTGGTGTGTTGTATATAATAAATATCCTGAATTGTCATTGAATGCGATAAAAAAAATATTAATTTTTCCTACTATTTATTTATGTGAAAAATGATTTTCAACTATGTTCAATATTAAAACAAAACAAACAAACAGATTAGATGTTAGACACATGCCATGCGCATCAACTTATGTGAAATCGTAACCCAGTGGGAAATATTATGCAACAATACGTTCAGAATCAGCCATCACACTAAATCTTATTAAAATTATTTTATCATCATATTATATTAATTTTTTGTATTTTATTTTTATTTTTAAATGTACCTAAAGTAATCTTTATATTTTATTAACATAATAAGTAATTGGATATTGAATATTTCATTATATTAAAACTAAATGATAAAATTGCTTATAATACAAAGTTGTGCACAGATAAAAAAAAAAAAAAAAACATTTTTGTAAAACTAAACTTCTTTGCTCCGCTCAGAATTTAAAATACAATTTTTCAGGTTAAAGTTTTCGCAATACACTAATACCTGCTATTATCTGAGCTCCGGTCTGAATCGTATTTTGTTAGCAATTATTAATTATTGCGTACAAATATAAATTAAATTGCCCTCTATATCTCATCTTCCTAACTTTTCAAAATATTCTTAGTATTTTTACCTAGAATTTATCTACCTATATCTATACGGTATTCACAATTCCAAATATTTCAATTAAATAGGTAGTTTTTGATATTATTTTAAGTGAATTATTAAAAAATTAATCCAAGGAGTATGCTTTAACAAGTTTTTTTGTATTTTAACAAGGTTTGTTTTTTATACATAGTTATGTAATAACTATATAATTGGGAAATTTTTGTTTATTTTTGTAATCTTTCTTCTTTTCTATTCGACATTTTTAAATACAACTATAAAAAGTATAACTTCTTCAATTAAAACAAGCAGTACATCAAAAATCGAATACCTAACTATAAAAAATGTTTATAGTTGCCACTAGACAGCCTAGAGTCTAGACAAGTATATTAGATAGTAGACAACATTACGCAGTTTGTAATGTTTGTAGACAATCATGTTATAATTATCGATTATAATAAAAAAATAATATTATGTTACAATTTATAATAATCCATTCTCAATAATTTGAATAATTTTTTTAATGTGCTATTCGATGTTTACCATTGAAGATTCCTAACCTCAAAATACGTCTACTCGACAGCGTTATTGAGGCAACACGGGAATCGTTTTTTTTTCGTTGAACAGAAATATTGTTGGGAGGTTAGGACACAGATATATATTATTATTTATATATTTGTGGGGTAGGAAATTGTTTGACCTTATTTTCTAAGACTGGATAAATTTATAACCGTGGTAGTAATTGAGTAATAGTCGAACAGCGCACTCACGTCTAACCGCTGGAACTATACTCATGCTTCGTCTGTGAGTATATTAAGTTCTATGGACAGGCACGGGTATCATAATATATTTTGTTTTGCAGTAAAATGATAATATATTTTGTAAACATTAGAAGCAAGCCGCGACTAGCTAGTTAGTCGTTGGCGCCACAGAATAAGAATATAAGACGCCGATTAGCGTCTTCTGGGTAATATCACAACTTATGTCTTTAGTATTTCTTCAAATTTATGAATATTTTTGTCATAGTGGTTATTATCTAAATACCTAATGTTCGTTTTGTCGTTTATATTTTTTGTGAATTTCCCCGTTTTCATGTGAGTTTACTTTTTAATGTTTCTACCTAATTGAATTGTAAGTAAGTACTTATTTTAATTTTCGGTAGCTTATGTTGATATAACGTTAACTTCTTTTGTGTTTAGATAATTGTTTTCACTATTGATTCAATAGTCACTGTAAGCGTTATCAAAATGGAAACGGTTTACCCCGACGACAAAGAAATCAAATTTCGTAAAGACAATGATGGTAAATAGAAGTTTTTTTTTACTAATGATAAATCATTAAAAAGATTTGCTAAAATCTTTGAAATACTAAAACTAAAAAAAATCCTTCCTTATATTTATTCCAGTAATGTACTTCCTAACACTCAATTTGATTTTTGTGCCTCTCACTCTACAACACACTATATCTTTTTCACTTGAAAAAAAAATACTGTTCCTGTGTGTTTCTCGACATGTCACAAGCAGTTGACAGAGTCTGGCATGAAGGGCTACTATATAAATTAAAACTGTTTCTCTCACCAACATATTATTTCCTGATTAAATCTTACCTCACCGACCATCACTTCTAAGTTAGGTTCGGTTCTTCATTTTCAAATATTGCAAATATTAGTGTAAGAATCCCTTAGGGCAACATTCTTTCACCAATCATTTATATATATATATGCCGTTGATTAACTTACTTCTCCAAACACAACTATATCTGAATTTGTGGATAGCAAGGCAGTTAAAGCAATACATGGTAACCCGATTTCTGCTTCACTAAATTTTCAATATCACCTTAATCTAATGTTTAACTTGTACGATAAATGACGAGTTAAAGTAAATTAATCAAAATCGCTACACACTACCTTTAATCTCTTTGTCTTGCTTCTTGTCATGGAGTTTTATGAGCCGACATCACTATCACTTTTCAATCGGTTAAGCACTTAGAGTTAACCATTGATTGGTATATCATCTAACCACGTTCTAAACACAATGGAAAAAAAACTTGCCTTAAATGTGATTGGTCGCTTAAAACATTTATATCTAATAAACATACTAAATTATATATTACATTGCTCATTTACAAATTCTTAATTAAGCCTATGTAAACATATGGCCTCCGCCTCTGGATCAATAGCATAAAATCTAATCTCAACAAAATTCAAACCATTCAAAATAAAATCCTATGCTTCATCACCAATGCTCCTCCTTAGATATCTAATCTTACTCTCCACTCTGACTTAAACATTAAAACTGGTCATGATAAAGCTAAAACATAATATAAACATTTTTTTAACAAACTTCCATTTCATACCAACCTACTTATATCCAATTTACTCACTCTCACGATTCCTGTAAATTTACCACTGTATATAAAAGAAAAATGGTGCAGAAATCTTAATGATTTACTATAATAATCTATGATAACAACAGAATAAAAATTATATTATTTAAATAAACTATATACATAGTAATTGTAAACAATTTTGTTCCCTAAAAATGATTAATTTATACCCGATACTGTATATCTGCATACAGTATATAATAATAAATTATTTTTATTTTATTAGGTATTGACACGGTTTTAAACAGTACAGTTAAATGTGCAATTTGCCTCAGTGATATATTAAGTGAAATAATACTGAAGAAAATGATTATGGTGCATAACAATTATTTAGTCCTTTGCTGTTATGTAAGTATTATTAAAAAGAAAGAAATTAATCATAAATGTTTTATTTTGAAATATATGTTATAGGAACTCAAATAATATTGTATTATATTATTTATTGAATTACCAATATTTATTATAAATAAATTAATATTATTTTTCCAATTTTTAATGCTCACCCCACTAATAATATAAATATAAATTTGTCATAACTTCTTTAATCATAAAATAAAGAATTCAACCATTTTTTTCTGGTGAGCGGGAGGGGTAGATAGGGTGTTTAGTAAAGTAAAATTGTTCCAATTATTGTTATTTTTACTATTTTTTTTTTTTAAGAACTGTTTCTACAAATTATTTGAAGGCAATGAATTCAGTTGTATCTTATGCAGATCCAATAAACATCTATCCAACTGTGAAAAGTGTAATTTCAACGTTTGTAAAGTAATAATAATTTTTTATTATTTTTTTTTTTTTTTTTCATTGTCAATAAGTTTTGGATTTAATATAATTTTATTGTATTTTTGTAGCGCTGTATTGAAAATCATAAAATCATTAGTGTATCTAATGGTGTTTTAAAACATTGTTTTAACTGTGTGTTGCATATTTTGTGGGAACAAAGATCAAAAGCTGCTCATGTGTTAACTATATTTTCTTCTCAATTGTATGTAAAATATATTTAATTAATTGTAGTTTATACAATTTTTTTTAAAAATACATTTTAAAAAGATAAATTTTAGTTTCATTTATGAAAATAACTGTAACAAGTTTAATTGACATATAATAGAGAACTTATATTCCACTAATAATTATCTAAATTAATTTTTTTTTTTCAGAGATATGCCTAATGGTTTATTAGTGAATGAAATAGAACGTGATCAAACTGTTCGTAAATATTTAGTAAAAGAATCTAAGATTGGTCAAAATCAAATGACTAATAATATTAAAAATCAATTATGCCTTGACTTTATGTTGAACTCATTCAAGTTTACTGTATTAAACAAACTTTTGGAATTTTCTCCAAAAATTGATGGTACTAATTCAACTGAAGAATGTTTAAGGGAATTCATTCAAACTTGTGAACAAATTTTGGAGGAAACATGTTCCACTTTAACCAGTTTTAAGAGAATATTCAATTTGAATTCTTATTTGAGTCCTGGTGTATCTGCAATGATGAAATCATTATTGAAATCTGTTGATGAAGATGATAGTGTGTTAAGTAGTTCAAGATTAAATAGAAATTTAAATGAAGAAATTAAAAATAATCAAGGCAAACAATTATTACAAAATGTAAATAATAAAAAGACAAAAAATTTGAATAAAGAACATTTGAATGGTGAAAATTTAAAATCTACTCATTCTTTCATTGATAATATATATAAAAAGTATCATTTAAAAGATCTCTCGATTGTTGTAGACCGGTTAGGTGAATCTGTTGCATCAAAACTTAAAGATATTAATGTTAAACCAATGGATGTAAATGATTCTGGCAGTGCAAAAATTGTTCATAATAATTCTTCGAATAAAGATTCTTCTGATATAGAAATTGATGAAATGAATCATCCTTTAGAATTATTTGATGATAGTTGTAGTGATGAAGAGAAAAATTCACTAACCTTGAGAAGTCGTACTGTAAAAATAAATAGAAAGGTATACTATAATTTATGTAGTTCATCTTTGTATATTATTTTTGAGTTATAAACTACATAATGTTAAAATATTATGTGATTTAATTAATATTTATACTGTACATTAGTGGCGGGTCAAACTGTTTGTAATTTGAACTAAACTATTTAGTACTTGGTACTGTTTAAAAATTGAATTTGAAAATATTTGTAGATCCAGACATCCTTGTCATAACAGTTTGAAGTCTGACATTTTAATTTGAAACAAATTTAGTTTTACAACTTAAAAAAATTTTTTTAAAAATGTTAGTGTTATAATATTATAAATACATTAATTAGAGACCTTGTACATTTTTTTTCTTATCAGTATTGTCATATTTACTGAAATATAAAAAAATCTATTTTTATTTTTGAGTATATCATAAGTAGTAATATAGTTGTATGATAAAATTATATAATTAATATATTAAAAACAAATAAAATTATATATATAATACCATATAATTTATATTTATTTTTTAAATCCTTGATATTTTTTCATAGTTATTTAAAAATTAAGAATAAAATAATAAATAACTTATTAAGTTAAAATTCCTAATACATGCTACATGGACATTTTAAATTTAATTTTAATTGCATTGCTTTTTGTTCTACATAGACTTAAAATATATAATATTTAAGTATAAAAAGTAATTGTAATTATAGTTAGTTTATATTTTGTTTTCACTTGAAAAATAAGAAAAATTTAAGAGTTTGACTGAAATTTTTAGTTTATGTTAGAAAAATATTCTTTAAGTTTAGTTTGATGTAAAAGTTTGCCTCATCACTATTATATACCATTATCTCTTTTGACCGCTAAATATATGAGTTTCATAAATATTTTCAATACATAATTATTTGTGTTAACATAATAAGACCATTGATTTGATTATATTAAATTGTTTTTAATTTTTAAATTTGTTATAATTATTTAGGGGACATATAAAAATAAAAAAAAATCAATTAAAAATAATACAAAACTTGATGATAAATCTGATGATGAAAAGGAAATCGATAGGTATAGTTCTACTTATTTTAAAATATCAACTGTAAAAATGTGTAATATGTTAATATTTTTTGTTTTAGACTTATAAGAATGGATAACATTCATAGTTCTTCAAAAAAAAATAATATGATTGAAAGTGACACCGAAGATCAAGCTATTAATGTTGATAATAAACTTTCTGAAGTTCAAAAAAGCTCAAAAAATAATGATATGTTAGAACTAATTAATGAAGTTATTGAAAATAACAGTGAAACTGATTATGGTATTTATATATTTAATTTATACTAATACATTTATTTATTAATAATAAAAACAAAAAAGGTACTTTGTCCAGTTATATATTTTATAAAATTATATATCATTGATACTCATAAATCATAATAAATAATAGGCTGCATAGTATATAATATAATATAATAATGAAATTTTATTTTTATACTAACAGGCTTGCGCTCAGGTAAAAATGGTAAACATAGCATAATGTAATATTACAATATATTAATAATTAAACAGCAAGTAAATGCTAAACGGATTTATATATAAGTCCTCATTTGCTAGTTTCATTAAACGATTAATTTATTTATTAGACGTATAATTGAGTAAGCAGAGAAGAATATGAAAAGGAGTTATATTGCGAGTGAAATGTGAAGGCAATTTAAATTTAACTAGTGAGAGAAGAGAGGGAGCATCAATATCTAAAGAGATGAGTTTTATGAGGAAGAAAATGTTATGAGAGTATTAACAGTCAGCTAATGTGGGTAGGTTGAGTTTAGATAGGATGGGGGTATAGTGAGGAGGGTAGGGAATTATCAAAATGTAACTGTCATAACAGGAATTTCCTTTGGACGCTTTCAAGCTGATGACTCAAATCAGCATAATGAGGATCCTAAACCACTGAACCACTGAATATAAATTTATTCCACTAATAAAAACTATCTTAACTTTTTTTTATTATTTTTAATGGTCATCAATAAGTGTTCATTTAAATTAAAGAAGAATTAGAATTTATTTAATTTTACTCAGCTGAATATTTTTAAAAAGTGGGTTACAACAGTTTTTATAGCAAGATATGGGTAATCATGTAGAGGCTAAATAATTGGGTTTAGTATGAAATGCTAACTATCAGAATTTCATTTTAATTGGTTTTTGATCAATTTTAAATTAATATAATTATTATAATATTCAATATTATAAAACATCATAAACAAAGTTGTTAGGTTTATGTATTTCAGTACCAGTATACAGTGTATTAATATGTTGATAAATATTAATTAATAATTTAATCATACTTTTTGATATCAATCATAGACGTATTTAAATTTCTAGTACCTTGAAATACTGTTCCTTTATCACTTTCATAAGGATAAATTTTGAATTTTGAGTGCACTCTTTATATTTTTTACTATAGTGTTTGTAAATATACTTTTTTAGGTTCTGCTGAGTAAGTGTAAACTGTTGGATGGTGTTAATACTATAAAAAATATTATTTTAAATAGAATACAAAAAAAAAAAAATATTAAAAACACCCCTCTTGATAATGTTTAGAGTCCTGTGCAATTATCCCCTACTTTTTCCTTTAAATATCACCCTGTAAATAATATTTATTTGTATATATATATTAATATAATAAACATATAATATGTTTATAATATAATAAATAGTGTTTACTATATATATATAAAAAAATTATCAATTTTGGAATTCATTTTTATTTGATAATGTATCTATTAAATTAATGTATTGATTATTTATTCAGGAACTGATAACTCGGAATATGAAGATCACTTACTAGACACTGTAAAAAATATTTTTAGTGAAATAAAATCTAATGGTGTACATCAGATTGAAACCATAACCCAAAGTGATGATGATACTGGTAATTCTTTTTGATTAAGTTTTTAATTATAAACTCTAGTGTTCATGGACTAATTAGATATTTTATATAAGTATTGAAATTTGTCTAATACATAGAAAACATAAAATTTATTTTTAAAAAGATTTAAACAGTGGTGTGATTGAGAATGTATTATGAGAAGAAATACCTAAATAGATCTTCATAATAAAAATTTGTGGGAGGCTTCGCTCTTCAAATCCCCTTACTAACATTTTACAATTCATCACATATCAATATAGTAATATGCCCAGATCTACACAGATTTCTTAGGCCTCTTGGTAAGTTCATTGATGACCTCTTCATTATTTGTAGGTAACCTTTTTTTTTGATTGCATACAGCATAACAAAATATTAACAACAAACGGTAGCTAAGTGTATGATTTAATGATTACTAATTACTTATTGTGTAGTCAGATTGTTTACATGAAGACAGGCAATGAAGAATTGAAAAATTACGGACTGTGCTACAACACAGAAATATTTGTGCATACTAAATTTATAAGATTGGGTCTCCATTAAGTCTCCAAGTTACATTTTAGATTTGGAAAGTAGTGAGGGAGATCTATTACTTTTACTATGATAAGTTTTTTTTTCTGCCTGTAAACAACTTTTAATCAGAAATCTTGCTTCTATCAAAAAATCACAAAAGACATGTTTTAGTGTATTATGGATTTTTTGATCAGCAAGTAAATCTAAGTTACTGTAAATGTATTGATGTACATTCAACTGACTGAAAGATTTTTAAAAATAGTTATGCTGTTAGAATAATTTGTAATTCACATTATTTATTGTTTAATAAAGTAGCCTCAGATCTTGATCTCAGAATTTGATCTCAAATTTACCTGAAGAACAAACATATTCTAAAGCACTAATTATAATGACATATAAACAATAATTTCCTTCAAACACCCATTTCACAGCTTTATCCCTTAACTACCAACAGGTTTCTCCTATTGTTTTGAAGTTTTCTGATTTTTTGATTATGTAATAATTTGTCTTGGTTTTTCTTCCAAACATTCATGCATTTATAAAATGTATTTAATTGATTTAATAGATCAAACTATATTAATTGTTAATAAGTGATTACAAATGAATAAAACATCATTCTCCCATTCTCTTTGAACAGCGTTTCCTTTTGCGTAATAATGATTGTTTATGCGAAAATAACTAGATCAACTCAATAAATGTACAATTAATAGATAAATAAAAAAAAGGTTAATATTAAGATTAAAGATTAATTAGATTTGAATTTGTGATTAAGTCTACTTGATTTTTAAATCAAAAAACAAATTATTACATGATCAACTAAATCCAAAAAAGGTCACTCGTCGTTTTTATATTGGATAAACATTTCTGGTAGAAATAATTAAAATCGGTAAAACCACAGTCTGCCAACAAATATTTACTGTTTTACTCATAAATTATGTTTCCTGTTTATCACAATTATTTTAAAAACTTTGTAAATCAATAAATAATTTGTTTAATGAACAATAAGATAAAATTTCCTTTTAAAAAGGTCTTATATATGATACATCGGAACAAGTTTTCTTTTCAAAAAGTTATTAACAAAAAGGAAAAAACATATCAAACTAATAGATCCCAACATAATAGATTCTACATTCTGAATCTAAAATAGCAAAAAGTAGAAAGGTCGATCTGAAGTAGTTTAGGGTGGCCAGATTTAATTTTTAGAAATTCGGGACATCAAAATTCATAAAAAATAGGTAATTATCTAGTAAGTATATAATTACATAGGTATTTGTATATAACTTTTAGGTATAGATAATATTCAAATTAATCAATTAGATAGGCCATCTTTATTTAATTAACACTCAAAATTCAAATAAAAATAATAATATAATTTCCAGTTGTCGTTGAGATAAATATACTAATCTAGGTAGAATTTACTGATTTATTATTTTTCTTTATTTTTGTCGTCCAAGGAGACTTTATATTTTTCAGTGCTGTGTATTTTCTTCAGAAATGTAGGATTTTTTATTATTTCATTGTAAAATTCAATGCAACTCAAGCCATATGTTTTTGTTGTCAGACAAAATTTAGAAAGCGATTATAACTGTGATTGTCGTACATTCCAACGTTCGTTATCGAAATAATTTACGATTAGGATTTGTTTAAATTAAATCGATAACCGAGTAAGCAAAAGAAATACCAATTTAAAAATGATTTTAATTTCCGGTACATTACTATGCAAAAGTCCAAATCCGGTACAAATCGGTGTCCCGAGAACTTTGTCTGGGACGCCGGGACGTGGGTTCCTAAACCGGTAATGTCCCGGGAAATCCGGGACGAATGGCCACCCTAAAGTAGGTGCATAGTCACATCACAGACCCATCCATGTGGACAATACCTTCAATAATAATGATCGTTTATGCTACGTTTACATTCAGCCATTGGCCAATGGCTCCTCGCGCTATCGTAGTTGCTTCACAAAATAATTTGCAGCGAGTGTTTATGTATTATATTGCCCTGATATTTTTACTGCGTTATCAACAACCTAACCGGCAATGCGAGTGTGATTTACGTACTCACGCTCGCATTGCCGGTCATATTGTCGCTCGCGCTGCTCAACTTATCGCTGTTGACGGGAGCGTGGGGTAGCGACAATGCAGGGAGCATGGTCAGCGCGAGTGACGGGTTTACATACTTGCGCAGCCGACTTTCATGCACACTTCCCTGCTCACTGCCACGGAAGTGGGCTGAAAGTAAATGAGGAGTTAAATACTAACTCAATACATGCTATTATAAGATATTATTAGGTAAATCGGCGTTTATACTTTATTTGGCAGGCTATAGAAGACGTTTTAAAAACAATTGGTGCGAATGCACACACAATGCATCCTTCCAAATGACGTCTCTGAATATACTTACTTTCAGATATAAAAAAAGTAGTTTCATGTCTTATGTTGGAAAATGTGTAGATTATTTTACTTTTGCTGTGTCCTTCTGGTTATCGTAAACACGCGTATTAAAACGAAATTAAAATGACGCCTTTGGGTAAAACCCAAATTTTAACGAAACCGCACAAAAACAAAAACAATAGTATAATAATACGGATCACGGTATTAAAATATATGACCGTGGAGGAGTAGACGGTAAAATTAATAATAATTATATGATTATAAAAGGTGTTTTATTATTATATCGTAGGTATTTTTTTTTTATTTGTAAATATGCATAATTATCTAATTCATATTACGTCAGTTATTAATTTTTTACATGTAAGTATTTAATATCTGATTTATTAATTTGAACCACTCGATATATAAAACTATGACATTCTGGTGGGTTTTGACTGGTAGAAGATTTACTAGGGCTAATGATTTTTTTTCTGTATATTTTGATTTTAACTGTTAATAACTTATTAAGAAATTAAAATATCAGACAAATAATTTGTTGTTGCTCTAAACCTAAATACTCTTTGTACAATATATTACCTATTATGTTCCTCTGTCCAAAACTCAATATTGAAAGTGCGAAATGTTATTATTGTTATATTGCGCAGAAAACTGAGAGAAACAAATGGCATTGATGAGGTCAATGAACTTTAAGGCAGAAAAATTATTTTTATCCCATTAAAAAAAAAAAAATATATATATTATGTTTTTTATACAACATGATTACTAAAACTATTTTGTTTATTTAGATGACAGTTGTATAAATGAAGTGGTTAATTTGTGCTTACCTGCCTGTAAAGAAAAAAATTCGAAAAAGAGCAAAGAAAACAAATTTGAAATGAAAACTACTAGTGATATGTCAGATGAATTAGATAGTGACAAAAACAAGGTAAATTTGAATGATTATATAATATGTATAATGTAGATTAATAAATACTATATTCTAGATTGTGACCATTGAAATAAACTTTTTAAATTTGTATTTCAGAGTTATTTAAAAATTATAATTTTTTTATAATTAAAATATTTCATTATTTAAATAGTTATATATAACTTATAATATTACCTACCTACTATTATAATTAAAAATTGAAATAATTTAATCTTTTAGGAATCATCATCAGATGAATCAATTGTGTCTTATTCAAAACCCAATGCACTATCAAAGTTGTTGTTACCATTATCTAGTGATAGTGATTCTGACTTTAATGGAGGGAAAAAGGTCAGAGGCAAAAAAAGGTACTTTGTTTATTCTTTGTATTGATAGCTTAACTGCTAGAAGTGTGAGAACTCTTAGATTTCCATATATGATTTCTTAGCAGGGTCCAGTATTTAATAAAAGTATATGAATTGCAAAAAAAAAATATATATATTTAATTAGATAGATATGTCATAACCTAGGTAAAGTTGGGAACTTAAATTTGCATTAAATTTCTGTTATTCCTTATGTTGTATGTCATGCTCATTTCGAGATAAAACAATTTTTGATGCAAGGTTTTATTTTTAACAGAATTTATGTTCACCTTCTTAATAATCATTAGATCTTTATAATTTTACAGAAAAGTAGCTTCATCTGATCAATCAGATTCATCATCTAAGTTTTTTAAAAAATCGCCAAAAAAGCAAAGAAAAATTAATGTTCATAAAAAATCCTTTTTTGATGTGTCTAGTGATAGCTCTGACAACAGTTCTGATGTTATCACTCCTAAAAAACGTAGACAAATGTAAGTTAACAAATCATTTAAGATATTTTAAATTGTAGTTATTCAATTCAGTATTTTATTTTTTAGCAATCAAATTTCTAGTAATGAATCGAGTTATAACACTGATGAATCAAGTATTAACAGTGATGACAGTGTGGCTAATATTGTAAGTTTTAAAACAAATTGTTTTAACAAATCATTTTGCTTATACTAATTCGCCTGCACCTACCTCTCAATTCAATCCTGGGTTTTAATTTATTAATATTATTTTAAGTGAGATATGTAATCTAATGATAATTAAATTACACAAATTATAGTATATAATTGAATATTTTAATTCTTAAATTAAATATATCTGAAAAAGTAAATTATTTAAAATTTAATGTTTAATATTGAAGGTTTGTTTTTCATAAAGACGTTCAGATAGTAAAAAGCTTATAAGCTTTACAATTCTAGATTCTGAGTGTAGCGAGGGAGCTGTTGGTTTTATTAAATGTTTTTTTTTTTTCTTCTAGTCTGTCGACTCGGTTTTTCCTAGTAAACTCCAATTTTTTTTGTGTGTTGCAACTTTTTTGAAAGCTCAAGTTGTCTAGATGGTACTTTAAAGAGGTCATTTTTTGACGTTTGACACCATTTTTTAAATAAAAGCTTTAAGTGGGAAAAAACGTAGGAAAACGTACAATTTTACGATTTCATTATTTTATAAAAACACGGAAACCACCTACCAGAAAAAATTATTTAATTAAAAAATCAAAAGATACCTTTTTGATTTACTTTCTTACGGTACCATCGCTAAAACTTTTGAACTTTTAAGGAATTTTAATTTTTTTGCTGTAATTCGGTTATAAATACACGAAAAGACTTGAAACTTAGTAATAGTACTCATATTGGACTTATCTAGACGTGGTAAAATTTTCAAAATCATCAGACGACTTTTTTAATAAATGTTTTGAAATTGAATTTAAACAAAAATCGCAAAAAAAATTATGACACTTCAAATTATGCTCTCGGAATCATCTTTCGTCAAGCAATGGTTTATTGTTACAGACATAAATGAAATAAACTTATGTATCCTACTTTCCCAACTTCTCACCTACAACAGTGGCTGCTCCCATCTCCAGTATCAGCTCTTTTTTTTTCTTTTATCTATTTTAATATCTTAATAATTGACTATTATAATTAAATTTAAATCCTAATTATTTTTTAGACTTTCGGTTTAATGTAATTATTGTTAATTTTCTTAATATGTATTCATTAATAATAATAAATAAAAATGTACATACACCAAATAGCAAAAATTATATTCATAATCTTTTAGAGCAGAGTTTTCCAAACTATGGTTCGTGAACCCCTAATAGGTCTGCACGTTAACCTGAGAAGGTGTGCTAATGTAAATTGAAAATTTTATATTTAAAAACAAAAATACTGATTTAACATTAGTATCACACAGAGAAATATTTGGTTAAATATAAGCATACTATCGAAATGGTTATTGTTAAAAAGCAATTAATATATCTTTGTAAATTATATACCTATTTATCCATCTATTTTTCTTATAATATCTTTATTACCAATTTAAGGGGTCTGCGATCATTTTTACTATCTCTAAGGGGTCTGACAGAGAAAAAGTTTGGGGAACATTGTCCTTGAGTATTACACTGATCAAATAATAATTTTGCAAAAATATCAACCCTCTCTTAATCTACTTTTTTTTGCAATGATTATAATGACTATGTTTTTATTTGTCTCTTTAAATTGTATTATGATTCTATTAAAAATTAAAATATTGTTAAAATATATCTGCATTATTATTTAATATAATATTTACTTTGAAATCCCTTTATATATTATTACCTACTTTTAACTTTCACCATTCCATATTCTATCTTTTCAATTTGGCTAATTTAATTATTATTAAATGGTAACTACTATTTTCAGTCTTTAGCCATCATTACAATATTGCAAATAATAGAATAAATAAAATATGAAAATAAATTATTTAATTATATTTATCAATATATTTATAAGTATGATTCTGAGTACTCTTTTTAGATATATGTTATTATGATAAACTTTAATTGGGGATTTCTAAAAATTATTTTTTAACTGCCCTTATAAAAAAGAAGCTAATGAAAGAGCCATTTATTAAAATCCATAATTAGTACCTTGAATACTAAAATAATTATTATTTTTGATATTCAGATATTTGTTTTTAGTTTATTTTAGTGATTGCATAATAATTTTTGTGTAGTTAAACAACAGTTTTCCGAATAAAAATGTGACCCATGAATTTTACTCTGAATTTCATGTTTATTATGAAGAAAAAAAATTTATATTAAAACGTAGCAAGAAATCTTATTAGACATAAATGTAAAAAAATGTATTAATCAACTACTTTAGTTTCAACATAGAACTTTCAATTTGGTTTTAATATCCGGTCACTGATAGAACATTTAAAAATGGTTTATTTTATATATAGATAATTGAAAAAAAAACAAAACAAAATATAAATATAAACATATTGTTACATTGAAATTAAATGCAAGTTATTTTTTTTTATTAGCCAAAAAAGAAAGGAAGAAAAAATATACGTAAATTAAAAACAAATGAAGAACTTAGTGAAATAACTAAAAGTGCTTTATTTGAAGAAGAATCGCGCATAAAACGCATGGAACAACGACAAAAACTTGTAAGTATAAATTATAATACAATTTTATTTTAAAACTCATTTTTTTTTGTACGAATCAAACATATGTTTGTATAATTTTAGTACAATCAAATTTATGAATTACCAAGACAAGCGGTATCCTGTGAAAAAGTAGTTTTGGATTTTGATCCAAAAACAAAAGAGGAACTTGTTGTAGTACATCCAGATATTGTGAAGTTCCTCAAACCACACCAGGTTAAATTTAAATAAAAAAAAAAATTAAAATTTTAGTTTTTTTGCTTTCAATATTCTTGAACATCAGAACAAAAGTATCTCTTAGTATTTATTACTACATGTATATTGTTAAAAAAAATTTTTAATTTTTTAGGTAGAAGGAGTAAAATTTATGTGGAATTCGGTATTTGAATCTTTGGCTCGCATTAAAGAACATACAGGAAGTGGATCAATATTAGCTCATTGTATGGGTTTAGGTAAAACATTACAGGTTTGTACTTGAAATTTAAATTGTAACAATTTTATTTTTACAATATTGACAAACTTGACAAATAATTATATTAGTTAAATCAAATTTTTAAAAGTATTTAATTATTTGGATTTATTCAAGTTATAAATAAATTTAATATTTTATTCACGTTCCATTAATTTTTTTGAAAATATCTAAAGTTCAGAAATCATTGTAAAGTTGTGTTTACATAGATAAATAAAATCTTGAGTATTAACCGCAGTGTAAGTTAGTACTGGTTCGAACTTGGCTATGTTTATACTTAACCAAGGGTTAGACAATGAGTTGGATAGTTGGAAAACGTTAGATGATAAGTGATAAGGTGACTATCAAATGGAATCTGTTTAAAGTTTAGACTGAAGGCGTAAGATAGAATGCATTCATAGAATTTATTACCCTTCTCTATTCCTCCAGTCTAAACTTTAAACTGTTAAAATTCATAATCGATAAATCTGATATGCATATCAAATTTTCTAGAAAAATAATCTCTAATCAAATCTGTGTTGAAAAAGGAAGGTTCCTATTTGAAAAATAAAAGTTACACTTATTTAAGGTATATGGAGTAGAGATAAAAATAAAAATGGTTTTAAAATAAAGCTTAACTGATCCCATGATTAAAAAAAAATAGGAATCAAATTCATTTTAAAATCCTCCGAGAAAATTAGTCATTTACGATAAAAAAAAAAAAAATCACCCTATATATAATGTTATCAATTTTTAAATATATCAGTGAAAGATTTTAAAATGGGGAATTGCAGCAATATTAAAAAAATAATTTCAATTCATAGTAATAATATTTTGGAGCGCTAACTATTAAGTTTTATAACTTGATTTGGTGGTTTAATTTGTTGGTCACTAATATTTACTTATCTTAGCAGTATTATCCTAGACTGTAGTGTAAACCATCTAAACAATTAAATATTAAATATTAAAAACGAAAAAAAAAACAGGATTTGTAGAGTAATTTAATATATATCTGTATACAAAAATAAATCATTGCCAATGGAAAACAATTTTAAAAAAGTTATGTTGAACATATTTTGTTAAACTGCAAAATTGTATTAATTGAGATTACAATAAATGCCATTATTTTTGTTTGTTTCAAATTATTTGAGCAGTTTTATGAATTCAATAAAATTAATATATCTACTTAATTTAGAAAATAATACTTGAAATGTCATGTTTTTAACAATTTTAATCAAAATTTAAACTTAAAAGTTTAACAAAAATTACAATAATGAATTTAATTGTCTTTTTCAGGTTGTAGCATTAATTCATACTTTATTTAGGTACCCAGAAACTGGTATTAAAACTGTGTTAATTATTACTCCTCGTGCAATAATTGAAAATTGGCATAATGAGTTCAATAAATGGTTAAGAGATGTTTCTGAAGAAAAAAAATTCTTTATATACAACTTGGTTGAGTAAGAATTAAAATTACAAAACAATTTAATTTGAGTTATGTAAATAATCATGTTTTTAGATTAAAAACGCATGAGAGTCGAAAAAATGTGATTTCAGAATGGAAAAACAATCGCGGTGTATTAATTATAAGCTACCAGTTGTATAAAACTGTTATAAATAAATCACAAAAGAATATTACTGTCTTTTTAGAAGGATTAGTTGACCCAGGACCTGATTTGGTCATTTGTGATGAAGGACACATAATAAAAAATCAAGCTACTGCAGTAGCAAAGACAATAAATCGTATTAAAACACTTAGAAGAATACTGTTAACAGGAACACCATTACAAAATAATTTAAAAGAATGTATGTTTATTCGGCTATGTAATTATGTTTATTAATCAAGGTTTCTTTTTTAGTAATGTTAAAACAATTTATTTTATACTTTTTTACAGACCATTGTATGGTTGATTTTATCCGTCCCAATTTGTTAGGATCAATAAAAGAATTTACTAACCGTTTTATAAATCCAATAACTAATGGACAATATTCTGATTCAACTGTAAATGATGTTAAAGTAATGAAGAGAAGGTCACATGTATTGCATAGAATGCTTGAAGGATTTGTACAGGTAATTGGATTATATTTTATATGCAATAAGGAGTAATTTATGTATAACAATTATATATATTTTGTTAATAATCTTAAAGTTACCTAATAAAAGTATTCAGTTATAGACATGAACTATTCAATTTAATTATATAGTTTTACTAGAAGAAATTGATTATCTAGCTTAATAATCTCCGATAGATTAACACATGGTAAAAAATAAGCATGCAACAAATTATAATTTTTTAACCCATTAATTTAAAATTTATTATCTTATTTGGTTTTAAAATACCTACGATTTCAGGGCAAACACTTTTTATTTCAATTGATATTGTTGATAGATTTTCATAAAAAAAATCCTGTGGAGTACATTGTCTTTTATAATATAATTATAATTTTATAATATGAAAATTACCGGCCTGTGGTTCTAAGGTGTATGATATTTGTACCAAATTGATAACTAGTGAGTTGTTAAATTGAGAAAAAAAATATTAAAATGAATTTGTGTTGAAATTCCAAATTAATGTTATTTCTATAATTAAAACAGTACTCGTTATAGAACTGTATGCAGCTTCTTTCTAAAACATTGTTATATAAAATAGTTATAACTTACAAAAAAAAACCAATATAACTTTTTTAATTATAATTGTTAAAAAAAATTTAAATACAGCCATCATTATTATTCCCATCTTTGGGTTTGTTTATCTGTGTTAAACTATAATTTCAATCTAAACACCTCTATTTACGTTTTAAGTAAGTTTATTTTATTATATTGTTCATTAGTCGAGTAACTAAGTACTGAGACAGTAAATGCAGGTTTGGGGGCCTCTTAACAATATCGGGCAATTTAATAATATATAAAAGTTCTTATTTATAAAGTTTGTGTATAAAAATCAAAAGAAAATAAATCTGTTCTATGATACTGGAGACGGTTGTGGCCTCTGTTATAGGTGAGTAGCTGGGAAGGTAGTAGAGGGGAAATTTAATGTATAATATACATATATTATCTATAAGCAATGATAAATCATTGCAAACGAAAACAAATGATTGAGTGTAATTCGGTTGATAGTGTTACTTTTTCAATAATGTATGGTAACATATTATGGTAAAATAATGACATATGCATTATAGATTTTTTTGTTTAATATTGTACCTTATTTTCAGTTTTTCCCAGTTTTCTCTTGTTTATTCCTGGTTTTTTCATTTATTGGGAAAATTCTTGGGAAAATCAAGACTTGACTTCCTAAAGTACCTCCTCAGTTTGATTTCCCTTCAGGAAAATTGTTATGATTGTATATTTGAGCAAAATTACTGGTAGAAAAGTTGTCCACTGAAAAAAAAGGACTGTCATATATTTTACTAATATATTGTGTACATTTCCTTTTTTTCAATTTGTTGGGAAAACTCTTGGGAAAATCGAAAAATGACCTTCTTAAAGTACCTTCCCAGTCGGATTTCTCGATTGGAAAATCAGGAATTTCTCACTCCACTCAAAATCTAAAACTTATAATGAACTCTCTTTTGCATCTGAGAATTCAAGAATAAATTATTGCTTGTGTTTACATTTAAATATATGCTAATTAATCAATAATCAGTGTTTAATAGTTATATGTTTATTATTATTTTTAGAGATGTGACTACAGTGTTCTTACACCTTTTTTACCACCTAAACATGAATATGTAATTTATTTGAAAATGGCTGATAAACAAATAGAATTGTATAGACATTATTTGGATAATCACAGACAACCCGAGTTATTTACTAATTATAATATACTTCAAATGATTTGGACTCATCCTAAACTATTAAAATTATATTCAAAACGAACAGAAACAAAAAGAGAAGTATATAAATACAATTTTATTTTACTTGTGATGGTATAAAAAAATGTTTTATATTCTTAATAGAAAGAAAAATTGAAAATCATTGAGAGCAATTTTATGCAAGATGAAAGTAGTGATGATAATAGTGCAAATTCAGCTGAAGATATTGAACCTGTTGAAGGTAAGTTTAATTTATTATTTTATATATTTTAATTATAGAATTATCTAAATTTGTTTTATAAAATATAGTTTAATATACATAGGTTGGACAAACTATAGTCCTTGTTTGCTCTATCTTGTCGATGATTTTATATTATATAATAGTTTAATATCTAGTGATAAGTAGGGTTTGAATTTGAAATATAAAATAAATCAATTAAGAACTCACCATGCCTGTATGTCTTTCTAATAGGCCACAAAGTCATGAATATTGTTATGCTATACTGCCCTTTTAAGGAAGAATGCTACATGTGTGTCATTTGTGCCATTTGAAAAAAAAATGCATTTTTATGTTTAGTCATTATGGTAGTTTTATCCTCATAAATATGTTTTTAATGTTAAAATCATTATTTTCTAAGGTTATATATACCTACTTGACAAAAAAAATCAATGGAACTTTTATATTTTATTTTAAACTACTTTACCATTAAGATATTCTGATTTTGATTATTTATGCTAAGTACATTATTAATTATTTACAATTATTTGTTTAGTAAAAATACCATAATTCTGTGATGATAATAATAATAATAATAATATTCATAATACAGAGTGTCCCACGGAGATATACCCCTTGAATATCTCCAGAAATTATAAAGACAGTCAAATTCTGTTATTTTCATATTACTCACAGGAAAGATGAGGACTACAAATATTTATATTTGAATTAATTTTTTTTTTAAATTAAAAAAATGTCTTTATTTTGTTATTTTTGGAAAATTTTAAGGTAGTCATTCAGTAGAATTAATTTTTCTGAATATTTTAATGTATCACACATTTATATCCAATTAATATTTTCTAAGTAACACCCTAGGGAATAGCCCAACAGCGTTACATGATAACCAGATTTCACACAGAATTTAAACGGCTGTTACTTAGAAACTATTCATTTGATATAAATGTGTGATACATTAAAATTTTCTGAAAATAATAAAAAAAAAAATTAATTAAAATATAAATATCTGTAGTCCTCATCCCTGTGAGTAATATGAAAAAAAACAGAATTGGACTGTCTTTATTATTTCCGGAGATATTCAAGGGGTATATCTTCATGATGGGACAGCCTGTAGTATACTGATATTTCAATCATTACGATTAAAAAAAAAAACTCTACATTATTATTTTTATTTATTATAATTATAATTAACTAGATATAGTTTACTTGATGTTAAATCTAAAAATTATCATCAATTATTATATTTCTTTTCCATATTTATTTTTTAACACTATTCATTATAACAGCTTATAAAAATTATAATTACTTAGTTGTAGATTATAATTAGAGTAGAAATAGTAATTAATGTCCAATCTTAAAATTAATAATAATATATTTTTTCACATTATAAATTTTTAACCCTAGAGTATTTGCATCACGGTCTAAAAGACTGGGTTTTTAGAATTTTGTTCATTTTTCTAAATACCACACAAATATATATATATATATATATTTTTAAAAATGCAGAATATTAATCTAATCCCACCTAGGTACTCTCTAATTAGGCTAAACTAAAATTGGATACAACTCCAAACTGTATGCAATTTGATGTCTGTATTATAGAAGAGTTCAAAGTTAATTACCTATTAAAGTACAGTCTAACAGACAGTGTGCATTTTACTACATTGTAAAATTTGTTAGGTGTGATGACAATGAAAATGTTGTTATCTATTATTGAATTAAATAAGTATGTGTGCAGTAAATGCAGCAAAATCACTAACACTATAAATAATTTAATGTGAAATCATAAGATACTAGTTTCCTAAACAAAAAAAATATATTATATGTTAAATATAAATTATGAATAAGTGCTGAGTAAAGCTACATTTGAAATAAATCTTATCTCGGTAGATAATCTCTTAAGAGAGATGGTAATGCAAATAGTAATTACGACATTTTTATTTATCAATTATTTTAATTTAAATTTCGGAAATCTTGTTTTCTTATAAGTGTACATTTCTAGATAAATAACCAATGTTGACAATTTTTTATCTATAAAAAATGTGTAAAACTAGTATATTACATGTCTTAGAGTATTTTATTTTTATACTTCGTCCACTGAAAGAACACAACTGGACAGCGACTAAAATTCGCCATTTTCGCATATTTTCCATTAGATGGTGGAGCTTGTTTTCTTTGATGAAGTATAATAATGAGTTTTATATATTTTCGTATTATACTAGTAGGTCTTTTTTGAAAAATATGTTATTCAGGATGAAATTAGTCTACATAAAATTTGGAAAATATAATGTATATTATATATTATAAAAATAGAATATCTATTTTGGAACTGATAAAATAAATAATGAATTTATAAGGGGTAGCATAAGTGTTGTTTCAACAATTTGTAAGATGAGAAAGAATAAACGTAGGTGGTTTGGACATGTGATGAGAAGAGCTGTAAGAGTTCTAACGGCTTAATTTAAATGGAATCATTTAAACACGATTGAGAGTGAGATATTATGAGGACTGTTAGATCTGTGATCAATGTGGTCGACCCTTTGAATATTTGACCTGACTTTTAGAAAAAGATTAATTGATATGGTCTAGTTTTGTGTTAAGTGGTCTGACTATAATTATAAAATATTAATATTTAAATAGTTGAGAAAATTACCACGGGCTCATAATAAAAAACAAAATAAAATAATAATTTTGAATTTGTTTATACAATTGATTTTTTTGTTTTTTTCAACTGAACTTATTCAAATTTCAGTAACAGATTTAACCGGAGCTAAGAGTCCAGATTTAGATCATAACTGGTGGAAACCTTTAGTGTCAAAAAATGATTTAGAAAGTATACACCCTTATTCAAAGTTTTTAATGATGTTTTCAATACTTAAAGAAAGTGAAGAAATAGGTGATAAAGTGTAAGTATGTTTATATATTAGTTAATGTATTTATTATATGATATGCTAAATAATATAAGTATTAGATCCAAAGTTGAACCCCTAAAATTGAAAAACTAAAATATTGCTCTATATATATAAGTGAATAATGAATGAATGTCAATCATTTAAAACAATATTGAACATTTTTCTGCTTTTTACATTAAATGTACCCACACAGGAATAATTTTGAATTCGTTTTATGTTTAAATTTGTGAATATAAATGTTATGTGTTAACTAATTTTTTTTTGTAGGATACTGTTTAGCCAGTCATTATTCACTCTCAATTTGATACAAAACATGTTAGATAATGCTGAAGATTTCTCAGAAGATAATGGTGGTTTTTATGGTAAATCATGGGTTGAAGGTGAAGACTATTTTAGAATTGATGGTTCAGTATCTGGGAAAATCAGAGAAGATTGTTGTCATAAATTTAATGATCTCAAAAATACCAAGTACTTTAATTTTATTTATTATTATTAGATTTTAAGTATAACAAAGAAGCTATTATTTTTTAATTAATTTGTAATGGTTATATGGTGATAATACAAATATATTGCCTGATTGTATCTTATTTGAATTTTTTTTAAAATGTCTAAAATTGTAAAAAATTGTTTATATTTTTTTTGAATACATTTGGTGTCAGGCAAATGCTTGAATTTGTCTTGCAAAACCTCAAAAGATGCGGAATTTCTGCTCGGTAGTACTTTGTTTGAAACTATTAAAATTTTCTTTGGGGTTCTTTTTATTAATTTTACTTGTTTCTTTGGCAATTAAGGAAAACATGACTAATATTATTTCACACAGAATTATTTTTTGTTTGCAATGATTTTATCGTTACATACACTATATAAGCTAAATTGCCATGTATATCCATATATGATGAGCGGTGTCAATTTTTTATTATTACTATGTTACTATTTACAATTTATAAAACAATTTTTTTTCAGATTGCGTCTTTTATTATTGTCCACAAAAGCGTTTAATTTGGGTATAAATCTTGTTGGTGCCAATCGAGTTATTATTTTTGATGTAACATGGAATCCATCTTTAAATGTTCAAAGTATATTTCGTATATTTAGATTTGGACAGAGCAAGCCATGCTATATTTATAGATTGATTTCTGAGGTAAATACAAATAAAATTATTTATAGGAAATAGGGTACCTTTTAAAAAATGTTATTGAGAAATGTTAAATACATACAATTTTTATATTTTAAATATTATCTGAATATTTATTTATGTTTGTCTGAAAACACATACACCTTATTATATCATAATGTAATATTTCAGGGTACAATGGAACAAAAAATATATGAACGACAAATATCAAAATTATCAATGGCCTTTCGTGTTGTAGATGAGCACCAAATTGATCGCCATTTTAATGCTAAAGATCAGGAAGAACTTTATGAATTTGAACCAAACACTACTGAACCTAAATCAACATTAAATTTACCTAAGGTATAATACATGCTCTTAGAATTATTATGCATTAATTTTATTATTATTATTTTATTTTTGATATTATATTAGTATTGTTATTAATTCTTGTAGGATCGTTTGATGGCTGAATTAATATTGAAGCACAAGGACCTTGTAATGGACATATTAGAGCATGACTCATTGTTACAGAACAATGAGGCAGAAGAATTAGATGAATCTGATAGGAATGCTGCATGGGAAGATTATCAAAAAGAAAAAGCTGGCTTAAGTAGAGCTACGGAAAGTGTAGTCAATCAATTTACAAGGGAAAGTATGGTAAACAACCCGATATATAACCAATTAAATTCATTTGCAAGTAAGTTAATAAACCTATTAAATAATATATTTTAAGTTAAAAAAGTATTAAAACTTGTTAAAGTTTTATAATTATTTCAATTCTTTATATAAAAAATAATGGGTATATTTTTGTTGTATACTTGTACATTTATGTATACATTCTTAATTTTGATAATTTTAGTTTAATTATTAGTATTTTATTCAGAACTGTAAACTAAGAAATATATGTTTATAGATTTACAAAACACTACAATTTTATTTTTTAAACTTGCTTGTTTAAATTTAAATTTGAAGTGATTTTTAAAAAAAAATTAACGGAATATTACAAGATATGAAAAACATTATTTAAACAATATTGAACTATTTAATGCTTTTTGGTAGCAATCTGTGTTAAGCCTAGTTTACACGATGACGCTAATGCCATGACATGTATGACACTGTTCAAAATTTGATGCCACAGTGTCAAGTGCCATGACAAACGTGCTGTTCACATGTAGTGGGAAAAAGTTGTTTCATAGTACTATATCAGTAGCGGTGTTTTGTATGCGAAATTATAAAAAATATTTAAAAATTTAATTAATCTAAAAATTTAAATTGATGTAATTTTATATATGTTAAAAAATGTTATTCTATTTATGCCACAACACAAATAATATTATTACTATAAAAATGTATTTTCAATTCAAAAACAAAATGTGTATTTCATTAAATACCAAGGATAATGGTTATACTTTAATTTTCAAAATATATTAACTTATTAAAAAATTGGTACTTAATTAACTTACCAAATTTGTTTGAGAATCAGGCTCAAAATTTACATTTTTTCCAAGAAATGTGTTTGCATAACTGTACCACTGAAGCTTTGGTGTATATATTTGATTATAGCCACTACCTGTTTTCATAGACTTTTTCACATTTTTTAGTTTATTGTTACATGTATCGTGTGTTGACAATATTTTTGATCTTAGGACTTTAATATTATCTAAGCCAGTAATTCTGAGCCATGTATTTTCTATCTGGTCCCGTTTTAAGCAGTCTATGTAGTCTGCCAGAGATTTCTCACAAACAAGGGTACTGTTGGTAGTTTAATACATTGAATGTCATGGTACAAATCACTAACAAAAAAATTGAACTCTTCTTCTTATATATATTATAAAAAATGAATTTAAATTAAATTAAATGTTATTAAATTTAAACAAATTGAATGTGTAAATTCTAACTATAAACAATACTTATAACTACAACAAGCGCCAGGAATATAGTGATAATAATAGTCACTGATAAGAAAATAATTTCTCGACACTACAAGTGTTGTGATGCCGTATATTTAAAATTTTAAATATACGGCACTAGTTTCCTAATAACATGGCATCGTGACATATCATTGTTCATACAGCGACACTGATGGGATATTTAATATCAAGACACTAAGTGCCACTCTGTAGTGTCATTGTGAAAACTAGGCTTTAATAAAATATTTGATTGTTTAATGGTTGATGTGTCATATATTCTCCTCAGCAGCATTAAGATTACTCCTTTATCCACTTAAAAGATGGGTATCACATGTACAGGATGATTCACTAAGCGTGCTCCCCCCATTGTTTTGGTTAAATTTTGCTTATATTCAGATTCTGATTTTTAAAATTGTTAAGTGTAATAAAAGCCGATATTTTCGAATACTTAAATTTTTAAACACATTATCAGGGTAACCTGTGATGATACCATTTTTGGTTCATCAAATGAGAACCTATATTTGAAATTCCATAAATAAGTAACTTTAATTTTTTTATTATTAATTGATAAAGAAAATAAGAGATAAACATAATTTAATATGATTGCACTGGTACATAGCCTAGGAACATGTGGTAACACGCGGCTGGAATAATCTGTCTATACTGTTAAATTTGTTACTGTTTGTTATTAATTTTTCACTGTTCAGTGGAAAAGTGTTTCTCAATACATTTTTTGAAATAAATAGGACATTTTTTGCTGGTAATATAATCATGTTGTGACATTTGAAAACTTTAGTCAACTTTTGAATAAAAAATAAGTTAACTAATTAAAATTATATTATTAATTATACAAGACTAATTTCAATAATAAAGAAATACTTTTGCTTGTGTACAGATATTGAAAAATTTTAGTTCTGATTGTGTTATTAATTTGTAGATATGTTGCCGCCCACTTTACCTGGAGATTTTGCGTTGTTCAGTGCACTAAAAAATTTAGTAAGTAACATTATAGTTTTAATTTTAAGTCTTGTTAATAATTACTATTTCAATATTTTTTATATCCTATATTAAAAAAGGAATTCAAATCAAATTTAAAAAATAAATAACATTCTTTTTTAAGCACTAATAAGCATAAATGATTGAATATTGAATTTATTCCAAGGAAAAAATAAAATAAATTTGTTTGAATCAGAGCCACATTTTAAATTCTGTTCTTAGAATAGTTGTGTAACAAAGTAGTTTATTTGATATTTATTTATTTTATTTGAATAATTGAAGGTTGCGCATAAATATATTATAATATTTTTATGAACATTTTACAAATTTTTAGATTCATAAAATATATTGAAGTTGTATTATAGTTATTATTCTCTCCTCCCCCCTCCTAAAAAAAGCTCTTGTGATTCTTGTGCAGGTGCAATCTTTAATTATAAAAGTATTATAATAGTATTTTATGATCCTTTAGTATGCTTAAACCCAGTCCACACTAAGGCAACATTGACCGACATGTAAATTGTCTATAATTTCCTATTGTTCCATAACATGTGAAAACAAATTGCAACATTGGAAATATAGCTTACACATGTAGGCAACAAAACCACAGCAACATTGATAAACAACTGAACTAAACTTAGTCCAAACTGATAAATTTGTAGCTACATATTGCCTGTTATCAATTTATTATATTGTTTTGTGATAACATGTTTCAATTTTAATCTAAACATGAAACAATGAGAAACTTGTTACTTACAACAAATTATTGATGAAACATGTGACTCCCGGAAATATATAGGAACTTTTTTTGTGTCAACATACTTCGACTTAAAAAGTTGTTATATGTTGCTTTAGTGTAGATTGTGCTTTATAAAACAAATTAAGAAAATATATTTTTTTTAAATGTTTATAGTGTAATGGTTATTTATATTTCAGTTTCCTCAGGCTTCTATGGAACACGTTAATGAAATGATGAAACATGTTAAGGCCAAAAAAATGAAAAATAATGTTGAACAATAAGGTATTTAAAATTAGAATAGTTTTTAATTGATTTTGATTATTTATTCATATAGTCTTATAAATTTTTTTGACATATATAACACAATTTAAGTGAATATATATTTACCGCATATTATATGGCACACACTATTTATAAAGTGTAAAGTATAAAATAATATGTGTGCTATATTGTTTATCAAACAAGTTTTAATATTCAGCTTTTTATTAATACTTTCATTTTTTTATTTTTATCATTATAATTTTTTTAAGAATGTAATACTATGTTTTTTAAAAATAAAAGATTAAAATATTATATGTATGTGTTATCATCATTATTCATTGACTACCAATTTGATCCATAGTACACTGAAAAGCTAATTTTTTTAGATTTGGTTTCTTTTCGTTCAATATTTTTTATTATACATTGTTACTCAAATGCAATAATGGAAATCCTTCCCTTCAATAATATATATTACTTTTGTATGTTTTATTTGGAATTTTAAGTCTTACTATACCATCAAAAATTAACATATTATAATATGATTGATTGATAACATATTATAATTGAGAAATTCTTTAAAAATTAAGAGGTTATGCTAGAAACCTAAGATAATATGATTAAATTAAATCTAATAAAAAAGTTTAAATCATAAAACATTTTCTAATTTATTTGGAAAAAAGAGAATTGTGTACATTAGTTATAATTGTGTTATTTTTTTTATTCATAGTTTATAGTAGTGTTAAGTTAGCATAAAGCTGTCTTTATCTGAGCTATTTTTTTATTGTATTTATATGATAAATAAATATAAAATGTATAAATATTAAAATATACAACATTTATTCATCAAATACTGAGTAAATTTCACTGTTTTTCAGAAAGTTAATTTCTTGTTAATTGTTGATTAGCATTCTTGTGATATTTAGCAATTATAATTAAAATGTAACCTGCTAAACATCTTAAAAGCATATCAAATTCAAATTTTCGATGGTTTATGAATAATGTATATGATAAATAATAGCCATTTTTTTTTTTAACATCCTGAGATTTTATTATTTTTTATAAATATTTTTAACACTGTATAATATATTTTACATACTAGATATTAATATATACTGTGCATACTGATGAAGTCACACTTCCTATGAAGTGGTTTTTGATCTTAATCTAAAAATTAAATTCTTAAACTACCTAAGTTATATAGTTTCAGACGTTTAAGACATCTAATGTGCTTAGAATTGTCTAATAATTTGATGGCCATTAGATTGACTCGGTGATATAGCTTCGTCTCGTTTTTGCGATCAAACCTTTTGATTTTGCCTCCTATTGCAGATAGCATCATATTGCGGTGAATTGTATCGTTTCTTTCAAACTGGTATGCTGCAGTGATGGTCCGAAGGGCATTATTTTTACAATGTTGTATTATATAAATGTTAGACTTAAAGTTGAATGCCATAGGTCTACATTGTTTTTATAATAACTACATAATAGTAGACTTTTTTTTTATAGTTAGCTCGGAGTAGGTTCTGATTTGTTAACAGAGTATTCAAATTTTTTCTTTAATCTGTATTTTTTTAATTTTTTTTTTTTTGATAGGCGGGTGTTTCAAATTTAAATGTAAGTCAATGTGCATTCCAAGGTATTTTGCTGAATCTTTATAGGATTAATGTTTCTTTCAGATAAATTTGGAGGTTTTCGGTTTTTTGAAGCATACACCAGATTATCCATTTATATGGGTACACTCATTACCTTAGAACGTATTAACTTTTTTCCGAATTTGTTTTCTAAAACATTTAAAAAATAAATAGATCTACAATTTTATCTTTATGTTATTCTTGTCACTCTTATTTTCGAGGGTAAAACCACTACCTACTTTTGATTTTCAAATGGCAACCTATATTAAAAAGTTCATAAATAGGTGGAATATTAGTTAAAATAATTTTTAGTGTTGTAATTTTTGATTTTCGTCGATCCGTTGACGAAGTATTCCATTTTTAAGTTTGGGTTGGAGGAGAGTAATGGAGTATCATTTGTGTAGCAGTACAGCGCGCGGCGTGTTAATAATGTACCACTACTCTCCTCCAACCCAAACATAATAGATAAACGGAAATCATGAACCTTTTAATACAGGTTGCCATTTAAAAATCAAAAGTAGGTAGTGGTTTTACCCCCGAAAATAAGAGTGACCAAAAATAATATATTTAGAGTTGCACAATTGTAGAGCAGCTTGTTTCTTAAATGTTCTAGAAAACAAATTCCGGAAAAAATTAATACTTTCCGAGATAATGAGTGTACCCACTTAAATGGATTACCTGGTACATAGTTAACTCGTACTGATTTATCACCATTTATCTTAATTTGCCAACGTCTGGTCGAGGCATACTTGTAATGTTGTTAATTGATTTTTCTAAGTTATCAGTTGCAGTTAGATCATTCTCACGTGTTGACAAAATTGTCGCGTCATCGGTAAACACAGCTATTGTTGTGTTGTCATCGTTTAGTATATCAGTCGTGTAGAGTAGGTACAGGATAGGTCCTAAAACTCTACCTTATAGTACTCCATCTGAGATATTTTTCTATTAAATTACCTATTCCTCATATGTGACTCAGAATTGACGGTCGGTCAAGTATGATTCAAGAAGTATACTTCAGGTATGCGGCTGTTGTTCATACAGTTTTATAAGAAATCCCTTGTGCCCACACTTTATCAAAAACCTGAGCTACATCAAGGAAAACTACAGTAATACTTTTTTTCTTCAAGAGCTTTGCTTAATTAATACGTTATTTATTGACGTGATGGACCTGATCGATTGCCGAATGTTTGTGGCGGGATCCAAACTGGTGTTCCGGTATAAGATCTTTTTATTTCTATTATTGGTTTTAGACCTTTAAATAGGAGTTTCTATAAAAATTTAGACAAAATCGGAAGAAGTGATATCGGTTTGGGTTCGATATTTTCGGTAGAAATACACGTTCTAGGTGCCAGAGCAAAAATTTCGGTTTTATTTTGTTTACTAGGAGCCCATATACCTTGCGGACGGGTGGTATCTGAATACGAGGTCTCTTCATGTGTTTTGCGGATTTCCATAACAAATAATCGGTGATATCCGTTATAGAGAATCACTGAAGTATAATTTAAATGTTTCATTTTTCATTTCTTTGATCATTAGTAGCAACCAGAGTTGCTTTTTTCGTTGCATTAGTAATATCATTGGCCAATTTTTTTATTGAAACTACAAAGTCAGTTTTTATATACATTTTAAAAAAAATATTATTTTGTATTTTTGTACCAATTTATATATATATATGTTAATATAGTATTATATTGTGATGTAAGTCGTCATCATCATCATCATACATTTATGTAGGTGTTTGTCGTTTATGATTTTTAAGGAAACTCTATGTTAATGAATGTATAAGATCGACAAGAGCTAAATTTTCTTTCAAGGGTGTGTATTTCGGTAATTAATATTTTGCCCCCCACGTTATTCGAAATGGTTTGCGCTTTGGTTAGTTTGATATTTTATTTTAAAAATACGTAATCTTTTATCAATAAAACTTGTTAAAAGTCTCAAGTGAGATTATTTTTGATGCCATCTTTGAATCCATACGCTTTTACTTAGACATACTTCTTAATATATTTGTTTTTGTCTGTTATCAATTTGTCTACAAGAAATATTCTTCCAATTTTCAAAAAGTGTAGCATCTGCTCTGAAATGACATTTTGTCTAGTTGGTGCATTAGGAGATTTTTAGATTTTCTTTATAGTTTAGTAATTGTAAAACTCGCGATTTATAGGATAATTTATGGTACTTAATTTATTTAACAGTTTCATTAAATTTCGATTTTGTTTTTGTTTTTTGTTGCGATTCAGTTAAAAATAATCGTAATCGTTTGCCAAGTTTACAGTATCATAATTATTTTAAAAAGGTTTTATAATATTTATATATAAAAATATGAATATAAATTTCAAAACAATTCGGACAAGTGGCATCCCAGACCGACCTCTCTGTTATTCTAATGGTTTATTTATTAATGAATAATAAATTGTACAAAAGAAACATTTATCTCATCGCCGGTTTTTTTGCATTTTGATCGCATTTAAAATGATTACAATTTGACTACATTAAAATTATTATTATAGTGTCCCGATTTTGATCAAATTTTCTCTCTAATATTATACAAATATGATTTTATTTGAGTTTATTTGAAATGACGGCCTGTGGGCTACTACGAACAATGTTATGACAGTCGATGTCGATACTTATAAAATAAATACATGTATATTGTATGTATATAATATTATACACTGAGATATTTGAGAAACAAGAAAGAGGTAAATATAATGTTTCGCGAGCAGATTATGGACCGATATCACATCAGCCTACCGATCGGGGGTTTGTGTAAATCGTTGATCTGATCCGTACTTCGCATTTCCGTATTTTTTAACTCTAGGTTTTTTTCCGCTTAATATAATCGAGAACACACGGTGTGCACTGGCATAAAATAATGTACAATGCGTGGTTCCAGGATTTTCCTAGGTAGGGAAATAGTTTATTTTTACCGCATACAATACTAAAAATAATAAGGGTAAAAATCGAAACCGTGTTTAATATGAAGTATTTCTCATCTTTTAGATCCTGTGTGTAGAATTTTAACAAAAAACTATAACATATAGGTTTCACCTGGAATACATCTTTTTGGTTATAAAAACGTTCAAACATTTCCTATCTATACCTTTAAAACACTCGAATTTTTCGACTGGTCGCACTTATTGACTGAAACATCTTTAATTTGTGTTGCTTTTCGATAACAGTATTCCGAACAAATTTACAAAATAACCGATACAAATTCCGTGATTTTGGACAAGATATAATATAATGTAACGCATATAATATTGTTATATGTTATATTGTTATAAAAACATTTCGCCGACAGATGTTAAAAATGTCTACATTAGAAGGCTCGAACTTATATTTGAAGATTGGACTTAATGCATTATGACACGGAAATAAACTATACTTTAATATGGCTACTTAAGGTTTTTAACCTATAATGTAATAAAGTTAACAGATTCCACACAGAATAGTTTTTGGTTTACAAGTAGGTATAAAACTTAAATCACTTACTCTACATTGGTTGGAAATCACTACTTTCAATGTAATGCATCACCGCTACTATTTTTTTTTTTTTTTACTTATATAAAGACAATTATTTATTTTTGTCAATTTAAAAAAAATGTA